TTATCAGATATAAACTGAAAGTACAATAGAGGTTTTCTACTTTTAATTATAGTCTTTAAAAGGACAGGAATTATAATATTAAAATGACTTCCTACAAATGTCCGTAAGTAAAATAAATCATATTTGTACATATAATGCATATAATCAATAGAGACTAGCATATGCTTCTTCATATTTTACAAATCAATTGGTAAGGTGATGGAAATAAAAACGTAATTTAACTCAATATAAAATGTACTAGTTAATAATGAAACTTCAAATGTATTTCCTACACTTGATAATGATATAATTATATCAATCATATTATACAGGAACTTGTGTATACTACGTGTTTCAGAGTCTGTGTTTATTGAACTGTGTCACATATTAGGATACCCACAGGAGGTGATCATGAGGAGAGAGCTGGTGGACATCAGGGAGATGATGATGAATCACGTAATATACAAAAAAGAGTTTGACAGGATAATGACTAGTGGGAGTTACAGAGAAGGATTCAGGCTAAAGGGATCAGATAGGGACTTCATGTTCTGGCCGTATGACCACAGTGTAATTTGGGACTTAGATCAGGCTCAGAATTATGTCCTAAATAGAAAAACACTGATCCTCTGTGATTGTTCTGGAAGCCCTACAGGATTTGCTTTACTTGAATTACTGACGCCATCATACAGAGAAGATTTAAAGAATGCATGTATAAAAATAAATAGCAGACTCTATATATCCAGTTCCAAATACAGACAGATCACATGTTCAGCAACTCTGCCTAATTGTACGGAACATGGTCCGTGTGGTAGTTGTATTTCTGGTGGAGCAGAGTATGACATCGCCCAATGTTTTGTCTGTGATTTTTGGCCCCCTCCTGCCTTCAAATGGATAGACAGATGTCACTCATGGCCCCCATCTTATATTGTTGATGACATAGTCAGAAATGGATGCCACTTTGTAGCAATAGGACACAAACTAGGAAAGCACGCAGACAAAGAATGGAGAATTTCCTTCTCTTTGGCAGAACAGAAACTTGTATACTCAATGAATCATTGCCAATTCTTAACCTATGGGTTGCTTAAATTGTTTCTAAAAGAATGCATTAACAATGATTTAAGAGATGAGGAAAACTTATTGTGTTCCTATCACATGAAGACAGCAGTTTTCTGGATGATTCAACAAAACAGAATGCCTCATTGGCATCCACAAAATCTCCTGCAATGTTTCTGGGTCTGTTTTAAACTTATCCTTAAATGGGTGTATGAGGGGGTATGTCCTAACTTTTATTCCAAAAAACAACATGTTTCTGAGTAATATCTATGGTGAAGCACAAAAGAATTTATTCATTAAGCTTCATGAAATGTATGAGAAAGGTTTCGTATCACTGCTTCATTCTCCATCTATCAGGTCTAGTGTTATAAAAGTCCTTCAAAATCCTAGACAATCTGCTGTTACAGATGAACACATTCTGATCTCCCACGGTTTGTTTGAAGTCGATCTATTTGACGAGTTGTATGGAAATAATCTACCAACATCAGACCTACTTCAACGTATGAAGTTCCTCAATGCTGTAGAAAAGTTGATAATTCTACCCCTGACTCAATATCAAATTCTCATGTTACAAAAGTTCACAGCCTCTACACTCCAGAACACTGCTTTTATGTTATACAACCTTTTAACCGTTTTTGCACCACTCAAGATAAATACTAGCTCAGTTGTTAACAAACGGGTGTATTTGGCTTATAAAACATCCAGTTATATGCTGAAATTAGCAGCCAAGTTTGGATGTATTTCTGATATGTTGTACATTGCAATGTTTTACTACAAGATACTTAGATATAAAGAAGCCCTATCAGTTATAGAGATGACAAAGGTCAAGTTAGCACAGCCATATGTCTTCCTGAGGTACATGTTTAGTGAGTCCACCATGGGACAGTCCTGGTCTACAAAGATGAGACATGCTGTAGCATGGGATATTTTTCTTGAAAATGATATCTGTTACTTCAATGAATTAGTGCCCGAACAACAGTCTGGTTTACAGTTCCGAAACCTGTCATTATTTATCCCACTCTCTGTTCTCTTACACATGTTAGAGATCTTGTGTTACAGACATGTAGACCCAATGAGAGCACAAACAGCTCTAGATGATCTACAGAACCTGGTCCACCAGGATAAGGGGGCGTACATTCATGTAAATAAAAGAGACATATCATGGCAGATTCTAGGGATCTGTCAACAGGTGACAGGGGATCACCAAGCTGCTCTGTACTCCTACCACCAATCTCTCAAACAAAATGTATACAACAATATTCGAACCGCTACAGTTATAAGAATACAGGAAATCATGGAACTTATGCACAGAGACTTTTAATTATAAATAATTTAAGAGTTGACATAACTTCAGCAGTTCTAAACTTTTCTTTGACAAGAGGAAGAAAGAAAGACACTCTCTCATCCCTCCCCATCCTTTAATTGTTTGTTGATTAAATTTGATATTAAGTGATTTATCATAGGAATGTAAAACATTGTACAGAATTATTTTTCAAAGTTTTATTTTTAGAGTTGTGTTTAAATGTGTCATTGTTTATCATTTTAAAAGAAATTGGAAGATTTTTTGGTTCCCCATTTCATAAAGAACTGGTATCATCTGATTTACAGAATATTTTTGTTAGGGGGTTGGCTTTACAATAAGTTCTTATTGCAGATTTCTCCTCAAAATGATGACATCCAGCCATAATCATCCTACTTTTCTGGTATAATCAGTATCCATTGCCAAGTTTTAACAGCCACGTCTTGTTAAAAGTTCAATACATGTATTTCAGAATTACAAAATTACAAAATTAAGCGACTATCAATTAAATACTCTAAACATGTAAATGTTGGCGATGTTGAAAAACTGATGAAATTAACGATAACTAATAATCGTCAGTGTTTCAAATCATCAGTTTTCTCGTTAATTAAAGAGCTCTTAAAAAGAAATCTAAGATATTATTAGACTTTCAAAGTTCTCATCAAGTGTTTGAGATAAGGAAGTTAATTGTCAATATTTAAACTTTTTGATATAATCATTTAACCAAGTTTACATTTAATTGGTATGTTCTTAATATAGCACAACCCATACAGTCCTTTGTCAAACTGTGTTACTAAAAACAAACAAATGAACATGCACAGTAATCAGTAATAAATTTAAACAACAGCATTTCATTGTTTGCTTTAAGACTACCAAGAATTCTTCAATCAATGGTTACAATTCAGAATTCTCCATAGAATTCTACCTAAAAACCAGTGATGTATCAACTGGACTCTCTTCTTTCATCAAGTCTTCGTCAAGGAAGAAGGAAGAATTGAAAGAGGGGAAACAAGTCATTTGAATTAATTTAAGACATTTCCTTTGATGTGATGAGAATGTATTTGATTTATACCGAGCATATAAAATCGAAAGAACAAAATCTTATTTATGATAAATTAAGCCTTCATAAAGTTTTGAAAACTACACATCCAGACTTTATTCGTAATTTATACTGTTTCTTGTCAGTGCGGATTAGAAATTCTAAAATCTACAATTATAGAATGTAAAAGTATTCGACTATATGATTTGTTGATGATAAGATAAAATTTGCCATTACAAAATTGCATATCAATTAATTCTTACTTTTTGTCATTATATTTTAACTGTTTGGAATTGTTAATGGTCTATAAAAATTGGATAATTTTAGAAGGCATAATAACTAAGATTATTAAATGTATCGGTAAATTTCAGATATGCCATAATTTTGTACTGTATGTGATAAACCACGTATGTTTCCTTTACATAGTGTATACTACAAATATTTTCTCAAATTTTTTGGTCATTATAGTAACATTATGTGCATCATTCATTTGCATTTTGATTGACGTTTCAAACCAATTATTAGGTTATTTTCAATATGAAGTTTGACTACACAATACTCCGTTTACCTGATCAATCAAGGTGACCATGTGACAGTTCGACAGGTGAGTTACGCCTCCTACATAGGCACTTGATCCAACCTCTGTTGTTTCCAAGGGTTCCTGATCTTACCCTCATGAATGGTTTGTTCAGTTTACAGTTTGATGAGATGGATCACTGCTCCAGGGGTCAGTGATCTTGCCCCCATGGATAATTTGTACAGTTTACACTATTGATGAGATTGATCACTGCTCCAGGGGATCGTGATTTTTACCTATGAATTATTTGTATAGTTTACAGGCTTGGTGAGATGGATCACTGCTCCAGGGGTCCGTGATTTTGCCATATGTATGATTTGTATAGTTTACAGGATTGATGAGATGGATCACTGCTCCAGGGGTCCGTGATTTTGCCCCATGTATGATTTGTATAGTTTACAGGATTGATGAGATAGATTACTGCTCCAGGGAATTGTGATTTTGCTCCATAAATGATTTTGATAGTTTACAGGATTGATGAGATAGATCACTGCTCCAGGGGTCAGTGATCTTGCCCCCATGGATAATTTGTATAGTTTAAACTATTGATGAGATTGATCACTGCTCCAGGGGTCCTTGATTTTGCCCCACGAATTATTTGTATAGTTTACAGAATTGATGAGATAGATCACTGCTCCAGGGGTCCGTGATTTTGCCCCATGAATTATTTGTATAGTTTACGGGATTGATTAGATAGATTACTGCACCAGGGGTCCGTGATTTTGTCCCATGAAATCTCTGTATAGTTTACAGGATTGATGAGATAGATCACTGCTCAAGGGGTCCATAATTTTGCCCATTGAATGATTTGTAAAGTTTACAGGATTGATGAGATGGATCACTGCTCCATATGTCCGTGATTTTTTCCTCCTGAATGATTTGTATAGTTTACAGGAGATGAGATTGGTCACTGCTCCAGGGGTTCGTGATTTTGCCCCATGAATGATTTGTATAGTTTACAGGATTGATGAGACCAATCACTGTCCGTTACCTTTCTATTTCATTATATGCTACCTCCTCTTTCTAATTCATAGAAACGTGACTAAAGACTGTTTTTTTAAATGATTGGCACATTTTATTGACAAGACTTTATATATAAATAACTACATACATGTAAAACTAAAAACATTACAGATAAAACTATGATTGCACAAGTTTGATGAGTTTGTGGTTTATCCAAGTGACTGGTGTAAAATAAGAAAACTTCACTACCAGAGGTCAGCCATCACACACCAATACAAACCTAGGTCATGCTAGTTTATATTTTATTTTTAAAAATAAATACAATAATATTTCTAATATATCACTAGAATATTGCACTTTACAAAATTTTGGTCACCTTATGACAGAACAGTGGCTGACATCAAGGAATGTACATGTAATTCAAATATCTCCTGCGTGTTCTTTCTCCTAATATTTTGTAATGTTTGGGCCAAGAAAATGACCAAAGTTGTAAATAATTGTTCGTACATAACAGATTCGCAATCAGCAGTTTATATTTGATATCAATCAATTAAATAGTTCTACAACAGTTGTGAGGGTTTGTAGTGATGTCATAGGAAGAACTAATCATGAAGCACTCAAAACCACTCCCTTAAAAGTGAACACTCCTCCAACTCTGGCCACACCTGAATGTTATGGTCCCTCTTGTTTTAACTTTTGACTTCTCAACTCCAAGCTCCCTTATCATCAAACTGCAACCAGGTCGGACATAAAAATTAACAGTTATAGGAATATTCTTTCTATGGAAAATTTACTGTTTTCTTTCATTTTCTTTCAATGTTCAAACCCAATTTTTCAAAGAATTAGATATAAATCTGCTGATACCTTGCTTGGACTAAAATCTGCAAAGTTGGCAAAAGCATCATCTGAGGCGGCAGCATTACTTCCTGTGGAGCTTGAGAAAGGGTCATTACCTGTCACAGTAAAATAAGCAGGGGTTAGTAATATAATCAGCTTTGTCATTAGCTATGACAGTATAATAAACAAGCATTAATCATATAATCAGCTTTGTCATTACCTGTCACAGTAAAATAAACAAGGATTAATCATATAATCATATTTGTCATTGCCTGTCACAGGTAAACAAGGATTAGTAATATAATCAGCTTTGTCATTACCTGTCACAGTAAAATAAGGATTAATCATAGAATCAGCTTTGTCATTACCCGTCACAGGCATAAAAAACAAGGATTAGTAATATAATAAGCTTTGTCATTACCTGTCACAGGTAAACAAGGATTAGTAATATAATCAGCTTTGTCATTACCTGTCACAGGTAAACAAAGATTAGTAATATAATCAGCTTCGTCATTACCTGTCACAGTAAAATAAACAAGGATTAGTAATATAATCAGCTTTGTCATTACCTGTCACAGGTAAACAAGGATTAGTAATATAATCAGCTTTGTCATTACCTGTCACAGGTAAACAAAGATTAGTAATATAATCAGCTTCGTCATTACCTGTCACAGTAAAATAAACAAGGATTAGTAATATAATCAGCTTTGTCATTACCTGTCACAGGTAAACAAGGATTAGTAATATAATCAGCTTTGTCATTATCTGTCACAGGTAAACAAAGATTAGTAATATAATCAGCTTCGTCATTACCTGTCACAGGTAAACAAGGATTAGTAATATAATCAGCTTTGTCATTACCTGTCACAGGTAAACAAGGATTAGTAATATAATCAGCTTTTTCATTACCTGTCACAGATAAACAAGGATTAGTAATATAATCAGCTTTGTCATTACCTGGCACAGGTAAACAAGGATTAGTAATATAATCAGCTTTGTCATTATCTGTCACAGGTAAACAAAGATTAGTAATATAATCAGCTTCGTCATTACCTGTCACAGGTAAACAAGGATTAGTAATATAATCAGCTTTGTCATTACCTGTCACAGGTAAACAAGGATTAGTAATATAATCAGCTTTGTCATTATCTGTCACAGGTAAACAAAGATTAGTAATATAATCAGCTTCGTCATTACCTGTCACAGGTAAACAAGGATTAGTAATATAATCAGCTTTTTCATTACCTGTCACAGATAAACAAGGATTAGTAATATAATCAGCTTTGTCATTACCTGGCACAGCAAAATAAACAAGGATTAGTAATATAATCAGCTTTATGTTGAAATGGATTCCTATAGAAATGAGCTTATTTTGTAAAAAGATCTGAAATCTTGACATTAAATGTTATGGCTCAACAAAAATTATATAAATCAGTATCTAGGATCGGGGTAATAATAACTTCTCAATATATACATGTATTTTTTGTGATCTTCTAAAAGGTCAGTCATTGTAAACTTCACCTTGTATACTCCAAATATCTATGACCTTGACCTTATCACAATGACCTAGTATAATTGCCTCTACTTCTTCACTACAAAGTGATAGCCTAAGCAATATAATATGGACTGAAAATACAGATGGCAAAATATATAGAGATGATAAAACCTACTTACTCTGTACTTAATATTAATTCATGCAACTTAATGATACATATACTATTTTTAACACTACTAAGTCAAAACAAAACATACCTGCAAATGGATCACTGTCGAAACCCCCAAGCTGTTGACTAGGGCTGGGAGTGGGTCTGTTTTTGGGAGGGGCAGGTCTTGGAGGAGGCTGTTTCTTCTGTTTGGGGGGCAAAGCTGGGGCTGGTGACTTGGGTCCCAGAGAAGGTCGAGAAGGTGATTTTGGTGCAAAAGGGTCACCACCAAATAAATTGTCTGGTTTCTGTAAAGAATCCCAAGGTGTCATAACTCTTCTCACAAAGATGAATAAGGTTTTATCAGCACTTCATAAATTTATTTATCTCTACTAATATCCTATGTCTTTCATTGATTTGGTAAAAGAACAGACATTAGAGATGTCAAGCTCCATTTCTTACACTTGGTTTTGTGCTGGATACTCCTTTCCCAAAAGGATCAAAAGCATCTAGTTTGGAATTATCTGTACCTCCAAATGATGCAAATGGGTCCACACTATTAAATGGATCTTCCTACCAAACAGATATTCAAAGATGTGACTTATAAACCGTGTTGATAACATTGTTTGTTTTACCCCTAACCCCCACCCCATCCTTTTTTAAAATAAATTTATGGAGAGGCAGTTTAATAAGCTTAAATGTTTTTCTTTTCTTTCTAATCTTTGGAAATGCACTGCTTTGCTTGAGGACACCCTCACTGTCTTAGTAATGATTTGAAATGTTTTATGAATGAAATTCCTGTAACTGAAGAAAGTTAAAGAAGTACAACTGAACACATAAAGACATTAAAATCTATAAGTGCATCTATCTGGTGATCTACAATAGAGTGAAAGCGCGAACCTTTCCAGACTTAGAGGAACTCTCGAATGTGTCTGTGGATTTGAATGGATCATCAGAGGAGAATGGATCGGAACCAAATGATGACTTGAATGGATCACCACCTACGACAGAGAGAACAAGAGGCCCATGGGCCACATCGCTCACCTGAGTAACTTTGGCCATGCTGTTCATAACCAGACTTCCCCCCCTTGTAATACCTATTGTGGCCCCGCCCTACCCCCAGGGGCCAGGATTTGAACAATTTAGAATCTACACTACCCCAGGATGCTTCCACATAAGTTTCAGCTTTTCTGGTCCAGTGGTTCTTGAGAAGATTTTTAAAGATTTTTCCTATATATTTCAATGTAAAACTTGTATTCCCTATTGTGGCCCCGCCCTACCCCCGAGGGTCATGATTTGAACAATTTAGAATTTACACTACCCCAGGATGCTTCCACATAGGTTTCAGCTTTTCTGGCACAGTGGTTCTTGAGAAGAAGATTTTTAAAGATTCTTCCTACATATTTCAATGTAAAACTTGTATTCCCTATTGTGGCCCTGCCCTACCCCCGGGGGTCATGATTTAAACAATTTCAAATCTACACTACCCCAGGATGCTTCCACATAAGTTTCAGCTTTTCTGGCTCAGTGGTTCTTGAGAAGAAGATTTTTAAAGATTCTTCCTATATATTTCAATGCAAAACTTGTATTCCCTATTGGGGCCCTGCTCTATCCCCGGGGGTCATGATTTGAACAATTCAGAATCTACACTACCCCAGGATGCTTCCACATAAGTTTCAGCTTTTCTGGCTCAGTGGTTCTTGAGAAGAAGATTTTCAAAGATTTTTCCTATATATTTCAATGTAAAACTTGTATTCCCTATTGTGGTCCCGCCCTACCCCCAGGGGCCAGGATTTGAACAATTTAGAATCTACACTATCCCAGGGTGCTTCCACATAAGTTTCAGCTTTTCTGGCTCAGTGGTTCTTGAGAGAAAGATTTTAAAAGATTCTTCCTATATATTTCAATGTAAAACTTGTATTCCCTATTGTGGCCCCGCCCTACCCCTGGGGGTCATGATTTTAACAATTTAGAATCTACATTACCCCAGGATGCTTCCACATAAGTTTCAGCTTTTCTGGCACAGTGGTTCTTGAGAAGAAGATTTTTAGAGATTTTTCCTATATATTTCAATGTAAAACTTGGATTCCCTATTGTGGCCCTGCCCTACCCCCGGGGGTCATGATTTGAATAATTTAGAATCTACACTACCTCAGGATGCTTCCATATAAGTTTCAGCTTTTCTGGCTCAGTGGTTCTTGAGAAGAAGATTTTTAATGACCCCACCCTATTTTTGTCTTTTCTTGATTATCTCCCCTTGTAAGGGGACTTGGCCCTTTATTTTAACAATTTAAACTCCCCTTCACCCAAGGGTACTTTGTACCAAGTTTGGTTAAAATTGGCCCAGTGGTTCTTGAGAAGAAGTTGAAAATGTGAAAAGTTTACAGACGGACGGACGGATGGACGACGGACAATGGGTGATCAGAAAAGCTCACTTGAGCTTTCAGCTCAGGTGAGCTAAAAAAGGATTTGTTTCATTTGATGGCATTTATTTTTTGGGTTCAGAAAATTTTCTTTCTTCCCATTCAAAAATTTATAACTAATTTTACTTTTTGAGACAATGACATTTATCAAATACAATGTACTTAGTTCAGGCAAAAGTCAGTTGGTGAGAAATGTTGACCAAGACTCCCTAAATATGACTTTTTCCTCTATGTCCATCTCCAAACTATGTACTATGACCTGCTTAGTATACAGATAAATGTACCTTCTTTAAATGGGTCATCACTCTGAAATGGGTCAGATCCTCCTCCACCTGTGTCGCCCCCAAACATGTCCTTACTCTTAAAGGGGTCCTCCTTAAAGTCATCTAAGGCTGACCCTGCACTGAAGTTACTTATGGTACTGACTGGGCTACCATACTGAAATCATTCACAGTCAACACTTATTATAATGAAGTTACTGATGGTATTGACTGGGCTACTGGGCTACCATACTGAAATCACATCACAGTTAATGCACCTAAGATCTTGTACACTGTAATAGTACTTACTGTACACCTAGTAATTACAGTAGACCTAGTACTTACTGTAGACCTAATACTTACTGTAGCCCAAGTACTTACTGTAGACCTAGTACTTACTGTAGCCCTAGTACTTACTGTAGACCTAGTACTTACTGTAGACCTAGTACTTACTGTAGACCTAGTACTTACTGTAGACCTAGTACTTACTGTAGCCCTAGTACTTACTGTAGACCTAGTACTTACTGTAGACCTAGTACTTACTGTAGCCCTAGTACTTACTGTAGACCTAGTACTTACTGTAGCCCTAGTACTTACTGTAGACCTAGTACTAACTGTAGACCTAGTACTTACTGTAGCCCTAGTACTTACTGTAGACCTAGTACTTACTGTAGACCTAGTACTTACTGTAGACCTAGTACTTACTGTAGACCTAGTACTTACTGTAGCCTAAGTACTTACTGTAGCCCTAGTACTTACTGTAGACCTAGTACTTACTGTAGACCTAGTACTTACTGTAGAAATAGTACTTACTGTAGAAATAGTACTTACTGTAGAAATAGTACTTACTGTAGACCTAGTACTTACTGTAGACCAAGTACTTACTGTAGACCAAGTACTTACTGTAGACCTAGTACTTACTGTAGACCTAGTAATTACAGTAGACCTAGTACTTACTGTAGACTTAGTACATACAGTAGACCTAGTACTTACTGTAGCCCTAGTACTTACTGTAGCCCTAGTACTAACTGTAGACCTAGTACTTACTGTAGAAATAGTACTTACTGTAGACCTAGTACTTACTGTAGACCTAGTACTTACTGTAGACCTAGTACTTACTGTAGAAATAGTACTTACTGTAGACCTAGTACTTACTGTAGCCCAAGTACTTACTGTAGACCTAGTACTTACTGTAGACCTAGTACTTACTGTAGACCTAGTACTTACTGTAGACCTAGTACTTACTGTAGCCCTAGTACTTACTGTAGACCTAGTACTTACTGTAGACCTAGTACTTACTGTAGACCTAGTACTTACTGTAGAAATAGTACTTACTGTAGACCTAGTACTTACTGTAGAAATAGTACTTACTGTAGACCTAGTACTTACTGTAGACCTAGTACTTACTGTAGCCCTAGTACTTACTGTAGACCAAGTACTTACTGTAGACCTAGTACTTACTGTAGACCTAGTACTTACTGTAGACCTAGTACTTACTGTAGACCTAGTACTTACTGTAGACCTAGTACTTACTGTAGAAATAGTACTTACTGTAGCCCTAGTACTTACTGTAGAAATAGTACTTACTGTAGACCTAGTACTTACTGTAGAAATAGTACTTACTGTAGACCTAGTACTTACTGTAGCCCTAGTACTTACTGTAGACCTAGTACTTACTGTAGACCTAGTACTTACTGTAGCCCTAGTACTTACTGTAGACCTAGTACTTACTGTAGAAATAGTACTTACTGTAGACCTAGTACTTACTGTAGAAATAGTACTTACTGTAGAAATAGTACTTACTGTAGAAATAGTACTTACTGTAGAAATAGTACTTACTGTAGAAATAGTACTTACTGTAGAAATAGTGCTTACTGTAGACCTAGTACTTACTGTAGACCTAGTACTTACTGTAGCCCTTGTACTAAGATAGTCCTTGTATTGATCGTCCTGGAGTTGGTTGGAGAAGATACTAGACACCTCACTTTAACACACTGCTATAATTGTGTCAGTACTTACTGTAGCCCTTGTACTAAGATCGTCCTGGAGTTGGTTGGAGAAGATATGAGACACCTCACTGTTAACACTGCTGTAACTGGCTATGCTGTGTTTTAAGCCTCTCTCCTGATCATTTAAATGCTGTACTCTCTGACGAGTCTAAAATAAAAATATATTTAAGATTTTTTTTTTTTCTACATCCAGTGACAGTAACTTGAAGGTCAGTGACTTGATCAATATCTGCATTTCCAAAATGTTTATTGATTTTGTAAATACATTTTCCTTTCTTATGATTGATTTTCCAAATAGCCTATCTTTTCATGCACAAGTATAACATCTTGAAAAATAAAAGTTAAGCAGATATATCCCCATATTTCAGGTATTCCTTTTCTTTTCTTTTTTACAATTTTGTTTGTTGTTCATGATTTGTATTGTTAAAAACTATCTGAGATCAATCGCGGTTCTTTTTTTCTCCCCTTTCATGTACCTATCTCCCAAAACTGTTCCACAAATAATAGATATCCAATTGTAGATCATTAATATTGTAATTGTGACACTTGGACTCTTACCTGTGATATTTGAAGCTGAAGATCATTTTGTGATTTGACCAGCAACTCTAGTTGTTGTTTTCCACCCTCCACTTGCTGTTCCATCTTTGATTCTTCCTCCCTCAGTGAATTTAGTTCCACTCTTAATTTCTCCAGCTCTTTCTCTTGGTTCTTGATTTTCAAATGAAAATGACATTTTATAAATTTTAAAAGAACTGACTGTTTGATCAAACAACTTATATCAAATAAATGAACCAAACTGTGTGACCTACTTGTATATTTTGTGCTTTTTTTAATTAAAAAAAATTGTCAGACACCATTTCTCAATGAATGCTCAGTGAAAACATACTATTATAGATTCTGAAATATACATGAGGAATTTATAACATGTATCAACATTAAGTAGTTGCGTAAAATTGAGATCTTCACTTATTAATATTGATGAGTGACAATTAAACCACTGATTTTTTTTTTCAGTCTGATGATCACTTTTCATTAGACACTTTAACTGCAATGACTACTCCCTATCATGCTGAATATTCATGAGTCACTCTACCTGCACAGACTGCTCCCTGTTGTTGATTTGTGACCGTAACTCCTCAATACTTTTCAGTTCTGTGTCACATTTTTCCTTTAGATCACGAACATTACTCTCAAGGTCAGATTTCTGCAAAAATGTTTTTTAAAACAAATAATTCATTTCATTATAAATCACAAAAGAGAAGATCCCACAGTTTGTCACAAGACTGCTCTATTACACAATTTTTTAATAACTTGAAGTATTCCAGAGCCCCCTTCCCTTATTTTTCAATTACAATTATTAAAAATGCCCTTTGTATTATAATAAAACTGATCAACAGCAATTCAGTGATTCAATAGATTTTGATGAACATAAACCAGATATTGATATTAGAGGAAAAAACTATATAAAAGCATAATTTGGGAATTTTTTTTTTCCAATAAAAAAGTGGCACATCTATAAATGTAGCTTGATATAGTCTACATTTTCACCAGGTTTTACTCAAATCTGAAGAAAACTGACAGAGAAATGACACTGTAAAAAGATATATCAGTAATTTTTTCTAACAGCAGAACTGTTTACCTTATTCTGTAGTTTTTAGTAATTTAAATGTTTTCTCTTTGTAATTTGAGTATTTCATTCATGATGTATTGTTGACAATTCTTTGCTTTAATATTCTAATATACATTTGGTAACTTTTAGATGAGAATGTTTATTGGTGCATAATAGCTGTATTGTCAGCATGTTTCAGACACTTTCTAGTTCTAATTTGTGTTTTACCTTTTCATCCAGTTCGTCCAGACATTTTTGAGCCTGACCTTTCTGGTTCTAATTTGTGTTTTACCTTTTCGTCCAGTTCGTCCAGACATTTTTGAGCCTGTTCTTTCTGATTCTCTAGCTGTTGTAATGTGGCTGTAATGGCGTCCAGTTCTTTCTGTAACATGGCCACCTCACCATTACAAATCTTAATGTCCGCTTCTGTCTGGACATTGTCTCTCTCCAACTGTAACTTCTCTCTGTAAACAAGAACACTCTCAGATAAAATTATTCCAGATAATCACTGTATACCAAAAGTACAGAGCACACAAATTATACCTATTACAGCTAACTCTGTCAGGTCAAAATCTTCCCCAAAAGTATAGGGTGCTCCGAAAACCTGAGCTAACTCTCTACTGTTAAAATCATCTAGATAATCACTGTATACCAAAAGTACAGGGCACTCAGAAAATACCTCAGCTCACTCTCTCAGATCAAAATCTTCCAGATAATCACTGTATACCAAAAATACAAGGCACCTCAGAAATTACCTCTGACAGCTAACTCTGTCAGGTCAAAATCTTCCCCAAAAGTATAGGGTGCTTAGAAAACCTCAGACCTCAAAAATCATTCAGATACTGACTGTATTCCAAATGTACAGGAAATTCAAAAAATACCTCAGCTCAATCTCCATATAATCACTGCATACCAAAAGTACATGGCACTCAGAAAATACCTCTAATTGCTAACTCTATCAGATTAAAATCTAGATAATCACTGTATACCAAATGTACAGGGCACTCAGAAAATACCTCAGCTAACTTGACATATTCATTCATATGCAGTTTATTCTGCTTCCAGAATTCAAATTAAGTCTTTCTTTTCATTGATACTTTTAAGTTTACCTCTGTCAGATTACAGCTACATGTTTAAATCCTCCTGTTTTACATTTTTCTACGCTTTAAAATCTCTCCATTTATTTTAATAGACTGCATAAATCAGGTTAGATTTCAATGTACATCAGATACATCCTTCTCAACTAAACATAAATACAGTGAAACTTGTTTAATCCAGATATGTATTCCAAAATCTTGCCTAATACAAGGTTAACTTTAAGTCTCTTTCAGTAAATTCAGTTGTTTAAATAGTTGTCTAATTCAGAGCTTTTTTTTAATCCAGCAATTTTGTTTAGAACGAGTGGTGTCCGGATTAGACTAGCTTTACTGTATTATCATGTTATATACTAAATATCAGGAAATATGCCTGTAAGAGGTACCTGGTATTTTCAGGGTACAATGGACGAAGCTTACAGGTCCATATCTGCGCAAAGACAGAGGGAAAGCATTTTTCCCGATATTTCCACAATTTCTTTTGAATATATATTTAATGCAAATACATTTTTTCCAACCCATTTGAATGGAATTTCTCTGTATTTCTGGCCATTAACATCTTTACAAGTAACTGCCAATTCAACAGATATTTGTGACATCAGATGCACATGTATGTGTTTTCATTGAGAAAGGAGTGACAGGAAAACATATTGTGACATCAGAAAAGCAAAAGTTCTCTCTATACATTCTATTGAGAAATATATCGACATAATGGAATGAAATGAATATTCTACTATAGTACTTGCTCTAAATGACCTTCTTACAAAATAATCACATGATCTTTAAATTGTAGTCATCAAGTACTTTGATATCTAAATACATTAAGCTCAATGATTATCTAAATACATTCAGCTCAATGATGATCAACATAATTTGCACAATGCCTCTTATAATGCATATATTTCAACACAACACTTACCCAGCCTACCAGCAATATTCTGACTTAAACAAAGCTACCTTTTCATGTCCTCAATTTCCTTGGAGATGATGTCCAGTTCTTTGATGGCTGAAGAATCCGCCACATGTCCATAGGGTCCGGCATTCACTCCATCCTGTAAAAATCCCAATCAAATAGTTACTTCTTGTAGATTAAAACTAGGTTTTTTTCACCTCAACAACAAATCAGTTTTACAAAGTCATATTCTGTGAAATAAACTTAATAGATTTGTACAGAGTTATAACTGCAAGTTAGAGATAATATTTGCGGTGCAAAAAATATTACATATTTCAGCCCTTAAATTGATGAATAATTGTATAATTGCAAAACATTTTGAATTTATTTATAAATCCAACTTAAGAAACCTATACTCACTGTAACACCAAACTGTGTGGTGTCAGCATTCCCCTTGGGTCGCATGGAGGGGGGCATCATCTCTGGGGTGAGGGTGGCTGGAGGATCTACCCCCTTTAGTTTCTGTTGTACAAGGTACATGGCCAGGGCGAACTGTTCCGTGTTTATCTTCCCCACACTGTTTGTGTCACACAGAGTCCTAAAAAAATTAATAGAATAACTAGTGGGTATTGTTTTTTTTACAAAAAAACACATGTCTCCCCTTCTTTACCAACATTAATGAGTGCAAATATATGATCAGGGTCAAAAATAACAAGAGGCCCATGGGCCACAACGCTCACCTGAGTCAATATGGTCCTGCTGTTCTTCGTCAGCAGATTTCTTCTCCTATATATTCATATGTAAAGCTTTGATTGCCTGTTCTAGGCATACCCTACCCCCAGGTCCCATGTTTTGAATGAAATTGAACCTTAACTTTCTGAAGCTGCTTCTATATTCATATAACTAATCATGGCTTTGCCGTTCTTGAAAACGGAATTTTAAAGATGTCTGCCACCCTACCTGGGGGGGGGGGGGGGGGGGGGGGTTCATGCTTTGAACAAACTTGAATCTACACTACCTGAGGATGCTACCATATCAATATGACTAATCATGGCTTTGTTGTTCTTGAGATGAAGACTTTTAAAGAAATTTCCAATATATGTTCTTTTGTAAAACTTTGATACCCCATTATGGCCCCAACCTACAACTAGAGGATGCCTTAAACAAACTTGAATCTACGATACCTGGGGATGCTTCCATATCAATATAATTAATGATGGCTTTCCCGTTCTTGAGAAGTAGATTTTTCCTATATATTCCTATGTGAAACTCTGACCCCCATTGTGGCCCCACCCTACCCCCCGGGGTCATGATTTGAACAAACTTGAATCTTCTCTACCTGAGGATGATTCCATATCAATATGACTAATCATGGCTTTCTTGTTCTTGAGATGAAGAATTTTAAAGATTTTTCCTATATATTTCTATGTAAAACTTTGATCCCCCATTGTGGCCCCACCCTACCCCCACGGGTCATGATTTGAACAAATTTGAATCTTCACTACCTGAGGATGATTTCATATAAATATGACCAATCAAGGCTTTGCTGTTCCTGAGAAGTAGATTTTTAAAGATTTTTTATATATTCCTATGTAAAACTTTGATCCTCCATTTTGGCCCTATCCTATCCCCAGGGGTCATGATTTGAACAAACTTGAATCTACAATACCTGAGGATGATTCTATATCAATATGACTAATTGTGGCTTTGTTGTTCTTGAGAAGAAGATTTTTAAAGATTTTTTATATATATTCTTAATATGTAAAACTTTGATCCCCCCATTGTGGCCCCGCCCTACCCCCAGGGGTCATGATTTGAACAAACTTAAATCTACACTATGTAATGAAGGTTTCAACTTTTCTGGCCCAATGGTTCTTGAGAAGATTTTAAACAAGAGGCCCAGGGGCCACATCGCTCACCTGAGCACTATGGCTAGGAAAAAGCAGAAATCACTTCAATCTTGAAAGGTTGAAAAGTTTAAATATAAAAGTGGGGGGGGGGGGGGTGTCATGAATTGAACAAATTTGAATCTACATTATCTGAGGATGCTTCCATTTAAATATGACCAATCATGGCTTTGCTGTTCTTGAGTAGAAGATTTTTAAAGATTTAACCTATGTATTCCTATGTAAAACTTTGATCACCCATTGTGGCCCCACCCGACCCCCAGGGGTCATGTTTGAACAAACTTGAATGTACACTATCTAAGAATGCTTCCATATAAATATGACCAATCATGGCTTTGCTATTCTTAACAAATAGTTTTTTTTAAAGATTTTTACTATGTGTTCCTATGTAAAACTTTGATCGGCCATTGTGGCCCCACCCGACCCCCAGGGGTCATGATTCGAACAAATCTGTATGTACACTATCTGAGAATGCTACCATATAAATATGACCAATCATGGCTCTGCTATTCTTAACAAATAGTTTTTTTTAAGATTTTTACTATGTGTTCCTATGTAAAACTTTGATCGCCCATTGTGGACCCATCTGACCCCCGGGGGTCATGATTTGAACAAATTTGAATGTACACTATCTGAGGATGCTTCCATGTAAATGTGACCAATCATGGCTTTGCTGTTCTTGAGAAGAAGATTTTTGAAGATTTTCCCATATATTCCCATGTAAAACTTTGATCGCCCATTGTGGACCCATCCGACCCCCGGGGGTCATGATTTGAACAAATTTGAATGTACACTATCTGAGGATGCTTCCATGTAAATGTGACCAATCATGGCTTTGCTGTTCTTGAGAAGAAGATTTTTGAAGATTTTCCCATATATTCCTATGTAAAACTTTGATCGCCCATTGTGGCCCCACCCGACCCCCGGGGGTCATGAGTTGAAGAAACTTGAATCTACACTACCTGAGGATGCTACCATATAAATATGACCAATCATGGCTTTGTTGTTCTTGAGAAGAAGATTTTTAAAGATTTTTTCCTTTATATTCCTATGTAAAACTTTGATCGCCCATTGTGGCCCCACCCGACCCCCGGGGGTCATGATTTGAACAAATTTGAATCTACACTACCTGAGGATGCTTCCATGTAAATATGACCAATTATGGCTTTGCTGTTCTTGAGAAGAAGATTTTTAAAGATTTTTTCCTATATATTCCTATGTAAAATTTTGATCGCCCATTGTGGCCCCAACCGACCCCCGGGGGTCATGATTTGAACAAACTTGAATCTATACTACCTGAGGATGCTTCCATGTAAATATGACCAATTATGGCTTTGCTGTTCTTGAGAAGAAGATTTTTAAAGATTTTTTCCTATATATTCCTATGTAAAACTTTGATCGCCCATTGTGGCCCCACCCGACCCCCGGGGGTCATGATTTGAACAAATTTGAATCTACACTACCTGAGGATGCTTCCAGGTAAATATGACCAATTATGGCTTTGCTGTTCTTGAGAAGAAGATTTTTGAAGATTTTTTCCTATATATTCCTATGTAAAATTTTGATCGCCCATTGTGGCCCCACCCGACCCCCGGGGGTCATGATTTGAACAAACTTGAATCTACACTACCTGAGGATGCTACCATATAAATATGACCAATCATGGCTTTGCTGTTCTTGAGAAGAAGATTTTTAAAGATTTTTCCTGTATATTTCCTATGTAAAACTTTGATCGCCCATTGCGGCCCCACCCTACCCCCGGGGGTCATGATTTGAACAAACTTGAATCTACACTACCTGAGGATGCTTCCACATAAGTTTCATGTTTTCAAGCACAGTGGTTCTTGAGAAGAAGATTTTTTAATGATGCCATTAATTTTTCACAAATTCTCAATTATCTCCCCTTGGAAGAAGGCGTGGCCCTTCATTTGAACAAACTTGAATCTCCTTTACCCAAGGATACTTTGTGGCAAGTTTGGTTGAAATTGGCCCAGTGGTTCTTGAGAAGAAGTCGAAAATGTGAAAAGTTTACAGACGGACAGACAGAATGACAGACGGACAGACGGACTACAGACAAAATGTGATCAGAAAAGCTCACTTGAGCCTTCGGCTCAGGTGAGCTAATAATGCAGTGCATCTCAACTCAAATTCTGTGTACAAAATTTCAAGTCTTCATCTCAAACGGATCTCAAGTAATGGTCTGGTCATGTTTTTTCTTAATTTGACCTTGAAGAAAGTGGTCAAGGTCAAATATTTTGATGCAGTGCATTTAGTCTCAATGTTGTCTTTCCTTGTTCCAAGTTTGAAATCCTAATGTCAAAAAGTTCTCAAGTTATGACCTAGACTATATTTTCATGTAAACGATTGACCTTGACTTTATTAATAGGTCAAGGTGAAAAAAATGTTGCCATTCACCCTTCCTCTATACCACCTCTCCATGTTCCAAGTTTGAAGTCTTAATGTCAGGGTTCTCAAGTAATGGTCTATTCATGTTTTCTCTATTCGACCTTTAACAAAGGGGTCAAGGTCAAAATTTTGAAGCGTTGCATCTTGTAACAATGTCTTCTTTCTATGTTACAAGTTTGAAGTCCTTATATCAAAGGGTACTCAAGCTATGGCTTGGACTCTATTTTGATGTTAAAGATTGACCTTGACCTTATAATAATTGAATCAAGGTCAAAAATTATGGTGGCATGCATCCCTCCTTCATACCACTTCTGCATGTTCCATGCCTGAAGTCTTTATAACAAAGGATTCTTAAGTAATGGTCTAATCAAATTTTTTCCCTATTTGACCTTGAGGAAGAAAAGAGGTCAAGGTCAAAAAATTTGGTGTGTTGCATCTTGTATCCATGTCTTCTGCCTCTGTAACAAGTTTGAAGTCCTAATATCAAAGGGTACTCAAGCTATGGCTTGGACTCTATTTTGATGTAAAAGATTGACCTTGACCTTATAATAATTGAATCAAGGTCAAAAATTTTCATGGCATGCATCCCTCCTTCTTATCACTTCTGCATGTTCCATGCCTGAAGTCTTTATAACAAAGGATTCTTCAGTAATGGTCTAATCAAGTTTTTTCCCTATTTGACCTTGAGGAAGAAAAGAGGTCAAGGTCAAAAATTTTGTTGTGTTGCATCTTGTATCAATGTCTTCTTTCTTTGTTACAAGTTTGAAGTCCTAATATCAAAGGGTACTCAAGCTATGGCTTGGACTCTATTTTGATGTAAAAGATTGACCTTGACCTTATAATAATTGAATCAAGGTCAAAAATTTTGGTGGCATGCATCCCTCCTTTATACCACCTCTGCATGTTCCAAGTTTGAAGTCTTAATGTCAAAAGGTTCTCAAGTTATGGTCAGATCGTGTTTTTTCCCTATTTGACCTTGAAGGCAGAAAGGGGTCAAGGTCAAAATTCTAATGCAGTGTATTTTGTCTCAAGATCTTCTTCCTATGTTACAAGTTTGAAGTCCTAATATCAAAGGGATCTCAAGTTATGGGCTGAACTCTATTTTGATGTAAAAGATTGACCTTGACCTTATAAATAGGTCAAGGTCAAAAATGTTGGTGGCGTGCACTCCTTCTCAATGTCATCTATCTATGTTCCAAGTTTGAAGTCTTAATGTCAAAGGGTATTAAAGTTACGGCCTGGACAAAATTTGGATGAAGAAGAAAAAGAAGAAGAAGAAAATCGACAAAAACAATATGTCTCCCCTGGAAGGGGAGACATAAATCAGAGAGGCTTTACTTTAACTGTGGTTGCATTCTTGATCCAGAATTTATATACAATTCTCTAATCAATGCTTATAGCTTCAATAAATCAAAGAGACTTTACTATAACTGTGGTTTCATTCTTGATCCAGAATTAATTCTATAATCAATGCTTACAGCTTCAATTTGTTACTGGTTACAATTTTTTCTTTAGGTCTTTATGGCCATGAATATTGTGCAGCGACCTTTTTAAAAATACTCTGCCCCTGCTTTAGCTAACCCTGACATACATAATTTTCTCTGTTTTTTCCATAACAAATATGGCTGGGACAATCATGTCAAAGTTTTCTTCCAGTAACAGTCAAACCTCATTATTAAGAATTTGATGGGACCAAGAAAAGAATCTAAAATATCAGAGGATTCAAGATATTGGGAGTTTAATGCTTAAAGAATAAGTGGGTGGGGATTTCCAAATCACTGACATGTCCATGGTATTCGAGATATCAGAGTTTGAGATACTGAAGTTAAAGTGTACCTTTTTTTTTTTAGAATCACATACTTTGGTCATCAGTAACAGTACATCAAGTTCATGTTTATGAGTTTCGATGTTTATCTATTGCTAAATAATACTTTCCCTTTGATGACTATTGCCTGTCCCAGTGACAACTTTGAAACATAGTTATGTTAATAGTGTGTCATGTTCACAGTAGTTTTCTGAGTATCACTTAGAAAGGAGGGCAAATTAATTAATTAATCTCAGCTTTGTCTTAGATTATTTTTAATACATAACTACTGTGCTCATGGCAATCAATAAAAAAAATAAAAACAAAACAAGTGCAAGAAGTCTAATATTTCATGAAGATATCCAATAAAAATATTACTGATGATTGCACAAATAACACATATTGAAAGTTTATTTATAAACTGAAAGTACAATAGAGATTTTCCACTTCTAATTATAAAATTTAAAGTGACGTACAGGAAACTATAATATTAAAATGACTTCCTACAAATGGCTGTAAGTATAAAAACCATACTTGTACATACATGTATCTATATATAATCAATAATCAATATAGATTAGTACATGTTTCTTTATATTCTAAAATTCATTATTATGTAACTAGTGAGGTGTTGAACCTTAAAAATGATGACCAGTATGACTCTGGCCTTTATTTACATAACTCAGTATAACTTGGACTCATTAATAGTGAAACTTTCACTTTCACTTTTTTTTACATTATTTTTACATATATTTAATATGTTTTGTCTAAGGACTTGAGTATGCAGCATCTGTCAGAGTCTGTATTTGTGGGACTGTGTTACAAAGTGGGGTCCTCAAAGCAGGTGATCATGAGGAGAGAGCTGAAGGACTTCCAGGACATGATGATAAATCAAGTAAAAAAGACAAGAGAAGAAGACATGGAAATCACCAGTGGGAGCTACAGAGAAGGATTCAGGCTACAGGGATCAGATGTGGACATTATGATTTGGCCAATTGACCTCACAGTAATATGGGACTTACACCAGGCTCAGAAATATGACTTAAGTAGAAAAACATTGATTCTCTGTGATTGTTCTGATAGCCCACCAGGATTTGCTTTACTTGAATTATTGACACCAACAGACAGGGAATATTTACAGAATGCAAGTATGAGAATAAATGACAGAGTCTATATATCCAGTTCCAAATACAGACAGATCACATGTTCAGTAGCTATGCGTAATCCTAAGGAACATGGTCCGTGTGGTAGTGGTGTTTTTGGGATAACAGAGTATGACATCGCCAAATGTTTTGTCTGTGATTTTTGGCCCCCTCCTGCCTCCAAATGGATAGACAGATGTCACGCATGGCCCCCGTCTTTTATTGTTGATGGCATAGTCAGAAATGGATGCCACTTTGTGGCAATAGGACACAAACTAGGAAAACACGCAGACAAAGAATGGAGAATTTCATTCTCTTTAGCAGAACAAAAACTTGTATACTCAATGAACCATTGCCAATTCTTAACCTATGGTCTGCTTAAATTGTTTTTAAAAGAATACATTAACAATGGATTAAGTGGTGAGGATAAATTACTGTGTTCCTATCACATGAAGACAGCAGTTTTCTGGGCAATTCAACAAAACACAATACTTCATTGGTATCCACAAAATCTCCTGCAGTGTTTCTGGGTCTGTTTTAAACTTATCCTTAAATGGGTGTATGAGGGGATATGTCCAAACTTCTTTATTCCAGAAAACAACATGTTTCTGAGTAATATCCATGGTGAAGCACAAAAGAATTTATTCATTAGGCTTCATGAATTGTATGAGAAGGGTATAGTATCACTGCTTCATTGTCCATCTATCAGGTCTAGCATTACAAGTGTCCTTATAAATCCCAGACAACCTGTTGATACAGATGAACACATGCTGATCTCCAAGGCTTTGTTTGCAGTAGATCTACTTGAGGAATTGTATCATTTTATTCTACCAACACTAGACCTACACCGATGTATGAGGTTTTTAAATGCTGTAGAAAAGTTGATAATTTTACCCCTGACTCAGAACCAGGTTCTCATGTTACAGAAGCTTACAGCCTCTGTACTCCGGAACACTGCTTTTACGTTATACGTCAACCTTTTTGCACCATTCAAGGTAAATATTAGCTCAGTTGTAAACAAACAGGTTTATATGGCTAATAAAACATCCAGTTATATGCTGAAATTAGCAGCCAAGTTTGGATGTATTTCTGATATATTATATATTGCAACGTTTTACTACGAGACATTGAGACATAAAGAAGCCCTATCAGTTATAGAGATGACAAAGGTCAAGTTAGCACAGCCATATGTAATTTATGTCTACCGTTTAGCAATAAATGCAGAGAGGTACATATTTAGCGAGTTTGTAGGGGGACATTCCTGGTCTACAAGGATGAGACATGTTGTGGCATATGATATTGTTCTTGAAAATGCAATCTTTTACATCAATGAATTAGTACCAGAACAACAGTCTGGGTTACAGTGTGGATACCCTATATTACTTATCCCACTCTATGTTTTCATACACATGTTAGAGATCTTGTGTTACAGACATGTAGACCCAATGAGAGCACAAACAGCTCTTAATGAACTACAGGACCTAGTCCATCATGATCAGCAGATGTACATTGATGCATGTCAAAGAGACATATCCTGGCAGATTCTAGGGATCTGTCAACAGGTGACAGGGAACTATCAAGCTGCTCTGTACTCCTACCAACAATCTCTCAAACAAGAAAAAATACACTATATTCATACCGCTACAGTCATGAGAATACAGGAAACCATGAGACTTATGTACAGAACACATGAATAGTCTACAGTCAAACCTCGTTATCTCAAACTTGACGGGACAAAAAAAAACTTAAGGATATCCGAAGATTCAAGACATCAAGGCTAAAAAACATAAAGAAATAGTGATTGAGACTTCAAAATCACTCTGACATATTCACTGAATTCAAGTTATCAGTGTTCCAGATACTGATGCTCAAATGTAAAATGTTTTGGTTTCTGAGTTTAGCAGATTTTTAAAAAAAAAAACAAAAACAAAAAAACTGCCCCATTTCCCCCCTTGTAAATTTATTAAATATGATAGATGATTTATCTTAGAATTATATTCCAGGGCTCTCACACCACTTTTTGAGACTGGGGCCGGGGCCGTAAAAATTGGGAAAATTAGGGACCTTTTGGGTAATTTTGGGAAAATCATAACTAGACATTATACATTAAATTCATGATATATTGAGTTTCTGATGGTTGTTATCAACTAAATTTCAGTTTTGTAATGCAAAGAAATATGAATTACAAGTTTAATAACGATAAATCTTACTAAATGTTCTTTAATATTTGGGGAAGTGACAGATTGGGAAAATTAACACATTCAATTGGGAAAAAGGTGCTTTTTTGAATTGGGAATGGGACCTTTGAACGGCCCCAGATATAGAGAATTGAGAGCCCTGTATTTTATTGTATAGAGTTTCTTTTACAATTTTTTATTTTCAGTATGGTGTTGAAATGTATTATTGTTTATCTTAAAAGAAATGGAAAAATATTTTGGTTCTTTTGACAACCCACTATGTACATAATTATAAAGAAATCCTAAACATGTTTTGTTAATTATGTTTGTTGTTTGTAAGTTAGTTCTTTGTTAATTAAGTTTGTTCTTTGTTAATTAAGTTTGTTGTTTGTTGTTTGTTAATTAAGTTTGTGAAGTGATGATTTAATTTAATAACATTCGGGATTAGAAAACATTTAAAACAATTGAATTTACTGTAAGGGACTTAAAATTTACACCGTATTAGACAAGATTTCAGATTACACAACATCCGGATATTACAAGTTTTACTGTACCGTATTTGGCTGAATATAATACGCACTTTTTTCCTAGAAAATGTTTATGTGAGAAAGAGGTGCATATTTTACACCACAATAGGATTTTGATAGTTTTTTTCTTTCAGGTGAAACACAGCTATCATACGGACATTTTGTAGTAATATCTAGAGACATGGGCAATTTCTTGTTGTTTATCACTGTATTTAAAACTTCAGAAAATTATTGTTGGAACGTAGGCTTGTTGAAAATGTAATATTTATAATCTGTTGATAATGATTCTTTGTTGTTAAATGATATCAAAAACAAGTTACTATTAATTTGAGCTGCATATTCATCATCTCCATGTAGGCCGCCATTGGAGATGTTATTTATAGATGTTCACGCATTCCTTTGCCACGTGCTTGTGTTATCATAGTACACATGTACCTAATCACATACTCGGCTGGGAAAAAAAAATAATTGAGCAATTTTATACTGAAATACAATAAATCAACATTTATTTGGGGTGTTCGCGGTGAAAATTCATTTCAACATAAACACTCCACTATACCACTGTATACTATATGTCCCAATCGAAGTCAATGTAGTGAACAGGTGCGCTTGTCTCTTGATCTCAACACCCCTCCAGGCAAATAAATTGTCTTCCAACTCCTAAACATTGTTTTTTTACAGTTAGAGCACTTATCATTTACTGCCCTTATTAATGGCTTTGATTGTTTTCTTTGTTAAAATTCAGGGGTCGATTTTTAGCCTTCGTACATTATCTTTCGTATGAACATGATGAACGTGTGTTGATTAAGACACATAACAGTTAAACGCTTGTTAAATGTAATTTTGCTTTAATTATCTTATATTTATCAGCCTCTTGTTAAATTAATTAAGAGTTTTAAAAGGAAATATGAAGTCTGTTAAAACTTAAGTTTTATAATTACTTGTGCTCTGTAGAAAATAAGATATCTGCGAAGATAACCTCGATGTATAAAGACATGAATTATACCATGTCGATCTGTTCAAACTAAAATTAAACAGTATTTCGTGCTTTGTTGAAATAAAATTATTTCTGCAAGGATAAAGACAGTGTGTAATGTCACTATTGTTGTTAGCTAAAAATAAAATAAAATGCAATAATATTTCATGCTTTCTTGAATAAAATCATTACCACACGAAGATTTAAACAGCAATGTTTAAGTGCAAGATTTATATATTTAGCGTGATATAAATTTAATAGGACAACATTTTGTGCTTTGTTAAAATTAATAAAATTATACCATAATTTTTAAAGACAACATTGCCTTCTGCTTAAAAATGATTTATAATGCAAAATTTAATTATTTCTAATAATAATAAATGCCATACTTAAAATCAGGAGTACCGTAAGCTCAAAAAAAAAGTCCGCATATGAAAAGTTACCGTGCTTAAATTTTCAACACATTATTTCCACAAAGATTTTAAGTTACAATTACTGCAATGTAAAAAAAGACAACATTACTGCTTGGTCAATTTTTTGACAGCGTATAATACAACTGCATTTTTTCCCAAATTTTCAAGCCAAAAATGGGGGGTGCATATTTTACACCAATGTGTATCATATTCAGCCAAATACAGTATATCAATAAAATATATAAAGTAACCATAATGTTTTTGATAAAGAACTGGTACCACCATATACACAGAAAACTTTTGTAAGAAGGGTTGGCTTTACAATCAGTTCTTATTACAGATTTCTCCTCAAATCCCGACACCCAGTCATTATCATCCTACTTTTCTGGTATAATCCGTATTTATTGCTAATTTTTAACAGCCACATCTCGTTCAAAGTTCAATACAGTGTACATTTAGATTTCAGAACTACAAAATTAAAAGAGAACTGTCCAAAATGGACAAATACCCCCGCTGGGTTTTTCAGAGAAGGTGCCAAGTCACTAACATTGGATGGATCTCAGAAAAGTTCACATTTTGTTTAAACATTTAGAGTGAACATTTACTGGTAATTGCGCATTATATTTTTTTAATGAATGAAATTAAGGCGCAGCCTAATAAAACATCAATACTAATAATAATAGTTTTTTTTATTACATTGAAAAAATAAATTGCAACTATCTGTCACTTATGTGAGACATGACACTTTGCAAATTGATTGTTGAAAATAATAAAAATATGATATACAATATCAAATTAATCTATATAACTTTATATCAAAATCATTTTAAAAATAAAACGTTACAGTGACACTCACACTGGCAAAATTGCGCGAATATTCGACGATAAAAGTGCCTACTTTATTCCCGAGTATTAAATACTTATCAGTACTTATGAACAGGTTTAAATTTACATTTAAGAAGTTTCAAGTTTACCTCTTCTTCCTTCAGAGCCGCACACGACAATATTTTTATTAATTTCAATCCCAATTAAAACCGACTCACAGCGATGAATTTTGAAACCAATGGAAATGGCCTCCACCAGTTTGACAATGGTTCCTACGTATTCATGTGACAGATTTCCCCCCAAATAAACAAACAATTAGAAATTTTAGTTTCTAAACCTCTTATTTATACAGTTTTACAACATTTAAATGTGTCACAAAAATAATGATATCAAGTGAAAAAAATTGAAGCAAACAATTTTTCAAGTATTTCTCTATTGGAAAGTATGAATACATTATTTATCCATTTTTTCTACAGTGACTATAGGTCAAGATCATGACACACCCTCAGGTCATAAGCAATCTTTGTGTGAAGTGGCAACTCCCACATCCTAACATTATTCTCCATAAGAAAGAATGACTTTGGGTCAAGGATAAGACACACCCTCAGGTCAAAAGCAATCTTTGTGTAAAATGGGAAGTCACCAAGTTTATCCATAAGAAAGATATGGACCGGACATGAATCATAAACTTTTACTTTCTGCCACCTTGAACTTGCCCAAATGACCTTGGGTCAGACGGAGAGATGGACATGAACGCCATAACATAATATGTTCCGTCTATAGACAGGCATATAAAAAGTATATCAATCCATTAATCATATTTTTGTTTGTGTTATGTCACCTTAAAACAGGCAAATGAACATGCACATGGATCTCTAATGAATATAAAGAACAGCACAGGCAAATAAATAGTATATCTCACTCACCAGATGTGGGCCAATGTTGTGTTGGGGAGACCACTCTGTAGAAAAATACCGCGGATTTCCTCCCCTGACACAAAACCATCCATGTCTGCATCAGCCGCCTTAAACATCTGGTCATACTTCATCTTGTCCACAGGGTTCACAACCCACTGAATGGCCAGCTGATAGCAGAGGAATTATAAATAATTAGGGGCCATAAAGTAGTGCAATTTGTTGAAGATTAACTTTCAAACTAAATATAACTTTTCATTTCATTAGAAGTAAATTGAACAATTCTCATCTAAAATTCTTATTGTAAACAATGAAAAATTAAATGTACTAGAATTAAAAACATTTCACAACCTCTTTTTATGCCCCCTTGAAAAACAGAGCATATTGCTTTACAATTGTTAGTCTGTCAATATATCAGTAGACCAAGTGTTGTCCGCTTTGAAGTCACAAAGTCAAATGTCAAGCATCAAACTGAACATAGGAATATATAGCAGCTCAGTATCTTAAGAACCTTTTTCTTGTCAGACACCAAACTTGGCATACTGGTTCCCATTGAGGAGTAGATGACCACAGTAGATTTTCAGGTCACAAGGTCAAATGTCAAGGGTCAAACTGGACATAAAAGTGTCTAACAACAAAGACACAAGACATAGTACCCTCTAAGAAGTACAGTGAAACCTGTCTAATTTGACATGCACTGGGCAACAAATTTTGCGTCAGTGAATCAGATTATGCTGTGTAAAGAACATGGAAAAAAGTAAAATGGGAATAAAATAATGGTAAGAATTTACAGTGAAACTGATTTCACAGGTATTGGATTATACAGTTTTCACCATATTTTACTCCTCAAGATACTGAGGTTTAATAGAGTTAAGACTTAATATTACTGTATTCAGGGAAATTTTCTTCAACCGTTTATTGTTTGCCCCATTAACTCTCATCACGTGTGACTGAATTTTAAACAGGGTGAAATTTCTGTATCCCACAATTGTGTATGAGTGAATTTAAAATCATTTGTAAGTGTCTTGGGCAAAAATAACCCAGTAAAAAGTATGTTTGCCTCTGACTAGTAGAGGACACATTTTTTTCACTGTCATTACAAACATTCCAAATTTAAAGTTGTTCCATTTTTTTTTAATTTGTCACATAGGGGGCATATAATGTTGCTCAAACACTTCTTGTTTTAAGTCAGGTTGTCTTCACATTAAGAACTGAGTCCCATAAACTTACTGCGGGGGAGTCTGCCCTCTGGATTGGTGATCCCCTGGCTCCCCTTGGTGGCAGGACTTGGACTCCTCCAATAGGGGCTGATTTCGTCCGCTTTGAGGGTGGGACTAGCTGAGGGGGCAAGGATTGGGGCACTGGGTTCTTGTCCAGGGCTTTGTAAACCAAATGCATGCACTGAAAAGAAATCAAAAACTGTTTACTAAACTAAAAAATATCAAAAAGTGTTTACAGAACTTAAAATTAAGTCTTTACTGAATTTGATATTTGATTTTACCAGCTCAGATTTACTGATCCTCAATTTACTTTAAGTATATGACACCATGTGAAAATTCCTCTGAACTAAGTGGAGGCTTTAGTTTCTGCAAAACTTATTTAATGCAAAGCAATAGAAATTACTGGAGACAGTCAAGTCTTCAATGTTATCCAAGTAAAAAGCTCTATATATCGCTGATTTCATTTACATGAAAATAGATTATGGAGTTGCCTTATAAATCTTACTTATTCTATGAACTGGATCTGCTAAAGAAATTAAAATCAGAATTTTTTATTAAAAAAAACCATCCAAAGAATTTTGATCTTGTTTTACCAATGATATATTTTCTTCTCAGACTCTTCAACGTACATGTATATTCTCTTCAACAATGGAGAAAAAAATGCATCTTCATTTTATCCATTCATTTTACAATTTTTCAATATACATGAATAAAATCCTTTCTTTAAAGATTCAGGGTCAAAATGAATCTCATCAAAAACACCCTTCTGACTAAAATTAGCTTTTGACATTCAATGCTACAAAATTCTGACATATGCTAATAATTCACCCTTCCAATCCCCTTGATCTTGTCCAAATAATTGGGTCAAGGTCATTATTCCTTTTCTAATCATAAGCTACCTTTGTGTGAAGTTTGACCTTCTACAGTTCCTCTTTTTCAGATAAGAATTTTACATCTCTAATCTCATTTAATATAAAGACATGGCATACCTCTTAATAATATCTGCCTGAAAGCTTTCTCCAATTATTCTCAGAAATAATCTAGCATATGAATTATATCAATCAATTTCATCTTTGGAACCCTTGCTATCTTAATGTATAATACTGACCACAAAAAACTCATTTATTCTCAGAAATAATCTAGCTTAAGAATTATATCAAGCGAAGCAATTACATTCTTTGAACCCTTGCTATCTTAATGTATAATACTGACCACAAAAAACTCATCTTTGTCCAGAAATCCGTCTTTGTCGATGTCACTAAGGTCCCAGATTTTACCCAGGACCTCTATAGGAAGTTTAGAGTTAATCAGCATCTGTAAAAAGAAACCCATAATAAGCTGTTAACCTTTGTCTGAAATCAAGATTTTATACAGATACATTTAATTTTCTTTGTGCTATTTAAGTCATGGAGTGTATTACTAAGCTCTTGTACAATACTATACAGGCTGTCATGGACTGTATTAGGAAGCAAATTTCATTTTTTTTATTGGGGGGGGGGGGGGGCACACAACCATATATTTTCAGTTGGTGGGGCACTATCAACTACCAAAAATTCCTTGACAATCAAAAAAAAAAAGTCATCAGACATTATTAATTAGGGGGCACAAGCATATGGTAGCTATGTTTTCTATAGTATTGTATATATCAGCAAAATTATTGAGGGGCATGCCCCTCCCAATGATCCCCACCCCTCCCCCAGTTCCTACGGCCATGATAGATTGGTTCATATTTTAATACATCTGCTGTATACTGGTTAAACTTTATTTCAGCTGTTATACTGTTTTTACTTACTGGTTTACTGTGGAATCATTTAAATTCGTGGGGGTCAACGTTCGTGGGCAAGCAAAATTTTATTGGTTCGTGGGGATGTAATTTCATGGGCAGCTCGTTTATTTGGAAGATTTAATGAATCAGTACGTTGACAAAAATTTGTTCGTGGGGATGTAAATTCATGGGTAAAGGTGACCAACGAAATCCACGTACATTGATCCCCCACGAACAATGATGATGCCACAGTAACCTTATCACCAGACAGTAGATTGTTCACTGGCTTCAGACTGTCATAAACTGGTTCATACTTTACTAAGCTGTTATAAACTGGTTCAAACATTACTTCAGCTGTTATACTGTTCTTACTTACAGGTTTAACCTTATCACCAGACAGTAGATTGTTCACTGGGTTCAGACTTTTATACACTGGTTCATACTTGGCCTTCTCAGCATCCTGTAAACAATCAAGTCATGTATACAATCAAATAAAACATGCAGTGTCTTAACCAAATTAAAAAGATAAATACATGTTTTTGTTGTTTTTTTTACTTATTTGTAATTTTCCTTTTTACCATTTCAGTGGCTTATTTCTAAGAATTTAAGTTTGGGACAACTCTTCAAAATGTGGAGCAATCAAGAACCAGTTCCTGGCCTTTTTCTACGTAAAGGATGATTACTCCCAATGGTATTCATACTTTAGATTTAATGACCCCCAATTTAATCAAAATATCATATACCACTAGAAAATATTGGATTCATGAATTCAAAATAGTAGATTTCCACTAATTTTTTTTTTTTTTTTTTTTTTTGGGGGGGTGCTCTTTTCATAATTACATAATTAGAACTCACAGTGATGCACCATGGCACATTAGTGACATGAGTAGCTGAGGAGGTGGTAGTCAGGGGAGATTCGGTACGGGTCTCCACTGGTCCCTGTACAAATAAATTAGAAATTACCTAGCAATCTAAGATAAATGAACTATGTATTAAAAAAAGGCTTAAAAATAAGCAAGTACCTGCTTTTGTATATTTACTACTACTTGTATGGAATGACTCACTGACAATAATTAATAAACATACAAGTAATAAATTGTCTTAAAAAAATTTTAATTGAAAATCTCTCTATAGTTCCATGTTCAAAGGTTTTACTAAACAACAATTATATGTTATTTCTTTTTTAATATTCACACACATACTTCAGGTGATATTAAACACTCTGTCAATATTCCTCCTACCAGATTTGGTGCTGATGTCATTTCTGTCAGTTTAGATATGCTGAGCTCTATCTTGTTCTGGGCCAGGGCTACCAACTTCAGGGCCACATAGAACCCTGTCTTCTCCAAGTATCCTTTTCCTGAGGGGTCAGAGAGATCCCATATCTAAAAATAGTCAGACATGGTCAGAGAGATTCCATTTCTAAAAATAGTCAGACATGGTCAGAGAGATTCCATTTCTAAAGATAGTCAGACATGGTCAATATCTACAAATCATCACACAGACAAATTTATAAGAGTTAATCACTGACATCTTGTGAGCAAGTATTTATTTTTATATCAGGGTTGCAAATAACCACTTGTCCAATCGCAAATGCAAGTAATTTTGCCTGTGGGTAACCAACTCTTGGGGATGTAACGCCCACATGGCCAGTAAGAATTTTATCTGAACTATTCAGGAACCTGATCGTGGTTTGGTTCCACTATTAAATCCACTTTCATTTTCACTGTTTCCTTCTTACAAATCATTTTCTATATCCAGAATCGTGTCAATGATACTTTTCCTTTAAAGTATGAAAATTCCATTATCATTTTTCCTTTTATGTATCAACTAAGGTAGCCTGTTTTGGCCCATATCCTATAAGACGTACACTGTATACATGTATTTTCCACAATTAGCAGCTTTATATTCATTAATTTTCCTCCTAAAATAACTATGTTAGAGAGATTTTCTGATTTTTTTGGCTACTACCATGGGAAAAATTATTTCATGTTATGAACTTTAAAAGTCAGTAAAGTTATTAAAGTACGCTCTGTGTAATTAATGATAGAAACATATAATTCAAAATACATGTCTTGAAGTTAACAAAAACATGGAATTTTATACAAATTGTGTCAAAATCCACAAAAAAAAAATTAATTGATAGAATGTGGACAACAAAGTGTATTTCTCTGAGATTACGATAAGAAAAGATCGAGAATTTTTTTTACTTAGTGAACAGAAAATTGTGGGCCCCAAAACATCAATGTGGGCTAGTTAACTTGTAAATTTGGGGGTCCACATGGCCCCTAAGGTTTTAAATGATATTTGCAACCCTGATATATTGTGAACTATTTGACTTTATTATAGCGTAGTATGTAGTGTTGATTCTTCACTAAATTTGAAATGTTTCAGTTTAGAAGTTTGATGACAAAATCTTAAACAGTTTCTTTTAGGAAAAGTGGTCATAGTCACAAACCATGAAATGGAAGGTCAATGACAGAAAATTTAGATACAGTTGAATTGCTCTCATCAATATATATGTATCAGTGTTTGATGAAAATGTTTTGAGTTTTTTTGAAACTGATTTAATTAAAGTGGGACAACAACAGACAGAAATATAGATGAATGGCTCGACATGACAAATATTATCTACACTATATATATATATATATATATATATATATATATATATATATATATATATATATATATATATATATAGTACTATAGTACATGGTCTGGTCTGAGATCTGTGACCAGTGGTCAGTTTGTGTTCTACCACGCTGACCTTTGAGAGTACAGTGTCAGGCAGAGAGGACTTTTTGAGAAAGCTGGCAGCATCCAGAGCTCCTATACTCCCAGTGTTGTTTGGATCTGCCTTTAATATAAATAGTAATACAATTAAAGCATAGGCTACAATAAGACATCAACAATAATAAAATCAAACAAGGAAGTATTTGAGTATATATATACATTGATGTTTTCAAAAATAGATGTAATGTCCTTACTTGAATGTCACTTTGCTTGTGTTATTATTAAGTTAATATGAATTTTTGGGTAGACTTTACTTTACCGGTCCCCAGATCCGCAAGATCCGCGCGCTCATTGCACTATGACGTAATATTTACGTCACTCAACTGATAAGGGTTAGTCTTGCACATTTTTTGACTGGTTAGGTTAGTCTTGCACCCACCTGAGAGATTAGGGTTAGTCCTTGCACAAGTTTTCAACTGATTAGGGTTAGTCTCGCATCCATCCGAGAGATTAGGGTTAGTCCTCGCAAATGGGATAGTCTAGCATCCGCCTGGGAGATTTGGGTTAGTCCTCGCATACCATCCTAGGGATTAGGGTTAGTTTCTTGTTTTTTTTTGTTTTTTTTTAGATAAATTAAGAAATTCAGTTGCATATCTGTATTTTTTGCAAGATCTAAATTCAGCTTTCATGACATCTCTTTGGTTTGTTTACATGAAAAAAATGGCTAAGTACGAAAGAAACGGCACTAAGCATGCGCCGCACACGCTTAGTTGACAATTATTTTTCTTCTCCTTTTCACTGAATAAACAATATTAATCACTTTTTTTCAGAAAACTTGGTTAATACTTCGTTTAAAAACAAAGTTTTAAACCAAACTTTTAACCGTAGAATTCGATTTTGGGGTCAAAAAGGCTAAAAACCTCATACTTTTAATTATTTTCGATCGCTCACGCGATCTCATATATACTGAAGTCACCTACGGAGACACTATATTTTAGCGCGTTTTTCTGGGGACTGGTAAAGTAAAGTCGTTCCGAATTTTTTTTATCAAGGGGAAATATGACTTTGATCAAAAAGTGCTCCCTCAACTGAAAATGTAGTAAAAGCAAAATGTTACCTGTTTATAGTAAGCTTCATAGACACCAATATGGCTTCCAGCAATCTAAGAACAATTGTAAAAAATGTAACTTAAAATACACTTGAAATACCTCATCTACTCAAGATGATTGATGAATACAAGAAAAACAGTAATATATCTATCTAAAGAGTAAAGTGACCAGCTGTCAAACACCGATAAGACACCACAATTGTCACTTTGTGCTTTCATCTGAGGTAAGAACTGAGAAAGAAATTTTACCTTTTACGTATATATTAAATATACAAAGCTATATTTATTCTACATTAACGATGCAGCATTCACCAGTGTTTCCTGTGCAGAATGTCAAAAGTCACAGAGCGGTCAGTTACATTCTCGTTTCCAGATAGTATAGTCTGGGCTTGCATCAAACGATCGTTTCATTTTATAAACTGAATACATTCCCATCACTTCGACGCAGTTAATGAACAAATATGAAAGACTATTGTATAAAACAAGAAAAAATTATACTTACTTGTCCAAGTGGGGGTACCGATGCCATTTTCCCGGCGTATCGGTAATTGATAGCTCGTACGTAATATTATTCTTAGCCGCTATAGAATCCTTCCCAGAGAAAATCAATACAATAAATGTGAAGAATTTTTAATGATAATATTTTTTACAAGTAATTCAAGATATATGTAACTAATTTTTGCTTTACTTTTTAAAATTATTTTTTTGTGAAATGCTGTCAGAAGTAGACTTAAAGTTATCTTTTTAAAAATCTTTAAAGAAACCATACATTTCTAAATATTAATTGATGGTGATGACCAATGGTCATAAAAAATAAACGCATAGCTTTTTCTTTTAACCATCATGACCTTCAAAATACTGTCCCAAACAACATGCAGTATATTGTACAGATCTGTATGCATTGAATTGTGAGGTACAATTTGCTAAAACATAATTAATTAAGTCTCAATTGGTTAAATAACTAAGGAGGGAGAAAAATGTGGAAAAAAACCCAGGCCCCCTGAATCACTAGTCAGATGCTCTTCCAACTGAGCTATTTCGCCACCTGTGATCGAACTTGGCTATCCCTCCCTCCTTAAGAGTTATTGCCTCTTAAAGGCACCAACCCAGGCTCTTCCCAAGCAGGTCTTTCACCAGGGCATAACAAGGCACCATATGTATAACCGTATCAGACCAGGATTTGAACCAGGCCACCTGAATCACTAGTCAGGTGCTCTACCAACTCTCTGGCCACAGGTGATTGAACTTGCCCAACTGCTTCAGTTAATTAAAAGAAAATACACTTGTACACTCAAACCTCCTTATCTTGAATTGATGGGATCAAGAAACAAGAGGCCCATGGGCCACATCGCTCACCTGAACACAATGGCTAGGAAAAAGCACAAATCAATTCAGTATTGAAAAGTTTACGGGGGGGGGGGGGGGGGGGGGGGGGGGGCTTGAATTTTAAACTACCTGAGGATGCTTCCATATCAATATAACAAATGGCTTTGCTGTTCTCAAGTAGAAGATTTTTAAAGATTTTTTCCTACATATTCCTTTGTAAAATTTGATACCCCATTGTGGCCCCTCCCTACCCCCAGGGGTGATCAGTGGAACAAAATTTAATCTACACTACCCGATGATGCTTCCATATCAATATGACTAAACATGGCTTTGCTGTTCTTGAGACAAAGATTTTTCCCTTTATATTCCTATGTAAAACTTAAATCCCCCATTGTGACCCCACCCTAACCCCAGGGGTCATGATTTGAAAAAACTTGAATCTACAATACCTGAGGTTGCTTCCATATTAATATGACAAATCATGGCTTTGCTGTTCTTGAGAAGAAGATTTTTAAAGTTTTTTCCTATATATTCCTATAGAAAACTTTGATCCCCCCTTGTGGCCCCACCCTACCCCCAGGGGTCATGATTTGAACAAACTTGAATCTACACTATATAACAAAGGTTTCCTATAGGTTTCAACTTTTTTGGGCCATTGGTTCTGGATAGGAAGATTTTTAAAATATGCCACCAAATTTTCACTATTTCTGAATTATCTTCCCTTGAATGAGGGTGTGGCCCTTCATTTGAACAAACTTGAATCCCCTTCACCCAAGGATGCTTTGTGGCAAGTTTGGTCAAAATTGGCCCAGTGGTTCTGGAGAAGAAATTGGAAATGTGAAAAGTTTACATACGGACGGACAGATGGACAGCTAGACAGATGGACAGACAGACAAATTGTGATCAGAAAAGCTCACTTGAGCTTTCAGCTCAGGTGAGCTAAAAGCTTAAAGATATCCAATGAGTTGAGATATCAAAGGTAAATTACTCAATTTAGTTTAATTAAGTGGTTAGGACTTCCAAATCACTTCAACATATCCATTGTATTTGTATTCAAGATATTGATGTTTGAGATACTGAAGTTCTACTATAATATTTCTAATATTGATGTTAACTTATAGTTGTTTTCTTTACATTTTACTTTGATATCACACATAATTCAAATATTTATTACATTTGGTGTATTTATTTCTCATGTCAATCAAACAATACAAAGTCCTACAGTAGAACCTTATTAGGACTAGTAGCAATGATCAACAGGCACATGTTAGCATAAATACATGTACCAACAAACAGGTCAAATACTGAGTACTTAATGTAGAGCAAAATATACACATAATAATGTTAATGCTGTAAATAACAATTCTTATTAGAAAATTCAATCTGCAGGAACAAAGAAAACAAGGGAAGAAAGTTTATGGGAAGTAATATAGAAAATAAAAATACATTCAAAAAGTCATAAACAGGAGATATCTAAAGTAAATGTTATAATTATATGGAGGTTACAATCACAAGCAGTTAGTGAGGTATATTACACAGTATAAAATCATAGCAAAAGCTGTAGATCTGATAATATGGACTTGGAGTAAAAAATCTATTCATTATAGGAGCCCTCAGGCAAATTACTTCCCTTTGATACAACTATAACCCCAGTAATTACTTCCCTTTGATATAACTCTAACCCCAGTAGACACATGCATGGCACATTGTATCTATTTCAACAGTTTATTATACAGTGAGAAAGTTCAAATAAAACAGGTACCGTATTTTGCTTTATTTCTTGTCATTATAAACATTTATTCATGATTTATAATATTCAGAGAATTAATGCTATTAAACAAATATGTCAAATAAAAGATTATTTCACCAGAAGAGCCTATATAATTCTTTGAAATCACAATTATATGACGCATTCCAATCTACTTTTTTCAGAAAATTGTTACATATATTCAGATATATTGATTGACTCACAAAAGAAGAAAAATTAATCGCATATTTATAATTAACACATATTTTTACTAAGGTATATTATATTAACCTGTATATTTTTGCATGTACATCAGGAGATAAAAAAATCCCATATAGAATACATAGTATTCATCATGATTTGTGACTTTAAGTACACATACAGTACTCTACATTTACTTCAATAGAAAATAAACTTTGTAGACAACTGTTATGACCCAAATTATACTGACTGTGTAAATGGGAAATTAGAAACATAAGCTCATTGGAAAAAGGAGAAAAACTGACAGGAGTCTGCTGACCCCATAATAAAATTATAGACCATATTTTAGTTGACTTCATATTCTTTTACTTCTCAATAAAATAATACACATACAAAAACCACCCTATCTTATTTCACCATGCAAAAGAATATTGTATATTATTTGATTTGATATATTACAGCTAACATTTCATTGTCATGTTATAAAAATATACAATGCATGAACGATTACAAACACAACAGCAGGGGGGCTTGGAATTAATATTTGGAAGACATGTCACCTTGAAGGTATTTTGGAAATTTTTTTTTCCTTTGGATAGTGTGAACAGGAGGTAAGATAAACCAGTAAGTTAAATAAATAAAGGTACAAAAAAATAAAGGTTTAAAATAAAAACAACACTAACAGTGGACACAAATCACAGAATTTGTATGTACAGAAAATCTAAAAATTTTATACATACTGTACAATAAGTATAAAATCAATGTTAGTATAAAATAAATCTCAGTTTGTGAGTGCTGATGGTACATATAGGGAATCTTCAGCAGTGCTTCTGCCAAAAATTAACCTGATGGATACCATCAAATGGCACTAAAAAACACCAACACGAAGAAAATCTATTTACCAAATCATAGCATAATTTATTCATGTTCTAAATGGAGGAGATAACTTTGGCAAATTTTGCTTTGGCAAGTGCAAAATAAATTGTTGATTTCATGCTACAATGAACACTTTCTTAAATGACCTCTAAACCTCCAAATTATCAGTTTGATTCCTAATTTCTAATTGATTTCAGGGGATAGCAAGTACAAGGGCTTTGTTCACACTGAGACACAGATAGAAAATTAGAAAATCACACTTTAGTGGATGTTTGACCTTGAGTCAATTTTAAGGTCTATGAAAATAAGTGATTTTAGCAGCAGTGCTTGTTTTGTTTTAGGTCAAGGTAATAACCGATTGGATTTGATGTGCTGTAATGTAAGATTTTGTTGTACATTTCAATTGGACAGATTTGGGTGGTAACCAATCAGATCAGGTTTACCGGTACTGTTTGACAGGTTTGGGTGGTAACCAGTCAGATCAGGTTTATTATTTGACAGGTTTGGGTGATACCCAATCAGTTCAGGTTTACTATTTGACAGGTTTGGGTAATAACCACTCATATCAGGTTTACTATTTCAGGTTTGGTGGTAACCAATCAGATCAGGTTTACTGTTTGAGAGGTTTGGGTAATAACCAATCATATCAGGTTTACTATTTGACAGGTATTGGTGGTAACCAATTATATCAGATTTACTATTTGACAGGTTTGCTGGTAACCAATCAGATTCTGAGACCCTTCAGTTTAAGTAGTGGTTTCACTAGTAATGGTTGTTTGAGTTTAGGTTTAGGTGGTAATGCTGCCTTAGGGTCCTGTGATGTCACTGGTTTCGTGGTTCCTGGTTTTTGATTCAGTGTAACAGCTGATTTTGAATTGTGTGGTGGAAACCTCTCAGCATAAATGTCTGGGTAAGTTTTCTGGAACTAAAGAAATTTTGATACCTCAAATTAAAATATATATTTTATAAAAATTGAAACAAAAAATTGCTATTAATATAAATTGTTAGTTGTAGTTCTTTAATTTCTCAAATGAAAGATGTTTAAATACGGCTAAAATTCAACACTTTGCTTTTGATACACCATCCCAGCATTGTAGCTTAATGAGCTTTGAGTACTGACACCTTCTAAATAATCTAAGTAACAGATTAACCCTGTACCACTACATTCTTTCTCATCTGTGAACTTTATTGAGGACAAGATACATGTAAAACATATTCTTTTTTAGGCACATTGAGGGATTTGAATTATTGGAGCCCATGTTAGAGATCCACACTTCAAGACTTAGACTTAAGTCAAAATTTCAATCATCTATAAAATGTTTAAAACTTAAATGAAACTCTTAATTTGCATACAACAGCAGATTGATGATGCAAAATTAGAAAGCATTTTCATTTTGGACTGCTTAACTTCTAAATCATTTCAGTGCCATATACACTTTTTGACTTAAGCTTAAGATGCTTCATAATTCTAGGGCCAGGACCTTCTAGTGAATTGTTTGAGCTCTTTTGTAAATAGAACCGTCCATTAAGACTTCAGTAAACTGATTACCAGTACTTACAATCACTCAATACTTTTTCAAGTCAGTACATAAACTTAATATAAGTCTCTTCTCTTTATCTTTGTTTTTATGCCCTGTTCACACGGAGAGTTTAATTCGAATGAAACGTGAGTTACTATGAATTAAATTTAATCTGCATTCACATGGAGACTTTAATGCCAATTAGTATAATTTGAATTTATAGTTTACTGCGCATTAAATTGCTTCGCATTAGCTCCGTGTGAACGCTAAGCGAAGCTAATTTGAATTAAATTTTGACGCATGCGTAAGGGCAGAATTAAGTCACAGGCTACATGTTGATGGTCAAATATAGGTACTTGTGCTATTTTTGAGTGGAAAACAAAGGAAAATTATGTTAATCACTATAATGTGTACAGACACTATGACATTATGTCAAATGTATCTGCTCTGCAAAATATACGTGATTTGTAAATGACGTCATAATAGCCTCACTGAGTAGTCATGTTGTGGATATGAAATTATAATTCGCATTAGTTTACTTCACATTAGCCGTCTTGTGAAGGCAATTTAATTTCCATTAGTTTAATTCGCATCATTTTACTTCGCATTAATTTACTGCGAATTAAACTCTCCGTGTGAACGGGCATTAAACTCATTTTACATGTACCTTATGATTTATAATCTGTTCTGTTTTTAAGGCTTTTTACAACTTTGATTCTATTGTTAATTCTAGTTTTCCACTTAATAAAACAGTGATTCATTTTGAAAATGGTTATCATGGGTCCAAAGGACCCCTCTTAATGACAACAACGAGTCCCGTGCCAAAATCAATGCATCCAAATCCAAGGGTACCGTATATTAGATGTAACAGAGGAAATTCTGGTGAAATAAAAAAGGGTATTGCACGAAAGTGCAAAAGTTTTATTGTAGTTGTGAGTGATTTATACTTTTACTTTCAATTGTCCAAGTAAGAGTACATGATTTTGTGTCATAAAAATAATATATTGTCCACTGTACACTTTGGTTCTATTTTTAGATCGTACATACGATCTCACACATGGTATCAGTCATAAAATGCACAGAAGCAGAATGAATTAAAAAAAGTTTAAGAAGTAATGACAAATAGTCAGAAATAAAAATGATTAAATTTTATACTTCTTAGCTTGTAAGGAAAAAACGAAAAGAAAAAAAAACAATGATACAGGTTACAGCTTAAATACAAAGGTATGGTATTCGCTTCAGAAACGTTCCATGGCATAGACATAATCAGTGATAATCGAACTATGCTATCTAACTTTCAAATATGCTTTTAACTGCAGTTGTGAAATCTGACCTGTTGTTGGCAACCTTATACCTGTTAAAATCGTTCATGCATATCGCTTAGCACGTGGATATGATGCACTCGATCAAGTTTTGAATTAGATTATACCTAATTAATTTAAAATAGTATATGTCCTTCTATAAATTTATTGCGTCCATTGGGATGCACATTTATTGAAATAATGCGTCCTGAGCAAAATTTGTGCGTAATTTACGCAGGACGCACACCAAAATGAATCACTGATAAAATGACATTGGAGCTACTCTTCTCTATTTATTACAATGACATTGGAGCTACTCTATTCTTTATTTATTACAATGACATTGGAGCTACTCTATTCTCTATTTATTACAATGACATTGGAGATACTATTCTCTATTTATTACAATGATATTGGAGCTACTCTATTCTCTATTTATTACAATGACATTGGAAACTACTCTTCTCTATTTATTACAATGACATTGGAGCTACTCTATTTATTACAGTGACATTGGAGCTATTATTCTCTATTTATTACAATGATATTGGAGCTACTGTTCTCTATTTATTACAATGACACTGGGGCTACTACTTTTTACATTCACAGACTTACAATTTTGAGTCTCTTTTTCTTGTCTTTGTAGGACATGGTTCGGTCACTGATGATCTCATCCAGGAGATCTCTGAGGGCTCGCTGTGAGTTACTGAGACGTTGAGTCTCGTACTCGGACTTTGACACTTGGTGACAGTAGGTCAAACCAGCTGTATCAGAAGAATACATCACCTGGAAAAAATAACAAACACACGTGTACAAAAATTTACCTGGACAAATGAGAAACATATAAAAAATCACCTGAACAAAATAAAAAACAAACATGTACAAAAATTTACCTGCACAAACAACAAACATACAAAAAATCACCAGAACAAAATCTCTAATTACCTCCATATTTATTATGTCTCACAAAAGTGAAACCTACTAATTGTAGTAACAACAGCTTATCTTAATTCAAATGCATCAAGTTCCATAATAATGAGTTGTTGACTGTTCAGCTCCCCATTGTATTATTGAAACAAAAAGTGGTTCCAATTTGCACTTGACAATCTTTCATGGTTGTGCCTACTGACTACTTAGCTTTTTCAAAATATATTAAAAACATATTGCAAATAATTTTTACATCTGCTATTAATGGCAAAAAATCTGTTTGTATTTTTTTAAAAGAAAAAAAAAGTGCTCTTGTCACCTGCAAAGACCTTTTATCACAGACAGACAACCAGACTAAGTGATCCCTATATGTCTGTCATGTAACACAGATGACTCAAAAATCAGTACAAAACTGTGATGTTTAATTTACTACCTGGGTCTTGGTGTTGGCGCTGAGTCTTTCTTGTACGACTGTGGTCAGATCCTCGGGGACAGCCAGGATGTGATTGTAGTGGTCCGACAGGAAGGAAACAATCTGCATCACCAGTAAGTCTTCACGGTCAGAGTCATCATGGCAACTCAGTATACAGGAAGCAAATGTCTCCAAAACCTGGAATGGTATAAAACAGCAAATTTGTTACTAACCCTCTACTATTTTTTTAAATACAATTAAGAAATAATAACTGCAAGTCACTTTAAAAAATATGAGGATGCACATTAATCAAGTATCATGGCTAATTATGGCAATGCTGCATGAATATTTATCTTTTGCAATAATTACCTTTAGACCAGAAATTCATTGTAAAGTTCATTATAAGGTTAAAATTTTACTATGTACACAGTACTGTAAATTCCTTATTTTACACGAGTACTTAATATCGCGAAATGGCCCAAGGGCGTCAAATCGCGGGAACAATAATTCGCGAATCGGTGATTTATCTAGAGATTTTACATACATTAAAGCACCATAAAATAAAAGCGAGTAATTTTATTTCGCGAGTGGTGCTCCTCGCGTAATTACGCGATAATTTATTCCTCGCATATATTTAGGAATCTACAGTAATATCTTACAAGCACTGCTGTATTGTCACCACTTACTAGAGTCCTAGTCGTTTGACAGACATCCAGTTCTATCTTTGGATTATCCGACATCCGACTCATCAGTTTGAGAAGTAGGTGGAGTTTCCGTCTGTTAGCAGGGGGCAGTAACAGACAGACCAACTGTAAGGCGTCTTTAATCCTGTCTTCTCGATCCCCCTCACACAGTTCTATTGGAAAACATGCTCATGTCAATTTTCAATGTACAATAATTACATGTATATAGCAATCTGACTCACAGAAAAATTTCTACTACAAGCTTGGTATTGTAGTTCTGGATTAATGAGAAGAGACAAAAGTTTATAATACAAATTTTTGTAGGCGTCAAAAAATACACGTACCGTATGATAAATTGACAATAATGACACATGCTGTCCAGTATTTTTGTCAGGGTACTGAAGCATTATTTAACACTTAACCAAAATAGATACATGTGTTAGGATCATATCTATACCATCACAATCCTGATGACAATGATTTGTCTTCAGTTTGACAACTTACAAGCTGAATTCTTTTTGTTTATATATTAAGCATTAGTAATATGATTTTTTAATCACCTACCAGTGGCTGTGTTTGACTTCTTTAATTTTGATTTCAGAAGTGTCCCAGCATGCATCAGGTCTGATAAACTCAGACTTCGTCCTGGAAGTGACTCACAGCTCTCAAAAACTTTTTGCTGCTGTCTCTCTAACTGGCACTCTGCCAACAACTGAGACTGAAAATCCTGATGAGCACAAGTATGCAGCGAGACACTGGACTTGGATCGGGGAAATCCCGTTCTTGTTGGTACATTGTCTCCACCTTCCTCTCCTTGAGATGAAGATTGACTAGAGATATATCCATTGTACGACCTAGATGACTGCTGAACTGTGCAATCACCACAGCTTGGTGAGGACACTAACCAAACAGATGAAGGGCCATAACTCCTTCTCCTGTAAGCTTCACTTTTCTTTTCACCACTTTTTCTGCTATCACTTTTTCTCCTAGTGATTGGCCTTATTTGAGCGTAGTTGACGTTGTACGTCTGACACTCTGTTAACTTTGGCACTTGTAGAGGTTCTGAACTTTCAAAGTGAGTCTCAATAGGACCAAACACTTCAGTTTCCTCACAGTTACTGTAGTCCATGGCTACACCGTTTTTGTAATAAACACGAGTCACTGTCCTATTATCTGGTCCAAATGCTGTCTCATAGTTTGTAACTTTCTCATGGTCAGGTACGGGGTGGATAGGGGAGAGGTCTATAGAAGGGGCACTCCTCTTTCTACATAGAGGGGTGTGGTCCATTTCTGGAGGACCACTACATGACCCAGTTCCTGTATTTGTAAGATCCAGCAGCAGGTTTTCTACGGACTCGAATGAGGTCATAGCATCAGGAGATGTTGGGCTGGTTGGAAGAAGCTGATACGAGCCATCAGCCACGACTAGAACAGAAATGAGGTGACATTTTATAATTGCAGATGACCTTCTCCACATAAATGTAAAATAATCCTCTCTAACTATTTAAAAAGCAACTTGTCCTTATAACAGAATACCAGTATTTAATTGTGATACTCACTGAAAACATTTAAGATGACCTCATACATCTCAAAGGTCATCAGTGGTTCATCAAGGCCGCAGAAGTACTCCTTAACCACCCGGAAAACATCACGCTCAAAGCCAGGGTAACTGGGGAGGTCATCCACTTTTTGTGGCCCTAAAAATTACAACACACACACTTGCAACATTACAATTATTCAGACATATTTTGATCTGATAACATATTCTAATAAAATTTTCTTGTTTAAAATATAGGTCTAAATGCAGAATCTGGAGCAAGCTTTGTAGCATGCATTCTGATACGCATCATTTATGCAGTTTTTCTCCAGGATAGATTTTAAGAGTAATGGAAATTGTGCCTCCTCCACAAGCTTTGTCAGCAATAGCAACAGCCATGCCCATTGTATAACACAACTCTGTTGGGGAGGATACAATACTACTAGTAGTATATCAGACAAATGTATAAGATATAAAAGCATTAAATAAGTCAACTCACAATGTGCCAGACACTTCATAGCCGACAGAGCCCAGTGTGGAAGCTGATCTGTCAAAATAGATATTGTACATTTAAAGAAAACAACAAAGAAAGTTAAATGTTAATATTTTTTAAGATAATACAATGTATTTATCATTATTCACTACTGTAGATTCCTGAATATACATGTACATGAGGATTTTACTGCAGCACCAGTGGAAGAAGGGGTGTTTTATGAAGATTAGCCTTTCTGTGGAATATTAGTGTGTCTTGGGGGGGGGGGGGGGGGGGATTTATGAAGATTAGCCTTTCTGTGGAATATTAGTGTGTCTTGGAGGGGGGGGGGGGTTGATTTATAAAGATTAGCCTTTCTGTGGAATATTAGTGTGTATTGGGGGGGGGGGAATTTTTTTATGATGATAGCCTTTCTGTGGAATATTAGTGTGTATGGGGGGGGGGGGGGGTTCTTGATTGACAATTTACCTTCTTTACAATGTCAGTGTGTATGAGGAGTAGAGGTGTAACGATACAGCAATACATCGATCGTATTGATTGCAAGGGCTCATGATACTGTATGTGTATTGTATCGCCATGTATGTATTGTGATACAATATAAGGTAACGGTATTTCATTGTTTTGTTTCAAACTTCTACATACAACCTAAGAAATTTTAACATTTTAAAATGGCTGAAGAAAAGGTAGCAAAGAAAAAATACAATGTCAAGACTATAAATTGACCTTTTATTAACTTTGGTCAGGGGTATCAAGATATTCTTTTTATATTTTCCATAACTGTGGAGGTTAGCAAAGTATAATATGTTATGATAATGGTTAATTCAATTGTTGACAGCTGTATCATGATACATGTTGTATCCCATGACCGTATCGTGATATGTATTGTATCGTTAGATAGCTTGCGATACTCAGGCTTAATGAGTAGATGGAAGGGAGGATGTCTTGATTGGATTATTTACCTTTCTGTGGAATGTTGGTGACTATTCCACTCTTGTTGATGTACACACAGTTATGGAGGATATTCTTTCCCACCACTAGACTACTATCCAAAATGTCCTCTAGATTCTCCATGTGTAATACTTGCTGTAATCTGTCATACATTTAACACAGTTATTTATTCAATGTCTTACTATATCACATCTTTTTCTCTAGACTTGTATCATTGCTCAGGCTATATATGTGTTATTCATGTCATCTGAATAGATTATAATTTTATTTAGTAATTGTACTGTCTACTTTCTATGACCAGGTAACCAAATTGACTGATTTGAGTAGAGGTCCCATAATACATCTGGGTGATTTAGTAGAGGCCAGATCCCATTATACATATGGATACATTTAGATTAAATACAATTTATACTGATACAAAAATCAATCTAAATATTACTATTTGACTTCAACATGCTTCAATCAGTAGGTATAATTTTACTTGACATACCTGTCTAATGTCACATTTTTCCATATGTTTTCCGTTTCAGTGGCAGAGAGTTCTTTGGCAACAATATGGCATTCTGGGATATCTGGGCGTGGCTCTAACTGGAGGTCCAGATCCAATTTGATTGGTCCTACAGAGGGTGCTGCTGTTGTGTTGATGATGTCATTTCTAATCCTTAAGGGAGTTCTGATTATCTTGGCAGGGGATGGAATTTTACATCTAAACATTAAACTTCAAATATTAGCTGTTTGTAAACATTCATGACTATAAAAAAAAGTAGAGGGATGTTAGATTCATTCAATCTGAGTTAATGTGTATAGTTTGTGGGTAAAAGGGGATCAAATTAGATTTGATGTCTGTGGGCTTGGAGGGTGTACTCTTACCTGAGTAACCTCCCATTATCAGAAATGTCTTGTTGGTTGTGTTTCACTCCTCTAACGTCCTCTATGACACGGGCTCGGTGAAGTTTTTGAAGAAGTTGTAGTGTCTGGCCCCTAACAGAAAAATAGAATTAGTACTCCCTATACTAAATAACAATATAAAAAGTTACCTTCTAGAGAAACCTGTCAATGATTCAAGTCCCTGGAGGTGTTTGAAACTTTAAAGTTATTGAAATATTTTAAAAATATACAATAATGTTAAGATTATTGAGCTCTCTCTAACTGTAACAGTATTAATACATTATTACATTTCTCAAGAAATAAATATTGCAAAATATAAATAACTTGGACAGAGTTCTTGAAAAGTGTCAATAATGTGACAAAAATTGTAAAAGTCTGTCACAATTACATGTAAGTTACTTGTCAGCCCTGAGGCCTGTTCAACAGAGTGAATATTTGTGAGCTCTTGCCAAAATTCTTGTTATCTTTCCAACAGAAATATTTGTGAGCTCTGACTCGCAAACGTTCGCTCAATTGAACAGGCTCAGATGTCTAACAATAATATCAGGATTGAAGTTCCTTTATACGAAAAAAAAAAAAATTGTGGCTGCATGGCCCATAAAGTTTCAAAACAAAGCTAAACCTGGGAAAAAATTGAAAAGGGAGTAGGATTTGAAATTAAGAAGAGAACAGGGCCCCGCACTTGTTTTCCCAGCATGGGAAGCTGGTAGGTCATGGCTTCAGTTTAATACAGATATTGGCATGATGTGTGCTTGGTGCATTGAACATGGTAGAGGTTGCATAGAAGGAGCCATCCAAAAGAATTTATTTCTGTCTGTTCAAAGGACTATATTTTTTTTTAACAGTGATTGATCAAGAAAAGACAAGGTTACACTTAGAAGCAGTGAAAGTGAGAGAATCAAAGAAAGAGACAGGAGAGAAGAAAAGCACTGCTCATAAAACTGTAATGACTTTTTAAGGAGGGCAAACGTGGAATGAGAGGGAAAGAGGAAGTATAGGGTGAGAAAGAAGACAAGTGCTAGTGATCAGGAGAGGAGGAGCCAGACGCAAAGTGTGAGCAAGATGAGAGAATTAAAGAAGACTACAAGAATTAATAATGAAGATGGAACTTGAATACAATTGAATATGTATAAACTTTAAAAGTGGTGGATTTTTCTGGTCTGACAAAATTTGATTTGGACTGACAACAGAAGTAGTAGTGTCAGTCCAAATGTCTGACATTTGAATAATAATTTCAAGAAGTCTGCTTTGATGATAGCAATTCTTCATGTCAGAGACAATGTAGATTTTAAAAGTTTTATTTACTTCATCTTAACTTGTAGACTCTATGCTACAAGATATTTTTAATATATTTTCAATTGATCACTTTACCTTGTCACTTCTGATGCGAAGTTGCAGTTAGATTTGAGATAATTGTGCAACCAGTCCACTGCTTCTGTTGCAGTGAAACACTTCTCATAAGTCTTCATGTATCGACGATGTCGAACTGCAGGAACACCTTGTCGAAATGCACAGATCACCTCATTCCACTAAAACAATTTTAACAGGTCTAGGAAAATCACTATATTTAGCTATATAGCTAAATCTACCTATATAGCTTTATTTACCTATATAATATAGCTTTATTTAGCTATTTCAGAGTAAATTTCTGTTTTATGAAAAGCAGACAAAAAGTCGCATAATGAGGCAGTATTAGTTTTCAACTTTGAAATGGACTGAAAACAATTCACCAAAAACCCACTTTTAAAAATGTTTCTCCTTTTGTGCAATTGCAATCAAAGATCTAAAAGTTTTGGGGCTATGTATAACAGTTAATCTGTGAATAAGCAGCTACTTTAACAAAGAAAAGCAGTTTTGGTCAACAAGATAATTGATTGGTAATAATTCAGCACAATGCAAGGCAATCACACTTAGTCATGCCTCATCGCACTTCCAGTAATGGACAGCTATCCAAACAATAGAGATGGATTTTTTGGTTAAAAAGTGTTTAAAAGAGGCAATGTTTTTACTATCTATGCCCTAGGTTGTTTTTATCAAACCTTTTTAAAAAAATATCAGCCATAATTTTCATGCGACTTTTTGTTTGCTTTTCATAAAACAGAAACTTATTCTAAAATAGCTAAATAAAGCTATATTATATAGATAAATAAAGCTATATAGGTCAATTAAGCTATATAGCTAAATATAGTGATTTTCCTGGACCTGTTTAAGTTGTTATTATCATGATCATGAAACACATCCTAACTTATAATTAAATTTATGCATAAAATATAGTAAAATATTGTTGTCAGTCTAATTAATGCTGTGTATTCATTATACCTAAAAAGATTCTGATCATCTAGAACACTTGACTGTAGAATTAGCTTAACTAAACTAAACAGGGATTCTTTCTTATGATTCTCCTGTCTTTTCCTTTCAGAGATGATGCATGTTGTATACAGGACATACTTTGTTATTGACAAATTAAGTATCAAATAATTCAGTTCTGTTTACTTTTATTGCAACTAACTATGACTATATGAGCTGTATTTTACACTTCATGCCATGTAGTGTTTATGATCATGATGATGGAGATTCCAGCTAATGTAAACAAAGATGAAACACATTCTCCCTCTATCACATAAAGGAAATTAAAAAAAACACGAAGAACATTGAAATCAAGCATTACCAGTTTGGTCGCCCTATAAGGCCCTGTGATAGGGTTCTCTCGACTGTTTCCAGTTTGGGCCATTTTTCTTCTTTGTCACTATCGCAATAATATCAACATTTTGGCATTTCAAAAATTCTGCCTTCCGGACACAAACCATTTGATTGGTTAAGATATTCTACAGGTGCAAGATAAGTTGTACCTTAAAATATTTGCTAAATCTTTGTTTGAAAGTTAATGAATTTCTTAAAATATTTTTAAAAGTATAAATTTTGAAAAAATTATGGATATTCATCATCAAAAGTTTATGTCATGATCTAATATCCATTTATCATTTTTTCGACTAGTTCATTGTATGAATTATGCTGACTTTTCACCGACACCTGCCCACTTCCGGTACTTCTGACGACTGACAGTGTCACTGTCAGTATCACTGCTGTCGGTATAGTCATAATAGTGTCAGATTTCAGATATGGCTGTCGTAGAAGGACCCTTGAGTAAATGGACGAATGTGATGAAAGGGTGGCAGTATAGATGGTTCGTCTTGGACGAAACTGCTGGCCTACTGTCGTATTTTACCGTAAGTGTTTGCTAAAGGAAAAGCATAAAAACCTCCAAACTCATGTGACAGTGTGAGACTATATCAAAATAAACAAACTGCTAAGGATATATTTAGATCTGAGAGTTTAGTAGTTGTTTGACAATATTTTGATGTATAATCCAATAATTGTGATAAAGGTTATGTTTCTTAGAGAACTGTAATAATATGTTTTACGGTATGACCGTTTGGGCGAACGCAGATTCACACAGCTAAGCTATGCTTGCAACTTTGATCCTGGATCCAACTCTTAATTTAAACTTCAAACTGCATGAGAAACACTCTAAACTGTGACATCACATGACGTCATATTTAAGTTGCATGTCTGTAACGGAGTGTAAATAGGCCAAGTAAAATATTTTAACGAAAGGGATTATAGAGTAGGAGCAAGTGTTTTTTGTTTCTTTTAAGCTCCCTGTATTAATTAAATCTTTATGAAACCAAGGGACTGTTATATATTCGCCATTATACCTACTGCATGGAATCCTGGTAGTGAATGAATTCTGGGAAGTAGTGGTGTTCCAATCATCAATTATAATCGAAAATCAGTTGATTGCTGGCATAATCCAAGTGCTCGATTACAAAATTTTTATTCCGATTAATTGGGTTATTTATTTAATTTTACAAGCGTAATAGTTTTTAAGCAGAATATTCCAGCCGTGACTTATCTATTAACTTATTTGTGTATCGTAATGTGCAGACGAACAGACATTGCATTCATACCTGGGTATGGACATACTCTGGATTCTACAAAATGAACAAAGAACCAGCTGGACTAGATAGAAAGTTCTGTTGTTGAAATAATATTGTCCTAAGGTCTAGGGCTTGTCCCAAGACACAGTTAGATTATTATACCCCACGCAACTAGTTGCAGGGGGTATAATGTTTTTGACCCGTCCGTCAGTCAGACAGTCAGTCAGTCCGTCAGTCCTGTTTTTCTTGTCAGCACAACTCCTCCTAAAAAGGCACAGAATTTCGTCAGACTTTGCAGATATTTAGGACACAATGTGTAGATGTGCATACTACCAGGAAATTCCGATTCCTTTATTTTTTCTGGGAATTTCGGCACTTTTCAACTTAGATTTTTGGCCATATCTTGAATATAGAGATGAACAGGTTGTCAGCGCAACTCCTCCTAAACCGCTGCACAGAATTTCGTCAAACTTTGCAGATATTTAGGACACAATGTGTAGATGTGCATATTACCAGGAAATTCCAATTCCTTTATTTTTTCTGGGAATTTCGACACTTTTCGACTTAGATTTTTGGCCATATCTTGAATATAGAGATGAACAGTTTGTCAGTGCAACTCCTCCTAAACCGCTGCACAGAATTTCGTCAAACTTTGCAGATATTTAGGACACAATGTGTAAATGTGCATATTACCAGGAAATTCCGATTCCTTTATTTTTTCTGGGAATTTTGGCACTTTTCAACTTAGATTTTTGGCCATATCTTGAATATAGAGATGAACAGTTTGTCAGCGCAACTCCTCCTAAACTGCTGCATAGAATTTTGTTAAACTTTGCAGATATTTAGGACACAATGTGTAGATGTGCATATTACCAGGAAATTCCGATTCCATTATTTTTGCCCTAAGAGTTTTGTATTATTGAAGAAACTTTCCAGCTAGGTAATAAGGAAATCCACACTGGAATCAGCCTTTGTAATGACATTTTATATGAAATATTTTATGACCTTAAAAGACCCCTATTGATTTTGAGATCAAAATATTAATGATTTAACACACACATAAAATCTTGAATCTTGGATAGTTCTCACCCCCCACCCCCCCCCCCCCCCCCCCACCCCCAACCCAACCCATCCCCCTCAAATTGGTGCTTTGCCTTAAATAATTTCATAATTACAGTATATAACCATTCAAATGACTACATCATAATTTTGTTTCCATCAATTATTTAAATGTGTAAGTTGTTGTTGGACATGGACTTACACTCATTAACAAATTGAAATCACTGAGGAATTTAAATAACAGTTTGTCAGCATAACTCCTGCACTGAATTTCCTGAAACTTTGTAGGTATTTCAGACATAATGTATAGATTTGTATATTACCAAGAAATTTTGATTCCATTATTTATCTAGAAACTTCAGCCCATTTAAATTTGTAACATACAAAGATTTGAATGTCCTTATATGCAAGAAGTTTTGATGTGATGATTTTTTGCAAGTAATGCCCCTTTTTGAATTATACTGTGTATTTAAAATGCACTGTGCTATTCAGTACATGTTGCATTGTCGAGTTTTGGGGGAGCGTGGGGTATGTGAGCTTGCTCACTTTTTCTTTCATTCTAACTACAGCTGGACCACTACAGAAAGTACATGTAGTTATTCACCCATTCTTACCATTTAATAAACTAAATTGACAGACTTTGTAAATGTCCGATTATAATTGATAATTAGCTAGTTACAGTAGCCCGATCATCGATTATGAAATTCTTACCGATTCCCATCACTACTGGGAAGGTTGCACAGGAAAATGTACAGATTTCACTCCAAATATCCTCTGTTCATACACATACGTCTATTGAGCTCGCTTCATGAGCGGCGCTGTGTACAGTCCAAATTTTCTCTTCACCCAGATGTTGCTATAAGAGCTTGCTGCACTCACTATTACTGGATACCATCAGAAACCTTCACATTATACTTTTTAACTTAGATTCACCTTTCCAAACTGCACAAAACATTGAAAAGGTTAAAGGTGTTGATGTATTTAGTCTCTTAGCTGCAATAATGTAGCTCTCTCTCTCTGAGGCAAAATAAATCATATTTAGATTCAACTTCCTTTGAAAAGATGGATTTTTGATTCATTATCATCAAACTAGCCCTTAATATGCTAAAACAAGGTAAAATACAACTGCATGCTTTCGGATTTCCAGTCATTTTCCTGGGCTGCATTGACAGGTCTGTCGTGAAATGCTGAGACTTGCACTTGAAATTTAGAATAGCTTGATAAGGTATTTGGTGCAGATAAATGATTTTACTGTAAGGTATCACACAAAAATCTAGAAGTAAAAGCATTCGATGTGGAAATTTATTCATTTGCAGCAATATTTTTGCTTGAAATAAGGGATTCCTTTATACTCATTTACAAGATGCACTCCCTTGCTATTGGATTCTCATTGGCAGTCCAAAATAAAATTGATCAAGGTCAGTTAACATGGCAGTTAATTCAAATTGTGATGTTGACATACTTGAAAAATAAACAAATTAAACAATATATAGATTCATTAAATTTTTGGATCAGTTCATGACTTGCATAAACATTTTTTGAGTTTAGGTAAGAAATGTTAATAAAATAAAAACTTTCAAACAATTTGAGCCAAAATCTGTCAGGTAGTGAATCACTTCAGCACTTGCACCATTATGGAATTCCTATGGCGTTGTAGCCATCTCCTAAAAAAATTTAAATAGATAAAATTGTAGAGGGCTACATTATTGCAGCTATCAGCCTCTTTGCCTTTTTATAACAAAGTCTAAAAATTTCAATTTTTTACAAAGGGTGTTTTATTGACTACTTTTCTGTAGTGTTCTTTAAATTAAGGTGATATCGAGTTTCTTTTTAATGAACTTTGGTTTGGGTATCACAAGAATGTATTTTGGGCAGCCATATGCAGTTTATGGAGGACTGTGATTACCAATTTTACTGCAGAAAAGGCTCCAGTTGGATCAATGTGAAAAAAATTTCCTTTTTACCCAGGTGTTACCACAAGACCTGCATTGCTGCTAGCTGCCCTCACTATTTGTGTTATATCATAATGTTACAATATATACTTATAAATGTTTTCTTTTCAGTCAAAAGAAAAGATGATGCGAGGCACAAGAAGGGGGTGTGTCAGGCTTGTGGTTAGTAAAGTTACAACTATACAAAAAAAAAAGAAATAAATCATGGATAATATTATTATCAAATATTTACATTTGCAAATGTTTACTCTTATATAACATTATTTCAGCAAAGTATATTGATGTCTGTATATAAACAGGTTCGTCACCTGACCATAAATTCATTGTTTAGTCATAAACAATTGATGTACTTTTATAGTGATGTATTAAGTGGTCGATGTGTTCAACACATGCACATTTAATTTATACTAATGAGGTTTGAAAGAAAGAAATTTTTTCATGGTTTTAAAATTATAATACCCAATTACTTGATAAAAATCAGTCACAAATTGATGATAAGATATCATTTTAAAACTTTTATCAAGATATAAATATGGGTTGCATAACAAAGAAACATAACAAACATAAAGGTTTTACTTGTAATTTCAGGGAGCAATAATTGGGATAGATGATGAAGATGACAGCACCTTTACAATTACTGTGGATCAGAAGACATTCCATTTTCAAGGTTTTATTTTTGTATTGTCAAATGAGATCAGATTTACTTTAAATCTCACAGAGAAGAAATGTGGTCAGCTTTATTCTGGATTTGCAAGTCACTGGTTTTTAAATATTTTGATAATTGTACTTTAGCACGAGATGCAGAGGAAAGGGAAAAGTGGGTCAATGCTCTGGAGAACACCATACTACGACATTCCAGTGCGGGCAAGGTAAAATGATCACCATTCAAAAACATTAATTATACATCCATATTGTATGCTTAAAGTATTTACACAGGCAAGTGAAATTTTTCACCTAAATTTCATGTGACTCTTTTTTTCAAGTGAAATTCCCAGGAGACATATTTGCCTGTTTACCAGATTGAGACATTCAATAAATTATTCCCCATTGTTTTCTGTAAAATAAGTTGACACTATAAGTAATATTTTATATCAAGTGGCGCCATTTAGAAAGTGTAGCCACCCCTGTATATTTATTTTGATTATCAGAGGGTAGATCAGAGAGACTCCGTGACTGCTGAGGATTTTGATCGGAAGCTTGCTGAGACAGACGCCTACCTCCAAATCATGTTGGACCAGGTCCAGGTAAGTGTAATTAAAATTAGAAATAAAGGAATTGTGATAGTGGAAGCTATTGACAAGTCAATTCTGACATTTGTTATATGAAATATTGTTGGAAGCTGTTGACAACTTTGTACTTGATATGTTTACAATGATTAGGTTACCTCCTTGTTTTTTAGCTCACCTCGACGAAGTCGAGATGAGCTTATGCTATACCCCCAGCGTCGGTGTCGGCGTTAGCGTCGGTGTCCCGGTTAAAGTTTTAGGAGCAAGTCCCATTCCCAAGTAACTATAAGCCCTATCTGGACCAAAATTGCATGGATGATGCATCTAGGGATGGACACTACCACACTTGCTTCCGATGCTGGATCTGACCTAGATTTTCCAGATGAGTGACCAGGTTAAAGTTTTTGGAGCAGGTCCATTCCCAAGTAACTATAAGCCCTACCTGGACCAAACTTGCATGGATGATGCATCTAGGGATGGACACTACCACACTTGCTTCCGATGCTGGATCTGACCTAGATTTTCCAGATGAGTGACCAGGTTAAAGTTTTTGGAGCAGGTCCATTCCCAAGTAACTATAAGCCCTACCTGGACCAAACTTGCATGGATGATGCATCTAGGGATGGACACTACCACACCTGCTTCGGATGCTGGATCTGACCTAGATTTTCCAGATGAGTGACCAGGTTAAAGATTTTGGAGCAGGTCCATTCCCAAGTAACTATAAGCCCTACCTGGACCAAACTTGCATGGATGATGCATCTAGGGATGGACACTACCACGCCTGCTTTGGATGCTGGATCTGACCTAGATTTTCCAGATGAGTGACCAGGTTAAAGTATTTGGAGCAGGTCCATTCCCAAGTAACTATAAGCCCTACCTGGACCAAACTTGCATGGATGATGCATCTAGGGATGGACACTACCACACTTGATTCAGATGCTGGATCTGATTTAGATTTTCCAGATGAGTGACCAGGTTAAAGTTTTTGGAGCAGGTCCATTCCCAAGTGACTATAAGCCCTACCTGGACCAAACTTGCATGAATGATGCATTTAGGGATGGACACTGCCACACTTGGATGCTGGGTCTGACCTAGATTTTCCAGATGAGTGACCAGGTTAAAGATTTTGGAGCAGGTCCATTCCCAAGTAACTATAAGCCCTACCTGGACCAAACTTGCATGGATGATGCATTTAGGAATGGACATTACCACACTTGATTCAGATGCTGGATCTGATTTAGATTTTCCACATGTGAGACCAGATTTAGATTTTGGAGCAGTCTCATTCCCAAGTGACTATAAGCCCTACCTGGACCAAACTTTCATGGATGATGCATCTAAGGATGTACACTAACAAACCTGCTTCGGATGCTGGATCAGACCTAGATTTTCAACATGAGTGAATTTTAGCAATATTTTAACTAAATTAGCATGGATGATGTATCTAGGGATGAACACTTCCAGACTTTCTTTGGATTCTGAATCTGACTTACATTTTCTAGATGAGTGACCAGGGTAATTTTTTTTTTGGATTAGCTATATAAAATTATGGCCTGTTATAATTAAACTTGCATAGATGGTGCATTTAAGGATGAAACTTCCAGACTTGCTTTGGATGTTGGAACTGACCAAAATTTTCTTGATTAGTAAACAGGTTAAAAGTTTTTTGAGCAGGTCTATTTCCAAGTAACTATAAGTCCTACTTAAACCAAACTTGCATGGATACTGATCTTGGGATGTACCCTAACTAGAAAAAAAATATGATGTGAAATTTGCCTTACTTATAGATAACATTCGTCGAGGTGAGCTTTGTAATCTTTGATTACCTATGTTTATTATATGACTCAGTAATGAAATTGTTATATGAATCAGTAATGAGATTGTTAAACGAGTCAGTAATGAGATTGTTAAACGAGTCAGTAATGAGATTGTTAAACGAGTCAGTAATGAGATTTTTACATGAGTTAGTCATGGGATTGTTATACAAGTCAGTAATGGGATTGTTATACAAGTCAGTAATGGGATTGTTATATGAGTCAGTAATGAGATTGTTATATGAGTCAGTAATGAGATTGTTAAACGAGTCAGTAATGAGATTGTTAAACGAGTCAGTAATGAGATTGTTATATGAGTCAGTAATGAGATTGTTAAACGAGTCAGTAATGAGATTGTTAAATGAGTCAGTAATGGGATTGTTATATGAGTCAGTAATGAGATTGTTAAATGAGTCAGTAATGAGATTGTTAAACGAGTCAGTAATGGGGTTGTTATACGAGTCAGTAATGGGGTTGTTATATGAGTCAGTAATGAGATTGTTATACAAGTCAGTAATGAGATTGTTATATGAGTCAGTAATGAGATTGTTATATGAGTCAGTAATGAGATTGTTATATGAGTCAGTAATGAGATTGTTATATGAGTCAGTAATGAGATTGTTATATGAGTCAGTAATGAGATTGTTATATGAGTCAGTAATGAGATTGTTATATGAGTCAGTAATGAGATTGTTATATGAGTCAGTAATGAGATTGTTATATGAGTCAGTAATTGAGAGTGTTATATGAGTCAGTAATGGGAGTGTTATACGAGTCAGTAATGGGATTGTTGATTTTCAGGCCCTGGAGACGAGGATCGAGGCCTGCGAGGATTTGGCTGCCAAAGAGAAATACAACGTGATCAAAGTTACTGCTGAGGTACAGAAAATTCTTTGTCACAGAGGAATCATTTGGAACTCTATACTTTATTTCTTTAATTTACTTAACAAATATCTGATCTTTTTAAGTGAAGGAAAGTGTAATTATCTACCTCAAAGTAGAAAATATTTCAGAAGTTATTGATTATGTATTTATCTCCTGATATTTTTCTGTGCAGGCTATGATAGAGGCAATTAAACACTCCATTGTAATGCTGCAGATATCTAAGGTATGTGTAATTATTTGAAGCTAGCCACATATAGAATTCTCCTCTGTTAAACCCTGCTCTCATCAACTCTAGTTTCTAGTGTGGAGCTTAGAAGAATCACCATATCCATCTGTCTGTCTGTCTCACTATGTATCCATGCTAATACTACTAATGAAAAAACAAAAGAGACTCATTTGTTAAGTGTGATAGAGATGAGAAGATGTGCCATGACCTTGAGCCATGCAAATTTTAAAATTGGTAATAAAATTCAGGAACAAAAATTCCTGTGTGGTCTCTGTCTTTGTAGTGCTTGACATCAATGTTGGTCAAGAAGAGAAGGCATATTGTGACTTTAAATTAATGTCATATTGTCCTGTTCCATAACTTTATAATATTGTAACATAAAATTGCAATAGTTCACAATAAATGCTAAGTTTGTCTTTTATCAAAGCTTTGTCTTAACCATGAACCAATTACAGTATGATGTGACAAGTTGAAAATTCAAAGGAGGCCCTGGAGTAAATTTCACGAAAGAGTTTTGCATCTTTTTGTATAGTTTTTTCAAATGTACTTTGTTTTGAGTATGCACTATGGGGTATTTCTCCAATTAAGGCAGCTCAGTTGAGTAACTTTGAATTTTATAAGAAAATTTTTGTTGTTTTCAGGAGAGTCTGAATGGCCCGGTTATGAATGGTTCTGTACATGAAGCCATCCTCACAACTGGTGCTGACTTCAATCATTTTGGTGCTACGGGAATCATGTCAGGTAATTAATGTAGAACACACAGATGTCAGGGGAGTGGGTAGATCTTCCCTGGTCCCGGGATTGTGCTTAAAGTCAAAGTGGTTAGCAGATTAGTCTCTTTGATAGATAGATTAGTCTCTTTGATAGACAGATTAGTCTCTTTGATAGACAGATTAGTCTCCTTGATAGACAGATTAGTCTCCTTGATAGACAGATTAGTCTCTTTGATAGAGAGATTAGTCTCCTTGATAGACAGATAAGTCTCCTTGATAGACAGATAAGTCTCTTTAATAGATTAGTCTCTTTGATAGATTAGTCTCTTTGATAGATAGATTAGTCTCTTTGATAGATAGATTAGTCTCCTTGATAGACAGATAAGTCTCTTTGATAGATTAGTCTCTTTGATAGATTAGTCTCTTTGATAGATAGATTAGTCTCTTTGATAGATAGATTAGTCTCTTTGATAGATAGATTAGTCTCTTTGATAGACAGATAAGTCTCTTTGGTAGATTAGTCTCTTTGATAGATAGATTAGTCTCTTTGATAGACAGATTAGTCTCTTTGATAGACAGATTAGTCTCCTTGATAGACAGATTAGTCTCTTTGATAGAGAGATTAGTCTCCTTGATAGACAGATAAGTCTCCTTGATAGACAGATAAGTCTCTTTAATAGATTAGTCTCTTTGATAGATTAGTCTCTTTGATAGATAGATTAGTCTCTTTGATAGATAGATTAGTCTCTTTGATAGACAGATAAGTCTCTTTGGTAGATTAGTCTCTTTGATAGATAGATTAGTCTCTTTGATAGACAGATTAGTCTCTTTGATAGACAGATTAGTCTCTTTGATAGACAGATTAGTCTCCTTGATACATAGATTAGTCTCTTTGATACATATATTAGTCTCTTTGATAGATAGATTAGTCTCTTTGATAGATAGATTAGTCTCTTTGATAGATAGATTAGTCTCCTTGATAGACAGATTAGTTTCCTTGATAGAAAGATAAGTCTCTTTGATAGATTAGTCTCTTTGATAGATTAGTCTCTTTGATAGATAGATTAGTCTTTTTGATAGACAGATTAGTCTCCTTGATAGACAGATGAGTCTCTTTGAAAGAAGATTAGTCTCTTTGATAGATTAGTCTCTTTGATAGATAGATAGATTAGTCTCTTTGATAGATTAGTCTCTTTGATAGATTAGTCTCTTTGATAGATAGATTAGTCTCTTTGATAGATTAATCTCTTTGATAGATTAGTCTCTTTGATAGATGGATTAGTCTTTTTGATAGACAGATTAGTCTCCTTGATAGACAGATGAGTCTCTTTGATAGATTAGTCTCTGCTGGACAGTTAGATCTACAACTGTGTCATTGCTTTATAGATCTCATCATTTTTTATTTTAAATAAAAAAATGATTTTTAAACTGAGATTTTCTTGATTTGTATTTGTTTAGCTTGAAGGTACCATTACATGTTCCTACAAAAGTTAGGAATCCCAAGAAGTATGTCAATGTTACAGGTACAATCAACATCAATTCTATACAGTATAACTGATTACATAACATGTACATGTAGTTCATAACCTACATTTGTCTTTAATTTAGAATATGATTTTAAGAAAGGTACATAGACATACAGTATTCCCATAAATTGTGAGATTTTTGTCTGGTTCTTATATTTGTTGGGAGAAATATTAGAATTCAAAACCTGACATAAAGTTGTAAGTGTGATAAGAGTTTGTTGCAAGTTTATTTGGAGAGGTTAAAGGTCATAGATCAAAAAAGGTATCATTATCCAAGTTGTATCTTTGCAATCATTTTATGGAGAAATATTGGGAGCTTGTATTGTTTACATGTATAACCGTAACTTTCATCTGAGGTCATTTAGATCAGTTCATGATTGCTTGCTGAAAAGGCATGAATTTTGTTACAAAAGACACCTTTTTAGCTCAGAAACAAATGTTGATTTTAACCTTAAGATGTACCAAGAACCAGACCAAAGATTATTTACAAAGGATAATGGTTACCGGTAATTCCAGAAGGAACTTGAAGGAATTAGTTTTTTGAGGGATGTCCTTTGTGAATACACTCACAATATACATGTATCTAGTTTGGAAACTGCAGAACTACAATAAAAGTTAAAGAGCAGTCCCAATAAACTTGTCCCTGATACTTATTTCAATGTTAACTGATATCTGACAGAATAAGAAATAAGAAAGAAATTTTCAGGTCAAAACAGGCGACCTACAGAGCTCCGTGTGCCTGATGTTGTCATGGTAACCCCACCGTGTTTGGACACGCCAGCGTCAGTCGGTATGCCAAGGTCAAACAATGTCGTCTGCATGCTCCAATCTGCTCCTGTTGCTTAGCAACTGTTCTGTAAACTGCATGAGAGCTTATTTGGCTCCTAAGTTATGAAGTTATGGTTCATTTAATTTAATCTTGGGTTTATTAGGTGCTTCCAGACCATTAGCATTAGACTTTTCTGTTGTCTAGTTATACAGAGAATGCTTTGTCTTAATCATATACTAATATGGTTATAAACCTTATATACCTTTACTGATAGAAATGTTTATTTTCCAGAATTACATTTGTATCTTTTTTTTGCATTTTATACTGTTGTAAATTGATTTGGAGTTTGTTTACTGTATTATAACAAATTCAGCACACTAGAGAACCCTTTTCATGTAACTAATAGCTAATACATTGTATATTACAAAAAAATCATTGACTATAAGATTCTATATCATGGCTACATATACTTTGTAATGCTTTTTTATAGAAGCTTGCAAGATGTCTGTTCTAGGCTTGTGCAACATTAAACAATGAAAAGTGTTAGTCCAGTCACTGCTATACATACCTTTATTTCCTATGTAGCTTGTAACACAAGGTTTGATTGGTTAGCAAGCCGGGGAGTACCGGTAAATTTCCTTACAATAATGTGACATCACAATGCATATTTTCCCTATCACAAAAATACAAATAACATGAATCACGATGCATTGTAGCACATAGTAAATCTTATCAATAGCTTGGTCTTGTGAAACAAAGAATGTACAGTAAAACACGCTCATAGCGAACACACTTATCATGAATTGACGCTTATAGCGAAGTGATTTTTATTCCCCATACTGTATTGTGATACATGTACTAACAGATATAACGAATTACGTTTATTTCAAATCAAAATCATCTGTCCCTGGCACTTTGTCATAAGCCTGTTTTACTTTATTTGGTTACATAGGAAGTAAATTCGTTATCCAGGTTCAATCAAGAGTGTACAGGAATTTACCCCGGGTCGGATTCCATGTACGGCCTTCTGCCTCAGGGTGTATGGAATAAAACCTTGGGTCCACCTTCGGCCACAAGGTGTATGGAATAAAACTGGGGTAAATCCCCATACACTCTTGATTGAACCTGGATAAGTAATAGTACAAGTGTATGCTAGTATTCAAATAAATACTTTAAACCAGTATTATTGAAAACTTTGTTATTATCAAATTAATTTTAAAATTTCAGTTTGTTTGGTCCCAATAATTTATCATACATGTATTTAAAAAAAAGTATGAAAAGAGAAAATAGTGATTAAGTAAACAAATGGAGATGGCCTGGTAAGATGACTTAAGTTCCTGCTGTGATCTATGAAAATTTTTTTTTTTTTTTTTTTTTTTTTTTTTTTTTTTAAGAGGGGGAATAGACAGTGAATGTTATTAGATGTTAAGACGGTGTGTTTTACTGACTGTTGATTGACACATGTGGTTGTGTCTGATTAGTATTTGATATCTGATTGACACTTAAGAGGTTGTGTCTTAGTTACAATAATTTTTTGATTGACAGAAGCTGATCTCTCCTCAACCACGTCCCCTATTTCTCCACGTGTTCCAGAAACCTCTTATTCCAGTAGTGAGGATGAAGAATTTTTTGAAGCTGAAGAATTCAAACATGCCTCTTCTAGTCCCCTGTATGTATAGATGATTCAAAAAATAGCATTTTAATGCCATTCCTAACAAAGAAAACTATCCAGTTAATATTTTGTATGAGATATGTTTATTACTTTCAAGTAATAATATTAATGATACATTTACGTAAAAAAAAAAGACAAATTCCTGTTAATCAATTTTTATTTGTGTGCAAGATTTGCGAGTTTTGCAACCTTGTTTTATTCATGAACAACTCGCAGGAAACTATTTATGTCATAGTGTATTTATGTAGAATATTTCCTCAGTCACGAAAATTAGTTGACAGGAATAAATTTCAAACTGACAAATGGCGAATAAAAGTTTTCGAAATGTATAGGTGGTTTTAATTACAGTACTACACAAAAGAAGTATGATACTAATTTTTTTTGTAACGACAGTCCACAACATGCAGATGACAAATCAGAAAATGCCACCAAATTCACGGAGGGTGAGGAGACAGAGGAAACAGAGACAAGTGATGGGGGCAGGGCAGACTGTCAGCAGGTAATCAAGGCGGAGGATGATTACTACGATGGTGAGTAGCACAGTTACTAAATCAGTGGAGGTTAGAACAATTATCATAATTCATTGGAGGAGTAGCACAATTATTGTAATTCAGTGGAGGGTAGCACAATTATTATGATTCAGTGAAGGGTAGCACAATTATTATGATTCAGTGGAGGGATAGCACAGTTATTATAATTCAGTGGAGGGGTAGCACAATTATTATGATTCAGTGGAGGGGTAGCACAATTATTATAATTCAGTGGAGGGTAGCACAATTATTATGATTCAGTGGAGGGGTAGCACAAGTATTATAATTCAATGAAGGGGTAGCACAATTATAATTCAGTGCAGGGGTAGCACAGTTATTGTAATTCAGTGGAGGGATAGCACAATTATTATAATTCAGTGGAGGGGTAGCACAATTATTATAATTCAGTGGAGGGATAGCACAATTATTATAATTCAGTGGAGGGATAGCACGATTATTATAATTCAGTGGAGGGGTAGCACAATTATTATAATTCAGTGGGGGGTAGCACAATTATTATAATTCAGTGATTACATTTGATAAATGTAATATAAATTTCCTTCTTTATTTAAATTTTTTTTTTTTGGTTTGCTACAGAACTCTATGATGAACAGGACAAAGAAGATTGTGAGTAAAATAATAATAAATTGGTTTTGTCAAACTTCAAATAAATCTGTACATTGATATTGAGTCATTAATGACTATAATGTCGGTATTCTCTACAAATGATTATATATTTTAAAGTCACATGTTTGACAATGAATCTGAACCAGGTGGTACAGTGTTTCTAGTTTAAAAGCATGAATTATTAGGCATGGTGTTACCTTTTTTTATAAGAAAAATATGTAACATCAAGTGCCTATGTGTACCCCTTCTTTAATTTCATCTTATTTTATGCATACAAGATTGTAGATGTTGAAGCAATTTGTTTCTGTTTCTTCCCATCCCCTTCAGACTCTGAACAAGGAATATTGAATTTCACAAACATGGCTTTCTAAAAATTCATTATTAAACACCACATTTTGTATTCTTGTGTGTTCATTTCATAACTGTCTTACTGCTAATGAAATAGATCAGTCTTTCGCTTTTAAATCAGAACATTTTTGCTGAAACAGATGTAAGGCTGCACTTTTTTTTTTTAAATTAACAGTGGGGTCATTAGAAAAACATGGCAGTATAATAGCTCACCTGTTGTCACAGGTGAGAATCGGAATGGACCTCACAAAAGTCGTCCTCCCCACGTTTATCCTGGAGAGACGCTCACTCCTCGAAATGTACGCAGACTTCTTTGCTCACCCAGACCTGTTTGTCAAGTAAGTTTTTTTTTAATTCTGAATATTATAGATTTCATTTAGTGTATTCTATATTATTGGAATAATATTCCTGTATGAGGATTTTAATGGATCCATAGAAGAAAAAAAAAACAAAAATAAGTCCTAGACAAGTATTGTGAATTTCAAGAAAAATATGCTCTGGTTAGTTTTTTCATTCTCATATGTCCCATCAATATGATTCATGAGTTTGTTTTAATTGAATTAAAAACTCTTTATGTACTCAAGGAATTATTGTGTCATTAGTGTTTAGTTTAAGTGTTATTATTTAGAATTGTAGATATGATGACTCCTCAGGACAGAATGATACAGCTGTTATAAGTGTATAGTTAGTGTTTAGTGTAAGGGTTGTTATTTAGAATTGTAGACATGAAGACCCCCAAGACAGAATAATACAGCTGTTATTAGTGGATAGTTAGTGTTTAATGTAAGGGTTGTTATTTAGAATTGTAGACATGAAGACCCCACAGGACAGAATGATACAGCTTGTCAGGTGGTACCTATCAGCATTCCATGCTGCCAGAAACAGTGATATCGCCAAAAAAGCTTACAATCCGATCCTTGGGGAAACATTCAAGTGTCACTGGAAAATCCCAGGAATGGAGGCTGAAGGGGTAAACAGACAAATCATCTCCTACATGTAATAAACACAATAAAGTTTTTGGTGTACAGTATACTTAAACTGTGACCCAAGACACATTTGTACTTATTAAATACTATGTAGAAGACAGTTGCTCTATGAACTTAGTGTTAGATTGTAAAGTAGTTAGAGAAATCTTCATCAATTTTTCTTTTTATGAATCTCATGTGTGCATCCTTGGCATGCATTGAAAGTAGATGTGACACTGTCAAGCTGCATGATACAAACTATATTCAAGAACAGAGTGTTTCAAGAAAAAATAAAACCCCATATATATGGCTTTCTTGATTTGCAGGAGAAAGCTGTAGATGGGCCGTGTGAAGAAGCCACAAATAACAACCTAGCCTTTGTAGCAGAGCAAGTGTCTCATCACCCTCCCAGTAAGTTCTTCTTGAGAATTACCTATTTATCACCCTCCCAGTAAGTCTTGGTAAATTGTAGCTATTTATCTCCCTCTCAATAAGTCTTGTTGAGATTGTATCTATCTCCCCCTCAGTAAGTCTTGTTGAGATTGTACCTATTTATCTCCCCCTCAATAAGTCTTGTTGAGATTGTATCTATCTCCCCCTCAGTAAGTCTTGTTGAGATTGTACCTATTTATCACCCTCCCAGTAAGTTTTGGTAAATTGCACCTATTTATCTCCCCCTCAATAAGTCTTCTTGAGATTGTATCTATCTCCCCCTCAGTAAGTCTTGTTGAGATTGTACCTATTTATCTCCCCCTCAATAAGTCTTGTTGAGATTGTATCTGTTTATTTCCCTCTCAGTAAGTCTTGTTGAGATTGTATCTATCTCCCCCTCAGTAAGTCTTGTTGAGATGTATCTGTTTATTTCCCTCTCAGTAAGTCTTGTTGAGATATATCTGTTTATTTCCCTCTCAGTAAGTCTTGTTGAGATTGTATCTGTTTATTTCCCTCTCAGTAAGTCTTGTTGAGATTGTATCTGTTTATTTCCCTCTCAGTAAGTCTTGTTAGCTCACCTGAGCCGAAGGCTCAAGTGAGCTTTTCTGATCACTTTTTGTCCGGCGTCCGTCTGTCTGTCTGTCTGTCTGTCTGTAAACTTTTAACATTTTTGACTTCTTCTCAAGAACCACTGGGCCAATTTCAACCAAACTTGCCACAAAGTATCCTTGGGTGAAGGGGATTCAAGTTTGTTAAAATGAAGGGTCACGCCCTTTTTCAAGGGGAGATAATAAAGAATTAGTGAAAAATTAATAGCATCTTTTAAAAATCTTCTTCTCAAGAACCACAGGGCCAGGAAAGTTGAAACTCAAGGGGAAGCATCCTCAGGTAGTGTAGATTCAAGTTTGTTCAAATCATGACCCCCGGGGGTAGGGCGGGGCCACAATGGAGGATCAAAGTTTTACATAGAAATATATAGGAAAAACCTTTAAAAATCTTCTTCTCAAGAACAGCGAAGACATGTTGAGTCATATTTATATGGAAGCATCCTCAGGTAGTGTAGATTCAAATTTGTTCAAATCATGACCCCCGGGGGTAGGGCGGGGCCACAATGGAGGATCAAAGTTTTACATAGAAATATATAGGAAAAACCTTTAAAAATCTTCTTCTCAAGAACAGCAAAGCCATAATGAGTCATATTAATATAGAAGCATCCTCAGGTAGTGTAGATTCAAATTTGTTCAAATCATGACCCCCGGGGGTAGGGCGGGGCCACAATGGAGGATCAAAGTTTTACATAGAAATATATAGGAAAAACCTTTAAAAATCTTCTTCTCAAGAACAACAAAGCCATGATCAGTCATATTTATATGGAAGCATCCTCAGGTAGTGTAGATTCAAGTTTGTTCAAATCATGACCCCCGGGGGTAGGGCGGGGCCACAATGGAGGATCAAAGTTTTACATAGAAATATATAGGAAAAACCTTTAAAAATCTTCTTCTCAAGAACAGCAAAGCCATAATGAGTCATATTAATATAGAAGCATCCTCAGGTAGTGTAGATTCAAATTTGTTCAAATCATGACCCCCGGGGGTAGGGCGGGGCCACAATGGAGGATCAAAGTTTTACATGGAAATATATAGGAAAAACCTTTAAAAATCTTCTTCTCAAGAACAGCAAAGCCATGATGAGTCATATTTTTTTGGAAGTATCCTCAGATAGTGTAGATTCAAGTTTGTTCAAATCATGACCCCCCGGGGGTAGGGCGGGGCCATGATTGACTATCAAAGTTTTACATAGAAATATTTAGGAAAATTTTTTAAAATCTTCTCAGGAACAGCAAAGCCCTGATTGATCATATTTATGTGGAAGCATCCTCAGGTAGTGTAGATTTTATTTTGTTCAAATCATGACCCCCAGGGGTAAGGTGGGGCCACAATGGAGGATCAAAGTCTTAAATAGAAATATATAGGATAATATCTTGGAAGCATCCTCAGGTAGTGTAGATTCAAATTTGTTCAAATGATGACCCCTGGGATAGGGAGGAGCCACAATGGGGGATAAAATTTTTACAAAGGAATATATGGGAAATTTTTTTTGAACATCTCAAGTACAAGAAAGCCATTTGTTATATTGACATGGAAGCATCATCAGGTAGTTTAAAATTCAAGCCCCCCCCCCCCCCCCCCCCCCCCCCCCCCCCCCCCGCGGTGGTAATCTTTTCAATACTGAACTTGTGCTTTTGCCTAGCCAATGTGCTCAGGTGAGCGATGTGGCCCATGGGCCTCTTGTTGAGATCGTATCTGTTTATTTTCCTCTCAGTAAGTTTTGTTGAGATGTATCTGTTTATTTCCCTCTCAGTAAGTCTTGTTGAGATTGTATCTGTTTATTTCCCTCTCAGTAAGTCTTGTTGAGATGTATCTGTTTATTTCCCTCTCAGTAAGTTTTGTTGAGATGTATCTGTTTATCTCCCCCTCAGTAAGTCTTGTTGAGATTGTACCTATCTATCTCCCCCTCAGTAAGTCTTGTTGAGATTATATCTGTTTATTTCTTCTCCCTCAGTAAGTCTTGTTGAGATTGTATCTGTTTATTTCCCTCTCAGTAAGTCTTGTTGAGATGTATCTGTTTATTTCCCTCTCAGTAAGTCTTGTTGAGATGTATCTGTTTATTTCCCTCTCAGTAAGTCTTGTTGAGATTGTATCTATCTCCCTCTCAGTAAGTCTTGTTGAGATGTATCTGTTTATTTCCCTCTCAGTAAGTCTTGTTGAGATTGTATCTGTTTATTTCCCTCTCAGTAAGTCTTGTTGAGATTGTACCTATCTATCTCCCCCTCAGTAAGTCTTGTTGAGATTGTATCTGTTTATTTCTTCTCCCTCAGTAAGTCTTGTTGAGATTGTATCTGTTTATTTCCCTCTCAGTAAGTCTTGTTGAGATGTATCTGTTTATTTCCCTCTCAGTAAGTCTTGTTGAGATGTATCTGTTTATTTCCCTCTCAGTAAGTCTTGTTGAGATTGTATCTATCTCCCTCTCAGTAAGTCTTGTTGAGATGTATCTGTTTATTTCCCTCTCAGTAAATCTTGTTGAGATTGTATCTGTTTATTTCCCTCTCAGTAAGTCTTGTTGAGATTGTATCTATCTCCCCCTCAGTAAGTCTTGTTGAGATTGTATCTGTTTATTTCTTCTCCCTCAGTAAGTCTTGTTGAGATTGTATCTGTTTATTTCCCTCTCAGTAAGTCTTGTTGAGATTGTATCTGTTTATTTCCCTCTCAGTAAGTCTTGTTGAGATGTATCTGTTTATTTCCCTCTCAGTAAGTCTTGTTGAGATGTATCTGTTTATTTCCCTCTCAGTAAGTCTTGTTGAGATGTATCTGTTTATTTCCCTCTCAGTAAGTCTTGTTGAGATTGTATCTATCTCCCTCTCAGTAAGTCTTGTTGAGATGTATCTGTTTATTTCCCTCTCAGTAAGTCTTGTTGAGATTGTATCTGTTTATTTCCCTCTCAGTAAGTCTTGTTGAGATTGTATCTGTTTATTTCCCTCTCAGTAAGTCTAGTTGAGATTGTATCTGTTTATTTCCCTCTCAGTAAGTCTTGTTGAGATGTATCTGTTTATTTCCCTCTCAGTAAGTCTTGTTGAGATTGTATCTATCTCCCCCTCAGTAAGTCTTGTTGAGATTGTATCTGTTTATTTCCCTCTCAGTAAGTCTTGTTGAGATTGTATCTGTTTATTTCCCTCTCAGTAAGTCTTGTTGAGATTGTATCTGTTTATTTCCCTCTCAGTAAGTCTAGTTGAGATTGTATCTGTTTATTTCCCTCTCAGTAAGTCTTGTTGAGATTGTATCTGTTTATTTCCCTCTAAGTAAGTCTTGTTGAGATGTATCTGTTTATTTCCCTCTCAGTAAGTCATGTTTAGATGTATCTGTTTATTTCCCTCTCAGTAAGTTTTGTTGAGATGTATCTTTTTATTTCCCTCTCAGTAAGTCTTGTTGAGATGTATCTGTTTATTTCCCTCTCAGTAAGTTTTGTTGAGATGTATCTGTTTATTTCCCACTCAGTAAGTCTTGTTGAGATTGTACCTATCTATCTCCCTCTCAGTAAGTCTTGTTGAGATTGTATCTGTTTATTTCCCTCTCAGTAAGTCTTGTTGAGATTGTATCTGTTTATTTCCCTCTCAGTAAGTCTTGTTGAGATGTATCTGTTTATTTCCCTCTCAGTAAGTCTTGTTGAGATTGTATCTGTTTATTTCCCTCTCAGTAAGTCTTGTTGAGATTGTATCTGTTTATTTCCCTCTCAGTAAGTCTTGTTGAGATGTATCTGTTTATTTCCCTCTCAGTAAGTCTTGTTGAGATTGTATCTGTTTATTTCCCTCTCAGTAAGTCTTGTTGAGATTGTATCTGTTTATTTCTTCTCCCTCAGTAAGTCTTGTTGAGGTTGTATCTGTTTATTTCCCTCTCAGTAAGTCTTGTTGAGATTGTATCTGTTTATTTCCCTCTCAGTAAGTCTTGTTGAGATTGTATCTGTTTATTTCCCTCTCAGTAAGTCTTGTTGAGATGTATCTGTTTATTTCCCTCTCAGTAAGTCTTGTTGAGATGTATCTGTTTATTTCCCTCTCAGTAAGTCTTGTTGAGATTGTATCTGTTTATTTCCCTCTCATTAAGTCTTGTTGAGATTGTATCTGTTTATTTCCCTCTCAGTAAGTCTTGTTGAGATGTATTTGTTTATTTCCCTCTCAGTAAGTTTTGTTGAGATGTATCTGTTTATTTCCCACTCAGTAAGTCTTGTTGAGATTGTACCTATCTATCTCCCCCTCAGTAAGTCTTGTTGAGATTGTACCTATCTATCTCCCCCTCAGTAAGTCTTGTTGAGATTGTACCTATTTATCTCCCCCTCAGTAAGTCTTGTTGAGATTGTATCTATCTCCCCCTCAGTAAGTCCTGTTGAGATTGTATCTGTTTATTTCCCTCTAAGTAAGTCTTGTTGAGATGTATCTGTTTATTTCCCTCTCAGTAAGTCTAGTTGAGATGTATCTGTTTATTTCCCTCTCAGTAAGTTTTGTTGAGATTGTATCTGTTTATTTCCCACTCAGTGAGTCTTGTTGAGATTGTACCTATCTATCTCCCCCTCAGTAAGTCTTGTTGAGATTGTATCTATCTCCCCCTCAGTAAGTCTTGTTGAGATTGTACCTATTTATCTCCCCCTCAATAAGTCTTGTTGAGATTGTATCTATCTCCCCCTCAGTAAGTCTTGTTGAGATTGTATCTATCTCCCCCTCAGTAAGTCTTGTTGAGATTGTATCTATCTCCCCCTCAGTAAGTCTTGTTGAGATTGTACCTATTTATCACCCTCCCAGTAAGTTTTGGTAAATTGTACCTATTTATCCCCCCCCCCCTTCAGTAAGTCTTGTTGAGATTGTATCTATCTCCCCCTCAGTAAGTCTTGTTGGGATTGTATCTATCTCGCCCTCAGTAAGTCTTGTTGAGATTGTATCTGTTTATTTCCCTCTCAGTAAGTCTTGTTGAGATGTATCTGTTTATTTCCCTCTCAGTAAGTCTTGTTGAGATTGTATCTGTTTATTTCCCTCTCAGTAAGTCTTGTTGAGATTGTATCTGTTTATTTCCCTCTCAGTAAGTCTTGTTGAGATTGTATCTGTTTATTTCCCTCTCAGTAAGTCTTGTTGAGATGTATCTGTTTATTTCCCCCTCAGTAAGTCTTGTTGAGATTGTATCTGTTTATTTCCCTCTCAGTAAGTCTAGTTGAGATTGTATCTGTTTATTTCCCCCTCAGTAAGTCTAGTGGAGATTGTATCTGTTTATTTCCCTCTCAGTAAGTCTTGTTGAGATTGTATCTGTTTATTTCCCTCTCAGTAAGTCTAGTTGAGATTGTATCTGTTTATTTCCCCCTCAGTAAGTCTAGTTGAGATTGTATCTGTTTATTTCCCTCTCAGTAAGTCTTGTTGAGATTGTATCTGTTTATTTCCCCCTCAGTAAGTCTTGTTGAGATTGTATCTGTTTATTTCCCTCTCAGCAAGTCTTGTTGAGATTGTATGTTTATTTCCCTCTCAGTAAGTCTTGTTGAGATTGTATCTGTTTATTTCCCCCTCAGTAAGTCTAGTTGAGATTGTATCTGTTTATCTCCCCCTCAGTAAGTCTTGTTGAGATTATACCTATTTATCTCCCCCTCAATAAGTCTTGTTGAGATTGTATCTGTTTATTTCCCTCTCAGCAAGTCTTGTTGAGATTGTATCTGTTTATTTCCCTCTCAGTGAGTCTTGTTGAGATTGTATCTGTTTATTTCCCTCTCAGTAAGTCTTGTTGAGATTGTATCTGTTTATTTCCCTCTCAGTGAGCCTTGTTGAGAGAACATATTATCTCCCAGTAAGTCCTGTTGAGATTGTACTTACTGTAAACCGACATATATTCATGATTCATCAGTTTGAAATCCATGAGCATCGATTAATAAATTGTACCTTTTTATCACTCTCCCAATTCAAACTTATGACAGAGAAATTATTTCCAAGAAATTTGCAGTTTTATCACAAATGAAACAGTATAAATCATCCTCTTGTTAAATTCTCCCTCATTATTTTTTTTATTCTACATTTTTTAGCTCACCTGAGCCGAAGGCTCAAGTGAGCTTTTCTGATCACATTTTGTCTGTAGTCCGTCTGTCCGTCTGTAAATTTTTCACATTTTCGACTTCTTCTCAAGAACCACTGGGCCAATTTCAACCAAACTTGCCACAAAGTATCCTTGGGTAAAGGGGATTCAAGTTTGTTCAAATGAAGGGCCACCCCCTCTTCCAAGGGGAGATAATTAAGAATTCGTGAAAAATTAATGGCATCATTAAAAAATCTTCTTCTCAAGAACCACTGTGCTTGAAAACATGAAACTTATGTGGAAGCATCCTCAGGTAGTGTAGATTCAAGTTTCTTCAAATCATGACCCCCGGGGGTAGGGTGGGGCCACAATGGGCGATCAAAGTTTTACATATGAAATATACAGGAAAAATCTTTAAAAATCTTCTTCTCAAGAACAGCAAAGCCATGATTGGTCATATTTATATGGTAGCATCCTCAGATAGTGTACATTCAAGTTTGTTCAAATCATGACCCCCAGGGGTCGGGTGGGGCCACAATTGGCGATCAAAGTTTTACATAGGAATATATAGGAAAAATCTTCAAAAATCTTCTTCTCAAGAACAGCAAAGCCATGATTGGTCATATTTACTTGGAAGCATCCTCAGGTTGTGTAGATTCAAGTTTGTTCAAATCATGACCCCCGGTGGTAGGGTGGGGCCACAATGGGCGATCAAAGTTTTACATAGGAATATATAGGAAAAATCTTTAAAAATCTTCTTCTCAAGAACAGCAAAGCCATAATTGGTCATATTTACATGGAAGCATCCTCAGGTAGTGTAGATTCAAATTTGTTCAAATCATGACCCCCGGGGGTCGGGTGGGGCCACAATGGGCGATCAAAGTTTTGCATAGGAATATATAGGAAAAATCTTTAAAAATCTTCTTCTCAAGAACAACAAAGCCATCATTGGTCATATTTATATGGTAGCATCCTCAGGTAGTGTAGATTCAAGTTTGTTCAACTCATGACCCCCGGGGGTCGGGTGGGACCACAATGGGCAATCAAAGTTTTACATAGGAATATATAGGAAAAATCTTTAAAAATCTTCTTCTCAAGAACAGCAAAGCCATGATTGCTCATATTTACATGGAAGCATCCTCAGGTAGTGTACATTCAAATTTATTCAACTCATGACCCCCGGGGGTCGGGTGGGGCCACAATGGGCGATCAAAGTTTTACATAGGAACACATAGTAAAAATCTTCTTCTCAAGAACAGCAAAGCCATGATTGGTCATATTTATATGGTAGCATCCTCAGATAGTGTACATTCAAATTTGTTCAAATCATGACCCCCGGGGGTCGGATGGGGCCACAATGGGCGATCAAAGTTTTACATAGGAACACATAGTAAAAATTCTAAAAAAAAAAACAATTTGTTAAGAATAGCAAAGCCATGATTGGTCATATTTATATGGAAGCATTCTTAGATAGTGTACATTCAAGTTTGTTCAAACATGACCCCTGTGGGTCGGGTGGGGCCACAATGGGTGATCAAAGTTTTACATAGGAATACATAGGTTAAATCTTTAAAAATCTTCTACTCAAGAACAGCAAAGCCATGATTGGTCATATTTAAATGGAAGCATCCTCAGATAATGTAGATTCAAATTTGTTCAATTCCTGACCCCCCCCCCCCCAACCACTTTTATATTTAAACTTTTCAACCTTTCAAGATTGAAGTGATTTCTGCTTTTTTCTAGCCATAGTGCTCAGGTGAGCGATGTGGCCCCTGGGCCTCTTGTTTTTTATTTTATTCTTTATTAATATTTAATTCAATGTGAAAGTAAAATTTAACCGTACAGAAATTTTTAATAAATTTTTTTCATAGTTGACAAATCCTTATATAGAACTTTCTGATTCTGTCCAAAACAACTCATCAAAAAAAGATGTTCATGGCAGCCATTATAAATATATATAGGATCTCCCATGATTTGTAGTTGGATATGACTTTTATCCAACGAGTTGTGTGTTTTTTATCCCCGAGCCTTGGCGAGGGGATAAAAACACACAACGAGTTGGATAAAAGTCATATCCAACTACAAATCATGGGAGATTCTTTTTATCCCATGTTTAATACTTCACAACCAATGTTTTACACTGTTTTATATAGGACTCCACTTTAATTTACTTCATCGCGCTAACGCAAAAACCATTGTGACGTCACAACTGTGGATTATGAAAAATTTATTCAATGAGTCATATCCACGGGATAAAGGGGTACACATGGGATAAAAAGTTTTATACATCAATTTATTTTATTTCCAGTTTCAGCATTTTATGCAGAACATAAGTCAAAAAGAATAACATTAGATGGTTATATTTGGACCAAGTCCAAGTTCCTGGGGCTGTCAATAGGTGTTCACATGATCGGACAGGGTGTGGTATCAGTGATCGATCATGATGAAGAATACGTCATTACATTCCCTAACGGATATGGTCGGTGAGTTTCGGTTAAACCACAGCTTTTAAGAATATCACAAAAATGAAAATTCTTAAAGTGTTTTTTCTAATTATTTTGAGAGTAAAATCTTGGAAGATTTTGTAGCCTTGAAAGGGTAAATTGTTATGTTATTTCTATCTATACCATTTTGCATTGTGTGTGAAAACAAATCCTCAAAAAAGTTTGTCCTGTATATATGTACCCCATAAATGATTAATTTGACTATTTCTGCTCACTAGTTCAATCTACACCTTCCCCCTGGGTTGATTGATTTGACTATTTCTGTTCATCAGGTCAATCCTGACCACCCCCTGGTTTGATTGATTTGACTATTTCTGTTCATCAGGTCAATCCTGACTGCATCCCCCTTCGCTTGGTACATTAGTTTGTCTATTTCTGTTCACCAGGTCAATTCTGACAACCCCCTGGGTGGAGATGGGGGGTAAGGTGACCATGTCATGTGCCAAAACAGGATACAATGCTACTGTCACTTTTCACACAAAGGTAGGGCTTATCAAATATTTTTATGTATAATGTTAAAGCTCTTTACAGTTGTATGATGTGTACATGATTATATCTATCATATATTGTCATGTTCAAGTCCATTATCCTCCCCACTTCTTTTTTAAGCCATTCTACGGAGGGAAGAAACATAGAGTGACCAGTGAAATTTTTGCTCCCAATGAAAAGAAACCCCTGGTGACTATTGATGGGGAATGGAACGGAGTCATGTACGCCAAACATGCCACGGGGGTACGTGTCTCTAAATCTGATCATAGTTTTCTTATCTTTGTAAATTACTGTTAACTTGTAAATGCTTGAATATTGGAAAATAATATCACAGTGAAAATTTTTGAAACTGTAGAAATTTTCAAAATTTAAAGTTAAATTTGGCAATACAAAAGTAAAGAATTTTTTTCAAAAATTCTTTAATGTGTAGAATGATGTAAAAATGCAGCAAAGAACAATATAAAACACAGTGAGTCAAACCTTGTTATCTTGAACTCAATGGGACCAATAAAAGACTTCGAGATATCTGAGGATTCGAGATACTGAGTGTAAAAAAACTTTAAAAAATAAGTGGTTGGGACTTCCAAATCAGTTCAACATTATCCATGGTATTCAATATACAGGTGTTTGAGATACAGAAGTTCAACTACTAGTATGTTATGCATGGTTGTCTTTGATTTGAAGCATATGATTTAGTTCCATAATCTTTTTAAGTGTAAACCACCCATGTTCACGTTTGAGACCCTTCAAATCTAGTTAAGTCCTTGTGTTACTTTTTTACTACTAAAAATATATATACTTTATTCAGATGAATGAGGTGTTTGTGGATACAAAGAGGATGCCAGTGGTGAAGAAACTCGTGAAGCCAAGGGAGAAACAGGGAGAGTTTGAGTCTAGGAGGTAACAATCTCTGTCTGAAATTGTTGCTTACAATGATTGTAACAGTAAACAGATAATTATTATTATTATAAAAAATGGCTATAAATATAAAAATTTCTGATAAAACAAACATGGTGCAAAAACCTTTAAGCACCACAACAAAGCACAGAATGTCTACATGGCACAAATACAAACACCAGAACAAAGCACACAGCTAATGCTACATTGTACACAAAGAAATAGACAACTGTAAGAAAACGTATACAGTCAAATGGATTGTCTATAAGACTCACAACTATTGGTCACTACATTAGCAGACAGAGACATTGCTCATTGCAGAATTGACGGACACGATTTAACTTCCTTTGAGTCTTGTACAGATTTTTTTCCGTCTTATTTTGAAGGCTTTGGCAGGATGTGACTTATAGCTTGAAGTATAATGAGGTGGATAAAGCTACGGAATTCAAACAGAGATTAGAGCAGAGACAGAGAGAAGAGGCAAGGGAGAGGAAGGAAAGGGGCGTGTCCTGGGAAACCAAGGTGGGCGGGGCTTGTTATAGATTGTGTAAAAATTCAGAATATAACTGTGTTGCAAATCCATATTTAAATGTAATTCAAATACCGATATTGAATGCATACAGACAAATTAAGTACATGCATTTGGTTGAATATCTTTGTGGGTAATATAATGTACACTGTAATTATCTAAATGGCAACATTGGAAGGGACAGAGAAAATTTATTTCATACAAATTACAAATAAATGTGTAGTGTTGTAATGGGTGAAGGTGTACAGGAGAACTATCTTGTCTACAATGGTGCTGTAAAATATTATCAATTTAGACACGATCCAGTTCGAGAGTGTTTTGAAATATACATGTAAAAGAGATAGATATTTTGTGGGAATACATACACCATGCAGGATCATAAAAATTTTTAAGTTTGATATTAAAATGGTAGGATTGAATTAAAAATAATTTACACTGTTTTTGTTCATGAAAGTTAATTACAAAGAGTTAACACATTTTCTGTTTTCTGTAGAATTTTCATGAAGTTGGAGAACACTGGGTATATGACAAACCTCTACAGAAGAGACTGAAGAATGCTTCCCCTGTCTCCAGTAACTCACATACACCCAACAGTTAGGATTAGCCCCAGTGATTCCTGATCCAAGCCTCAATATTAAGAGTTATCAGTGGTGATTTTATCAGCTGAAACGAAATGTAAAGAAAACATAATATCAGTGTAAGAACTAGACTTAGCTGTGATATAAACATTGTGCAAAACTGATGGTGTTTGTTAACTGTAGGCAATCTGAGCAATTTGTGAACTGTGAGCACCTGAGTATGATAGTCCAATGAGGGCTGTGTTTTATCTAGACATACATGTATTACTTCAGGAGTTGTTATAATGTCACAGTCCTGACTGGTCCACCTGTTTGGATTGGGTCAGTCCTGTTTTTAGCGATAATGGACTCATTGTTGTAGAGTGTCGCTCATTACGTCCTGCTTTTTATAACATCATGTGTGTGTGTCAGAGGCAAGAAAGATTCTACCAGAATGATGAGCATCCATGTCATGTAGAAGAGCAGTACTGGTCAAGTTCTAAACCACATATTCATAATAGTGCAAATATATTTAAATTTTTATGCAAATCAGATACTGTATATACATGCAAGTATTGCCTCCAATTCATTATACACTGTTCATATATATATATATATATATATATATATATATATATATATATATATGTATTATTTTAAAGTCGTTTAAAAAACCCCGTCTTTTCCATCCAGTTGTGTATGAGGCATCATTCATCTTTATTTTGTTATTGTATCTGCTTGTTCAGAATATCTTGTAAAAGACATAATATACATTGTTTTTGTTCCCTTTGTTATAGGACAGATGAATATGTACATGAAATGTATCTTAACCCAGATAAAGAATATTACACTTTATGTCATTTTATAATTTTGTCACTGGAATATGTACTCAGGAAATGAGCAGGACATGAAGATAATCAATAAAATTATGAAAATGAAACACAATATTTTTAGAATGGACGTCCAGATGGTGGTTTAAATGGGGGGAGGGGGGGGGATCAAGAGAGCTCCTCCCAAAGCCTTTCTTCATAATAAATTTCCCATAGATACCTTTGATTCTAGTATGTAGACCTTCCAAGAAACTACACTAAAACTTAGGTTATAGCAAAGTCCTGGGGGACCTGTGAATTTACTGTTTTATCTGTAATTCATCATATCTGTATAATGAATTTGTTAAAGTACATGTACATAGAGCAAATTTACATGGTGAAAAATTTCTTTTTAAAAATTGTCAATAATTTTAAAATTTATTTTTAAAACGAGCATATTGCAAAATGTATCTGGAATCTTTTCATTCAAGGTTATGATAAAATAAAAATATCCATTTTCCTATCCACTATTTATATGTTCTTGTAAAACAACTGCAGCTAATAATAATTGATATATAAAGAAGTCAATTCTTTTTCATTCTTGTTTTTATTTTACTTATCTAAGCTTCATTGTATTTATATAACATGATTGTTTTGGCAAAACTTGGAGTAACATAAATGTCCTTCTATTTTACATTTAAGTTTTGTTCAAAATGAAATTTAAAAAAAAAAAGGGCCTGACTCAACAGAAGCTATAAAACAATATTATTGATACCATGAAAAGAAGTAAAAACCAAAAACAATGTTACCTTCAGTTATCTACAAAATAACTATAATCATTCTAAGGCATATGTGTGGTCTATTGGTAGGGGTTAAATACATGTACCTTAAAATTTCAATATTACCAATTTTTTATGACTTTATGTGTACATGTACACATTTCTTTAAAATTGATTGAAGACCTGGAGAAAATGATAAAGAATACATAAGGAGTAAGTAAAATATACCGATACAAAGAAATACATGTATATACAGAAAGGACTTTTGTATGAATATTAATATTTACATTTTATATACAAGTAAGCATGAACAAAGGAATGTTTATAACATTGTAAGACAGTACATAATGAATTAAGAAAGCAGTTGTTTAACAACCCAAAAGGTTTACACACAATACAGTATTCATTAGATGATAAAATTCAATATACAACCATATCAATATACCAAAACCTTTTCTAAAAGTTGAACCACAGCTGAAAAAGAAATTCTTTCAAATTTTTTATTTTAATTAATATTCATGAAATATAATAATTATGAACAAAGATTCTTATGCAGAAATGAACAAGTTTTATATGAAGTAAAAAGATTTAGAATTTATCAATGTGAACTGAGTATTCCCAAGATTATGAGCATTCATTTACTGTAAATTTTTATGCCACTCAAAGTTTGGCCCCATACCAGGTAAACACATGTATTTAGGCTGAGAGTAATGGATTACTGATGCAAAAAAAGATCTGGAATGAAAGTAATTTGGTCCTTAGAGTTCGAGAACAGAATCAGTAAAATAAATTTATGAAAACCTATCTTAAACAGTACATATTTCATCACATCAGTTAAAATGTTTCTTCATAGTGCAGATGCATGTATATGTATCTAACATCAATATTATTTTTTTTTTTGAATTCTGAATAATAAAAACAAAATGCAGTCATTTAAATACCCACATACATGTAGCTGAATTTTATAACATCATAATCTGTAATTGGAATGTTAAAATAGCCTTAAGATTAAAACATACATATAAAAATATATATCTTTACACAGTAATACTTAACCATATTTTAATACATTCTGACAAATATATATAACTATTAAAAAATGATAAAGAAAAATGTTTATACAAATCACAGTACGGAATATTTCACAACCTGCATGTAAGGGTAAACTGTGTACAGAACAACTAGTAAAGCTTTCAATAAACCAGACAACCTGTCTATAAAAAGTAACACAACCAAGAAAGAACCAGACTGGTTCTACAACCAGGGAATGCTTAGAGCACTTGTTAACCAGATCAAGTCACAAATTTACCATTATATGGATATAAAAACTTGGTATTGTAGAGACATTATAACAGCTATCGTTATATGATATTGAACTACATGTAACTAACACAATGTCATGTTAATGCTGAAGATTCTATTTAAGCTGGGACTTATAAGCCCATTCAACCATAAGTCCATTCAGATCTGTAATGTTTAGATGAAGACTCTAGATTTAAGTCCATGAAGTTCTGTAACATTCAGAGGTCATTGTAGTCCAGATACTTGAGTGCCATCTGGTAACAGAACTGGTATTGCTCCTGGAATTAATAACAAGTTTAACATTATCTATTTGAAACAGATGAAATAACCAGAAGTCTCTGATGAGACTGTAGCTCTACTGGTCTGTACATATACATGTAACAAAGAAAAAGTAGCACTTGGATTTGAAACTTTCCAACATGCAGCAATAAATAGAATTATGTATCTTAATATAGTCTACTTGTGTGCCAAGTTAAATTGAAATCAGATCAAAACTGTAGGAGGAGTAGCGTTTTAAAAGAAATTCACAGAAATTTCTATTTTTAGTAACCATGGCAACATCGTTCATCCAAATCAAAAACTGATGCTCTGAATTATGTATCTTAGTGTAGTCTACTTGTGTGACAAGTTATATTGAAATCAGATCAAAACTGTAGGAGGAGTAGCGTTTTAAAGGAATTTCACAGAAATTTCTATTTTCAGTAACCATGGCAACACTGCTCATCGAAATTAAAAACCGATGCACTAAATTATGTATCTTAGTGTAGTCTACTTGTATGCCAAATCATATTGAAATCAGATCAAAATTGTGGAAGGAGTAGCATTTTAAATGAATTTCACAGAAATTTCAATTTTTAGTAACCATGGCAACATCGTTCATGGAAGTCAAAAACTGATGCACTAAATTATGTATCTTAGTGGAGTCTACTTATGTGCCAAGTTGTACTGAAATCAGACCAAAACTGTAGGAGGAGTAGCGTTTTAAAGGAATTTCACAGAAATTTCTATTTTTAGTAACCATGGCAACACTGCTCATCCAAATCAAAAACCAATGCACTAGATTATGTATCTTAGTGTAGTCTACTTGTGTGCCAAGTTATACTGAAATCAGGCCAAAACTGTAGGAGGAGTAGCGTTTTATAGGAATTTCACAGAAATTTCTATTTTTAGTAACCATGGCAACACCGTTCATCCAAATCAAAAACCGATGCACTATATTATGTATCTTAGTGTAGTCTACTTGTGCGCCAAGTTATATTGAAATCAGACCAAAACTGTAGGAGGAGTAGCGTTTTAAAGGAATTTCACAGAAATTTCTATTTTTAGTAACCATGGCAATACCGTTCATCAAAATCAGAAACCGATGCACTAAATTATGTATCTTAGTGTAGTCTACTTGTGTGCCAAGTTATATTGAAATCAAACCAAAACTGTAGGAGGAGTAGCATTTTGAAAAATTGTTTACAGACAGACGGACAGACAGACAGACAGACAGACGGACGGACGCCGGACACCTTACTATCGCATAAGCTCTTCTGGTCTCTGACCAGTAGAGCTAAAAAATCAATTCATTTCTAGACAAACAAGAACTAAATTAAGTTCTTTTAACCAATTTACAACAGAAATAGAGCATGTTTTTGGTGAATAAGTAAAGTACATTGTTCACGTTCTCAGCTTGGAGTGTCATAGTTTGTTTCAGGGTTTGTGATGCATGTTAGTTGCACTAAATATTATGAATAAAGGAATAAATTCAACACCCAATTTTTTTTTTACCCTTGGCTAACTTTCATTTCTTTTACTTTAACTGTTAGACTTCAAACGTTCAGTATAGTTGTTTTTCTAACAATGTCCTCTATAAAATGAGGTTAGTTGACTCCTAAGGTTTTACTTACAATGTCCTCTATAAACTGAAGTCAGCTGACTCGTATGGTTTTACTTACAATGTCCTCTATAAAATGAGGTTAGTTGACTCCTCTGGTTTGACTTACAATGTCCTTTATAAATGAGGTCTGTTGACTCATATAGTCTGACTTACAATGTCCCTCTATAAACTGAGTTTGGTTGATTTGTATGGTTTGACTTACAATGTCCTCTGTAAATGAGGTCTGCTGACTCGTATGGTTGACTTACAATGTCCTCTATAAACTGAGGTGGGTTGACTTGTATAATATGACTTACAATGTCCTCTATGAACTGAGGTCGGTTGACTCGTATGGTTTTTAGGGTTTGGAAAACGTCCACTTCATGGTCTCGCTGCATTCTCTCAAACATCAGATTAATGGCACAGAATAAGCCACTCTTCTTAGCACCATTCCTGTTAACAATAACAACAATGGAGAACATGGCTACCCTAGACACCACAAGGTGTAATGGCTGATTATGATGAGAACAAATTAAAACAAGATGTGTTTGTGAAACACTGATGCCCCCGTATGGCAGCTTATGGCTAAAGTTTAAAGTTTCTCAAATGCAAATCAAAATCCAGGCCAAAAGATAAAAAATATTAAATTTGAGAGCCCTAGCTGCAACTGTTCAAAAGTTAAAGGTGAAAGTTAAAGTTTTTTAAAAGTAAGTAAATCATCAAGGTCAATGTCAAAGTTGTTGGTATCCAAAGGAAGGTCTTGTCACAAGGATTACATATGTGAAGTATGAAAGCCCTAGCACCAACCATTCAAAAATTATGGCCAAGGTTAAAGTTTTTCAAAAGTAGGTCAAACTCCTAGGTCAAGGTCAAAGGGTCAAAGTGATTGGTATCCAAAGGAAGGTGATGTCACAAGGATTACATATGTGAAGTATGAAAGCCCTAGCTCTAACCGTTCAAAAGTTATGGCCAAGGTTAAAGTTTTTCAAAAGTAGGTCAAACTCCTAGGTCAAGGTCAAAAGGTCAAAGTGGTTGGTATCCAAAGGAAGGTCTTGTCACAAGGATTACTGCGAAGTATGAAAGCCCTAGCTCTAACCGTTCAAAAGTTATGGCCAAGGTTAAAGTTTTTCAAAAGTAGGTCAACTCCTAGGTCAAGGTCAAAGGGTCAAAGAGATTGATATCCAGAGGAAGGTCTTGTCACAAGAAATACACATGTGAAGTTTCAAACCCCAAGCACCAACTGTTCAAAAGTTATGGCCAAGGTTAAAGTTTTTCAAAAGTAGTTCAAACTCCAAGGTCAAGGTCAAAAGGTCAAAGTTGTTGGTATCCAAAGGAAGGCCTTGTCACAAAGAATATACATGTGAAGTTTGAAACCCCAAGCACCAACTGTTCAGAAGTTATGGCCAAGGTTAAAGTCTCATAAAATTTTGCAAAAGTAGGTCAAACTCCAAGGTCAAGGTCAAAAGGTCAAATATGATGGTACTCAAAGAAAGGTCTTGTCACAAGGAATACACATGTGAAATATGAAAGTCATAGCTCCAACCAATCAAAAGTTATGGGCAAGGTTAATGTTGACAATAGACAGACAGACAAACAGACAAACAGATAATCAGACAAACAGACAGACAGGACAAAAACAATATACCCCCGGGATCTTTCGATCAGTTTTAAAAAATAGTTCCTTCAGAAAATACATGTATGTGTAAAGTGTATATAAACATTATGAAATTCTAAAATTAGAATGCTTTTAGGCCAACTTTAAAATAATGTTTGTTTGCCCTCTCCCGACTCAGGATGAAAAATTTGGGTCATAAGGCAGGTGGGAACTTTTTTTTTCACAGAAAATTTTCAAATCAATGCTGAATTTTCAAAATCTATTTTCCAAAAAAAAATTATTGTTTCCTGAAGGTTAAAAAAAAGATTGGAGTCAGGCCATTTTTAGCCAGTCAGATGGGAGAGGGCAACCGAACAATATTTTAAAGATGGCCCTATCTCTCAATTTTAACAAAGAATTTTAAACTGACATGCAATGGACTGTGATTGGTCCTTTGCCATTCTGTTTCATCCAATCATAAACCATCTCTATGATCTGCATCATGGAGTCAGGGTTATTTGGCACTATCTGGGTCTCTGTCCAGGATTTTAACTGGAACTGTTTGATTGCTCGCTCCTCTTTCTGAAATAGAGTCACATCACAATATTTATAACAAATACATGTATCTTAAATATATCAAATTAACATTCTAGAAACATGTTTAAACTAATTAGAGCCATGTTGCATGAAACCTTTTTATTTAAACTAGGAGTTAACAAAAAATTATTCCTATACTGACACTGACATTAAAAAAAAAGATAATTGATAAATTTGATAATCTGGATCCTGGAAATTATATGTGCACAGATGACAGAAAATTTTGTTCATATTTTAAGTGGTTTAAATTTTAATCTCAAACTATTTATTGGAGAAAAATTAATACAGAGAGATTGTTTTTGATTTGCATGTGAGTTGACTCCTTTGTAGAAGTGAAGATGTAAAACACTTCTAAGCCTTATGGTTATATACTAAATCTAGTGTTTTGTGGTTATATACACCTGTACTAAATCTAGAAATCTCCTGTATTCTGTTTGGTACTTACTTTGATGCGATTGCTGAGTTTGAAGATTCTGATGGAGACATTGTTATCCTCAGTAGATGACAGTAACTCGATACTGAGTGGGTCGTACTCCACTGTATAACCATACTCCTCGGGCCAGTACAAAGCACAACTCTGCAAAAACAAGATATTTATACATATACCTATATATACATGTATGTATATAAACCATTAAATACATTCACTAATGGAGCAGTAAAATTTACTTGCAAAGTATAGCTTTGAGAAGATACCTGATGACACTATTTACCTCCAAACATCACTTTATGATAAACATTCCCATACCTTGTCATTTCTATCAAACTCATTCAGCATGACTACAGTGTGAGAGTTATAGTCGTACAGCATTCTCCAGAAATCAGCGACTGTGTTAGGGAGAGGCATCTGTGTCACAATAAAAGAGTCACGATGGAGGTAGCCCTACAATAGAACAAACTTTAGTTACCTCCCTTACCAATAAAACATAAGTTTATGCATGATGCAAGGTCCTTCTGTTGGATATAAAAAGTTCAGGTGACTCTCGATGGCTCGAACACCGATCTCTCGAAGTTCTCAATCTCTCAAAGTGAACCTCCAGTCCCGTTTTTTTCTTCTATAAAACTAAGCAAATTTACTTCTGATCTCTCGAACTTCCGATCTCTCGAAGTTCTCTATCTCTCGAACCAAGACCTGGGTCCCGTTACACACATTTCATTGGTTTTTACTCTCTATCTCTCGAAGTTTTGATTGCACCCGTGTACACGCCAATCAAGCGTAAAATTAATGCAGCTTGGACTTACCTGCATAACAGTGAATGCCTGGGGTGGCATGGAGGTGTTAATTGGGTGTTTTCATAGATGACACTATATCTATGAGCATCTGAGTGTTGATATAATTAATTGGTTATAATTGGTAAATTATAAACGGATTGATTCACAACTTATTTTGACTTGACAGCGAGACGAAAATTTTTAGAAAATAATTTAAGAGACGTGTCAATAATTTTCCGTAGATTATGAAGTTTTATTAGAGTCTACATAATCCCAGTAATATAAACTTTGCACAAGAAATCCTATCTCAAGAACTGGATACCTATTTAATACGAGAAATCTGGTGAAGGACTCGATCAAGCCCGGGGGGTAGCCACACCGACGATCGCTATTCAGATTTCATGTAATCATGAAATGGGAACAAATAAATACTAAAACTTAAAAAAGATCGTTTTATTTATTGAAATACGATCATTGTTGTTGAAATCAAGTGAATTACCTGTAAAATACAAATGATAACATGCAATGACATTTATCAACATATATACGTCCGGTATTTATAATACATGTAGTAGAACAATGATGATCGGAACTGAAAATTCTGGATTTTATTCACTTTCTATCTCTCGAACCCCTCGATCTCTCGAACTTTTCTTGCGGTCCCGTGAACTTCGAGAGATCGAGAGTCATCTGTATTAAGAACTAGTCAAACCTCGTTATCTTGGACTTGATGGGACCAAGAAAAAACTGTGAGATATCTGAGGATTCAATATGTCTAGGGTAAAATACTTAAAGAATAAGGGGTAGGGACATCCAAAACACTTTGACATATCCATGGTATTTGAGATATCAGTGTTTGAGATACCAAAGTTCAACTGTATAATATTTATGAAAATAAAATTATACTGTTTTGTTGTAAAACAGAAATTAGATTAAAAATTCTTAATGTAAAACTTACAGGTAGAAACATGGCATTAATATAGTTATTGCAGCCCTCAACTTGGGTGTACAAATTTGGACGACATCGCTTTGCTGCAAAGAAAATTGACATTGAGTAATTTCAAGGGGAAAAAATATAATTTTTAATTCTTAGAAAAGCTTTACATTATGATTTAAATAACATCTTTAAATTCAAAAGGATTGACTAGCCACTGATACTGTTTAGAAGGTCAGTATCTTTCATCACTTGTTTGTGGTAGAATGTAACATGTACCTGGTAGGATGTTTTTCACCCTGTTTTTGCTGACGTTGTCAGGGTCTAATGCTTCTTTAAACTGGGAACTATCAATACCAGTGGTTAATTTCTGCAGCACCTTTTAAAAATAAATGAAAATTCTACTGTAACAGACTGAGAGAAATCAGGTGGTACATGAGCAGTAAAACCCTGTACTTAGTTAAATGGCATTCTTTATCAGGGATTAACCACATTTATAATATACATATAACGAGACAAACACTGACAATGATTATGAATACCTTAAATTGTTCCTCCATTTTGGTTGGTCCCCCATTGTCTGGTTGTAGACACAGCTCCTCGTACTGGGCACGGAATGCCGAGTGTGCAATAGTTGTCTCCCCTGCCATGGTTGCTTCCAGTATTGTCTCATAAACAAACACGTACTGCTCCTGGGAAGAGAATTGTGTAATGTAATAAATACATGTAGTCTCTCCATGCATAAATAAAAATATGTGAAGCTGTTTTTCAAGTTAAACTTGATTTATAGCAAATAAAACTGATACAATGTTTTTACATTGTTCTCTACCTGCTTTTTATGCAGGTGAAATGAATCAAACCAGCATACACATGTACATGTCAGAGACATGGTATCCATTGTTTACCGTAACTATGGTGTCACCTACCCATGTTTGAATCATGTTGATTCTGTTGGCTCTCATCAGCTGAGCACACTTCAATACGTCTACAATATTCTCATTTTTAGCCTGGTCCAGTAGATAGTCTAAGGCAATGTATGTCCCTGAGCGGCCTATACCAGCACTGTAACATCAAAATACAAATCATATCTACTTCCCAAGAAATATGAACTTACAGCTTTATTGTTACATTTCACCCAGTAATCATATTTGAAAACAGAAATCAAATTTAAGTTTTTCTAGAGAGAAAGAATGACATTGAATACTGATGTTTCGGTTGTATCTCAAAACAGAGACATCAGTAGTGTACCTTCTTGTAGATGAATAGTACATATAAATATGGCTATGGGTTAAAAAACAGGTGCCCTCTAAATGTTTATAAATATTTTAGTTTTTATTATTTACCTGCAGTGAACCACTATAGGGGCCATGCTGATGTTTATAAATTGTTTAGTTTTTATTACCGTATATGTAGAAATTGTAGCAAGGATTTAATTTTGGCATTTTTAGCAAGGGTGTTGAGTTCACTAAAATTGAATATCCCCAATAATAAATTCCATCTTGGGGAAACCATTTTCTTTCTAGGCATCATGAAGTTGCTAAAAATAGTTTTCGCTAAAATTAAACACTGATTTTTTAAGACAAATCACTAAATTTGCATCTCGCTAAAAATTCCACTCATATGGTATTTACCTGCAGTGAACCACTATAGGGGCCATGCTGATGTTCATAAATTGTTTAGTTTGTATTATTTACCTGCAGTGAACCACTATAGGGGCTGTGCTGTCAGGACTGTACATCCGAACTTTTCGTCTAAAGGTCAACAGAGGGGTGGGGTAAATCAAGGCACCATGATCTGACCAACTGGTGAAGTGAAACTGTTTCACAATACGACTTGCTCCATTCTGGTAAACAGAGATACATCCAGTACATGAAAATGACTTTATACATGTAGCTTGCATTTAGCAACTTGCAGTTTGTAATGAAGAATTAAATACATCTACACACAGTGATTAATACATAGATACATACTGCAGCAATTTTGAAGGTTCTGATGGCAAAATCATTAAACACTGCCGTGTCTAACATCTCCACGGTAATGTCCCCGTATTTAGCTGCCCCTTCCTCCGACCAATACTGCTCACATTTTTTCTGTCAAACAAATTGACTCAATTTTTACAAGAAATTTATATTTTTATTTCTTTTGAAGACACTTTCTCCTATATTTTTTTTCAACAATCTGATAGCTGACGTGTTCTCATAAGAAATGAACATTCTGATTTATGACATTTTTTCAATTAATTATTTTTTAAGAAAAAAATTAAGGTCTGATAGTAAAATATCTGCCTGAAATTAAATGCAAGTACTGAAAGTACTGAACCAGCATATAAGGTGATATAGAGTACCTTGCAGGCCTCCATTAAGTTGGTAAGCATGACAATTTTACAGACTCGCTTCTGCCAAATCATTCTCCAGAAATCTCGAATCATCACCTTAGTGGGACCTTAATGTTCAGAAAAAAAAGACTGTATAAATACAACTCATATGGATATTTACATATGTACTTAAAAGAATAAGACTTGATTCACTGAACCAACCCTATTCTTTGACTTATAAAAGTGTTAAGATAAAGCGACTTTTTTTTTCTCTTTTATCGTACAATTCCCCCATTACCTTGCGATGCTATATAAGCTCCTTTCCTGTTGTAGCCCTTAATGAAAGAAAAATCTCCAGTCACAAGAGTTAAACAATCATACATGTGTTATTTACTCAAAAAAATTATGTTTCATAAAACAGTGAATAAAAAGTTGACAGAATCTGAGTGATTATTTGACTTACATCTATGAAGTTGGCATTAATGTAATCTGAGTTGGGATCATTAGGGAGTGGATCCAACACAACACGGGAGTGGTCATCTGTTACATTACAATGTATTACATTAAAATTTATCATAAAATGAGCATTTTAGAACAAATAAACAGATAAGTCCCACTTACAGGCTGTGATGTTTCCGTATCTATTTTTAGGTTTGTTTTCTGATTTCTTAGCTTCATCACAGAGTGCCATTAATCCGTGTGGGAGTTCCTGAATTAATAAAATTCAATGTTCAGTGCAGTTTTTACTTTTAAAAAAATTCTTCATCAAAATTTATCTCATAAAAGCTTGCTTATAAGATTATAGCAAAATTGTCCAATGGCAGAGAATTTAAATCCCCTGTTCACCAGAGTTTAATTCAAATAAAATGTAAGTTACTGCAAAATAAATATGAACTGTGTTGACACGTAGAATTTAATGGGAATTAGTTTAATTTGAATTAATTCAATAATTAAATTTGCATTATTTTACTTCACATTAATTTACTGTGAATTTTTAATGCGAATTCATGTGAACAGGACATAAAACAGAGAGAAGTTCTACAGGTAGTACATATACTACTATGGAATCATTATACCGTATAGCCGGTTTTCTTGGCGGGTGTAAAATTTGGAGTTTTGCCTGCTCAAAGGTATGCCAATAATTTTGGCGTAATTTTTTTTAGCAGACACAGGATTTCAACTCTTTGCAGATGAACACAAAGAAGAGTACTGAATATTTTAGCGATTAAAATTTTAGCGGCTATTATCAAAATGCCAAAATTAGCACCCCGCTAAAATAACCCGCTATACGGTAATTTATGGGGTCAATTTTTTTGTGGATTGCTTACAACCAACTGGTTTGGAAGGGGGGGAGTGCGTTAAATTTCATAAATAATTGTCTCACTATGAACGATACAGATTAAATATCAATATTAAATATAAATATTTGTGGCAGTTGTAAAACAGAGGTAAGGATTACCAAAGAAATCCACAAAAATTGAACCCTCACAAAGTATGAGGATTCCAAATACATATAATCAAGCTAAGATATTACATGTAAATATTTCCATGTTTGCTGGCAGGGAATGAAAAATTTCTGTGATGATATCCTGAAATAACTTTTCCAGTCTATCATGGAAAAGATTTTTAACAAAAAGATTTCAAAACATTGAAGTAAACATATTTCCTTTAAGGTGATCAAACTTAAATCTCAGTCTTACATTGAACTCTTTTTTGAATCCCTCGCACTCATTTTTCTTGTTTTCTCGGATGTAATCAAACAAGTCGGCCACTTTGATAGGACTGCTCTGTTTCTTGGTGTTGACATTGGCATATATTGGTTCATTCAGATTGGGATCTGTGTCGTCAAGGTGATCAGACATGGAGGATTCTGGGTAACAATAACAAATGAAAATCACCAGTTAGTCATTAAATGACACTTAATCAACTAAAGGTAACATAACTGTACCTGTGGAGAATATCCTATACTATATATCAATTCAGAATGATTAACAAGCAGGACTTTCAGTTTACTCCTCCATTCCAATGATTTTTAATTGTGTTACTTCTTTTCTAAGAGACCTAAAGACTACATTCAGAGAGCAGTATTGGTACAGGTTTATATAACATTTTCAGAGGGCAATACTGGTACAAGTTTATACAACACTATTCGGGGGCAATACTGGTACAGGTTTATACAACATTATCCTACCATTAGCAATCAGTTGATCTGTTTCTTTACTCTGAGTCAATTCTACTGGTCGCCTTTCTTCGTCTTGTCCTTTTTTATCAAATGTTAGTTGCTGTAACTTTCTTCGTCTGTAAAATTAATGTAATCATACAGCTCAATACCTTGGAATGTACTGTAAACGTGGTTATTTTGACGAGTCGAAAAATTGACGATTTTTTTGTTTACGGAAATTGACGAGTGTTAATTTTGATGAAATATTGAATCAAGAGTTATGTATATCTTTGATTTCACAAGATTAAAACAAAAATGAATACAAAGAACTCCTAAAAAATGAGTTTCAAAACTAGTACTCAGATTAAGTTCGCCAGAAGCTAGAGGACCAACAACTTGATGGAAACATTGGCTTAGTTGACTTGAGAACGTCTACGATTAAGCCGCTCTGTGCGAGTTCACGATATTATAAGCAAGGACCGCGACTTCCTCGGGAACTCATTTACAAGCGTTCTCATCAATAAAATTTAATTTTGCTTGTAAAAACCATCTACAGTGTATAAGATTTGATTGAATTAATTGCTCTTTATTATTTTGTTTTCATTATACGAGACCGATTGCCTGAGGTGACAAAGTAGGTCAAACACGGCGTGATAATTACGCAAAGTTAGAATGTTGTGACCATGGGTAATAATAGTATATGACATACTCAACGGTTTTTAAAACTGTGATTATATGTTTTCATAACTATTTACAAAAAACTTAAACAGTTACTTTGATCTAGTTTTAATGGGGGAAGACGAGAAAATTAAGCGGTAAAGTTGAAGAACGGTCAATGTCTGTTGTGACGCTATATATGTGATGTGAAGTTTAACGAGTGGAAATTTTGACGAGAAAAGAAAAATCGTCAATATAGTCAAAATTAGCACGTCGTCAAAATTTCCACGTTTACAGTACTTGTGAATTAATCATGTAAATTTCAATCTTTAACTTAAAACTGCTGAACCATTTTGTACAGAATCCCTCAAAGCATGAGACTTTGTGGGAACAGCAGACCCTATGCTTGTATCCTCCAGTTAAATTCTTAGTGATGGAAATAATATTCCCCATATGGCTTATAAAATTTGTCAAAAGTGATGCAAATCCTTTCACTGATCTTGCCAATGTACTTAATAACAGAAACGACACCTACCTAATGAAGAGGACAACCACTACTATGATGGCTATTATAACCAGTCCTGCTATCACGCCTCCAATAGCACTTCCTAGCGATGTGTTGTCCGATAACTCCCTTGGGACCAAATCTTCAAATTCAGATAAGATGGTTAAATTACACCGTTCATTTACATATCTTAGTCTGACATGATTGCATTTCAATCAAACACTGACATAATGTCAGCAAAGGTACATGTACATTTCTAGCGTTCATAGTGAACAAAAAATTTTCTTTATTTTTGTACCACAGCAACTCACCCATACACTGGTCACCAACAAATCCCTCCTCACACCCACCAGTACAAAGCCCTGTCTCCTTTTCACAAGGGGTCATACCATGACATGCCCCACACTTAGTGGAGCAGTTCTCACCAAACGTGAAATCATCACAAGCTGCCAATCAAAGAAAAATATTAATATGGAACAAGAAAAGGTGCAGTCTTCAAGAGGGTAAGGAATTGAAACTTCAAAAGTTTCAATTGGGAATGTAAGAAATATTTCAAATTGCAAGTCTTTAAAGGTTATGAATTATTTAAAGTAAATGACTTTAGCTCCGATTGGAAAAAAAATCTTCCTTGGTTTAACTGGCTTGTAATCATATACTAGAAATAGTAACAACAAAAGACAAAATTAACATTAAGTATTTTGCAAAAACTAAAACCTTAAAGCTACTCTGCTGTCATTTCTTCTGACCAGTGAGGCACTGGATCCCCAAAGCTTTGTCTGGATACTTACCCTCCAGACACTGGATTCCCTGCCATCCTGGCTTACATCCACTTGAACACACCCCTGTCTCAAAATGGCAGCTTCCTGTCATGCAGTGGCCACACGTCCTGCTACAGTTAGTTCCGAAATACCCAGCCTCGCATTCTGTTAATGCAATGTAATGTTACATATTACATATAGATCTCCCATGGTTTGTGGTTAAATATGATGTGTTTTTTCTATCCCCATATCCAACCATAAACCATGCGAGATTCTTTTTATCACATTTTACACATACATGTAGCTATCACAGTTTTGCACTGTTTTCATATACATGTTTATGAATCCACCTTATTTGACTTCATTACTTTTATGCAAAAACCACTGTTACATTCCAAACTGTGGGATATGAAAACAATATCCTATGACAGATATCTAGTGTATAAAGGAGTAAACATGTGATAAATCATTACTGTCACTCCTAGCAGTCTTATACTGACATCTAACGATTGATTAACTATTCATCCACTGCTCAAAATGTTGAATACTCATCAATTACAAAATTTGTTTATATAACTTAAGGTTTATTCTTAAATCATGATGAATTTCTATGTGTAAATTAAAAACATCAGTCACTAAACGACACAGGAGGATAAGCAATGACCATATCCTCCATACTAAATGTCTAATAAATCTACGGCACGAAAATGTGAAACTTACGATAAAATTGTCAGGAGAAAGGAGAATGAACCATTGTAAGATTAATACAACCAAGTACTTCCTCAGGTAGTTTAAATGCATACTCTTACTTACCTGTACATGTATTTTACTGAAGGTATCTATTTCTAACTGTACTGAGACTTGATTTAATTGGTCTGTAGTTAACTATACTTGTGTATTATATATATTAATATATACTGACCTGTTTTACAAAGAATTCCTTTATACCTGTCCATACATTGGTCTGTAGTTAACTATACTTGTGTATTATATATATTAATATATACTGACCTGTTTTACAAAGAATTCCTTTATACCTGTCCATACATTGGTCTGTAGTTAACTACATATATGTATTATATAAATCAATGTATACTGACCTGTTTTACAGAGAATTCCTCTATAACCGTCCTGACACCCACCCTCACACTGACCGGTATGGACATCACATGGAGGTCTGCGACACGCCCCACAAACCCCCAAGCAATTCTCCCCATATTCTCCATCAGCACAGCCTACAAAACAAATTATACACTAGATATCATTGAGATGGTGGCCATCTCAAAGGGCCCCGCTTTCAGCAACTAACATGAAAATGTAAGGTAGCTGAAAAGGGTTTATTTTGAAGAGGAACATTTGTGTACTATTACGGGATGTGTTGTTTGAGTCTAAAGGGCTTCTATGTTATCCTTGTTATAATAAAAAATGGCATGAAAATCACAAGTGCTCCATATCCTCTATCAAAAAACGCCACAAAAATCATGAATGCTGCATATCCTCTATGAAAATTGTTGCATATCCTCTATCAGAAATATGGAAGGAAAATCACAAATGTTCCGTACCCTAAGTCAATTGGTAAGGTTTGAGGCTGACTGGACTTAAGGGAAAGAAATTATGCACCGAACAAAGATTTTAAACAGAGAGGCTATTTTTGACCTTGACCCTTGACCTAAAAACTTTGTTCAATGTCACTGCACATCCATTGACCAGTGGCACTATGTGAGTGAAGTATGAGCCACATTGGACCAAAGGGAGAGAAGTTATGCTCCGGACAAGGATTTTTCATATAATTCTGCTATGACCTTAACCTTAGACCTAGAAACATGGTTCAAGGTCACTGCACACCCTTTACCCCAAAAGCACTCTGTGAGTGAAGTATGAGCCAGATTGGGCCAAGGAGAGAGAAAATATGCTCTGGACAAGAATTTAAACAGAGAGGCTATTTTTGACCTTGACCCTTGACCTAAAAACTTTGTTCAAGGTCACTGCACATTTATTGACCAGTAGCACTCTGTGAGTGAAGTATGAGCCACATTGGACCAAAGGGAGAGAAGTTATGCTCCGGACAAGGATTTTTCATATAATTCTATGACCTTGACCTTAGACCTAGAAACATGGTTCAAGGTCACTGCACACCCTTTAACCATACACTCTTGGGTGAAGTATGAGCCATATTGGGCCAAGGAGAGAGAAGATATGCTCCAGACAAGAGATCTCGGACGGACAGACGGACGGACTGATCACTAGAGGGCACCCGCAGAATGGGGCCCTAATAAAAACATGATCCTCTTACATCATATAAAATGATTATATACAGTAAAACACACATATAAGGAAGTGCCAGGGACTGACGATTTTGCGTTTTACAGGGATTTTTTACCCTTTGATTCCAGGGGCCGGGGCTGTCAAGATTGGGAAAAATAGCGATATTTGGTTGAAATTGGGAAAAATGTCTTCATACAAATAGGAAAAAAGAAGCAAAAGTCAAATATTTAATCATTTTTCTTATGAAATAATACTAGCCGCTGTTGAAGTTCAGAAGCTTAAAAATGGCAAAGCCTCAGGGTATGATAACATTGTATAAATGAACATATTTATACGTTGTCATCTTTTTTACCTTTCTGTAAGAAGTTCTTTAAGATAAAATTTGAGAGTGGGTTTGTTCCAGATGATGGGTTAATCGGTATTGTTTGACAAATTTATAAGAATAAGAGTGATTCAACCCAGCCTGCCTGAAAATTACCATCCTAGGCAAACTGGAGAGACTGACATGATGCACGATTATTTATTAAATAACGATCCCGACTTTAATTTTTAAACATCGATCCTGCTTTAAAAAGTATGCATACAAACGTCCGTAGTATTCCGAATTTCTCATAACTCCTCGGATGGCTCGTACATCGCACATGGAGAACATAAACACCTTTTTGTCATTATTTTATTTTAATAACTTACAACTTAATACTTTTTTTTCGTATTGGGAATTTTTAGGTATAATTTTGGGAAAAACATACACTTTTCAGCATTGGGAATGGGGCCGAATTTCGGCCCTGGAGAGACCCTAAAAAAATCCCTGTTTTAAGCGTAATTTGTTATATTTGTTAAATTTACAATATATTTTTTAATCCTGGGGAATGAAAATCACTTCGCTGTATGCATCAATTCATTAAAAGCATGTTTGCTATTAGCATGTTTTACTGTATACAAAGTGTATACAGTTATGACAACCCATCAGATGTCATTAGATACATTTTTATAAAACAATTGAAACAAACACTGCAGACCTAAAGTTATCAGCCATAAACCCTGTGAGATTTTTCTTACTTATGCAGTCATACCAAGTAGAATAGCATGGAATTTTTATGTCTCTCCTAGTAATATGCAATGTGAAGTGTTGTGTTGTATTTTACTACTACGTAGGTTTAACTTAGCCAATCTCTTACATCATTGAAAATGGTTAACACTCTTCTGGGAGACAAGTTTTAACAATTTGACATTGTTTGACAAAACAACTTTTCATTTTTTGTCAGGATGTAGACTGGGTAAAGGGAAGAGAGGACATCAGATAGATATAATGTAAGAGGCATAAAAAGGGCTCCAAAAAAAATAAACAATTTTGTGGAAGTCATTAGGACATCTTTATCTCCGTCACACCCCAAAAATGTGCTGAAAACATAAAAGATATGTTGGTAATTAAGCAGGGTTCTTTCAAAGTTATCAAGGTTAAGAAATCAGGACCAAATTTGATTTTGTTTTAAAACACATTTCACAATCTTTACTTCAACATGTTCAACAAAAGAAGAAATGCACTTAAACTGAACAAAACAAACATTGGATGTTGTAGATTTGGTATAACAACTCAAGGTCAGAACACACGGTATATTGATTTTCTCAACTTTGTTGATTTACATTAGCATATGTACAAATAGATTCCTGTTAAGATTATACATCCTGACAAGTAAAGAAACATTATACCAGAGCCACTAACCATCATCAAATATCTAGTTCTATAAAATTAGAACTTAAGAAAAATCCTATCTAAAAACCCTGTGCCTCATTAGACCCCCCACTTACCAGTTTTACAGAGTTTCCCCTTCCTTGTACCTCATTAGATCCCCCATTTACAAGTATTACATAGTTTACCCTTCCCTGTACCTCATTAGACCCCCCATTTACCAGTTTTACACAGTTTCCCCTTCCCTGTACCTCATTAGATCCCCCATTTACCAGTATTACACAGTTTCCCCTTCCCTGTACCTCATTAGATCCCCCATTCACCAGTCTTATACAGTTTCCCCTTCCCTGTACCACATTAGATCCCCCACTTACCAGTCTAACACAGTCTCCCTTCCCTGTACTTCTTTAGGTCCCCACTTACCAGTCTTACACAGATTCCCCTTCCATGTACCTCATTAGATCCCCACATACCAGTTTTACACAGTTTCCCTTCCCTGTACCTCTCTAGATCCCCACTTACCAGTCTTACACAGTTTCCCCTTCCCTGTACCACATTAGATCCCCCACATACCAGTTTTACACAGTTTCCCTTCCCTGTACCTCTTTAGATCCTCACTTACCAGTCTTACACAGATTCCCCTTCCCTGTACCTCATTAGATCCCCCACTTACCAGTCTTGCACAGTTTTCCTTTCCAGCCAGTTGAACATCCTCCATCACATTCCCCGGATTCAAAATCACACAGTCCCGATTTACAGTTTCCACATGTGGACAGACAACCATCTCCATAGTAACCCGACTTACATGCTGTCGTGTAGTAAGATTTACGTGAATGACAAACAAGATACACAAAAGACATGACTAACATTTTTATATTCAATTTTATTTTGCATTTTATACATGCATTTGAGAACAAGATATTTGAATTACAGTGCATTATAATTAATCTTTGAAGAGCACAGTGATTCATCACTGATAAGATTGAAGTCTGGAGTGTCAATAAGGGAAGACATTTCACAACTTTGTGCATTTCTGTAATACCAGAAATGACTTTGTGACTTACGTGTTTGACAGGTTGTATTGAGTCAGTGTGATGTGACTTACCTGTTTGACAAGTTGTATTGAGCCAGCCTGTTTGTGACTTACATGTTTGACAAGTTGTATTGAACCTGGGTGTAACTAACGTGTTTGACAGGTTGTATTGAGCCAGCCTGTTTGTGACTTACCTGTTTGACAGGTTGTATTGAGTCAGTGTGTGTGTGACTTACGTGTTTGACAGGTTGTATTGAGCCAGCCTGTTTGTGACTTACCTGTTTGACAGGCTGTATTGAGTCAGTGTGTGTGTGTGACTTACCTGTTTGACAGGTTGTATTGAGTCAGTGTGAGTGTGACTTACATGTTTGACAGGTTGTATTGAGTCAGTGTGTGTGTGACTTACATGTTTGACAGGTTGTATTGAGCCAGTGTGTGTATGACATACGTGGTTGACAGGTTGTATTGAGCCAGTGTGTGTATGACATACATGTTTGACAGGTTGTATTGAGTCAGTGTGTGTATGACTTATGTGTTTGACAGGTTGTATTGAGCCAGTGTGTGTAAGACATACGTGTTTGACAGGTTGTATTGAGTCAGCCTGGGTGTGACTTATGTGTTTGACAGGTTGTATTGAGTCTGCCTGGGTGACTTATGTGTTTGACAGGTTGTATTGAGCCAGTCTAGGTGTGACTTATGTGTTTGAAAAGTCCCAAGACAAGCCAGCCTGGGTGTGACTTATGTGTTTGACAGGTTGTATTGAGCCAGTGTGGGTGTGACTTACATGTTTGACAGGTTGTATTGAGTCAGCCTGTTTGTGACTAACGTGTTTGACAGGTTGTATTGAGTCAGTCTGGGTGACTTATGTGTTTGACAGGTTGTATTGAGTCAGCCTGGGTGTGACTTACATGTTTGACAGGTTGTATTGAGCCAGCCTGGATGACATCCAGATGGACAGGTCCCTAGACGAGTGCATGAGTCCTCATCCTTGCAATGGCACTCGAACTCACACATCTCACCAAATCTTCCAGAATCACATCCTACAACAAGACATCAAAAATGAAGTTCTATCAAAATTGCAATGAAACAACCTATTTCTACATACTGATTAGATAATACATAATCTCCATAAACTGTAAGTGAAGTCTCATGTGACCCCAAACCCAATGGCTCATCTTGTGGAATTTCATGTGAATCCCATATCCTATGGTTTATGTCTAAGTAAATATCACATAACTACCAACCTTCTTTCAGTGAAATATCATGATTCCCGAGCCTAAAATTAACCTCTCAGTGGAATATACAATGTGTAACATGACTCCCTAGCAAAAAACTAATCCCTCAATGGAATATCGCAAAACTCCTTATTAAACCTAAAACTAATTTCTTTATGGATATCACATGACTCCCTAGCCTAAAACTGACCTCTTAGTGGAATATCACATGACCCAAAATATTTCGATTTCTCTATGAAGTTAGTGAAGCACCAGGGTCCTTTTCCCTCCAGTCCATTCATTTTGGGGTTCAGTGGATTTCGACAAACAGCACCAGGAATCGCCTTGTCTGGAAAATCTGAGGATTTCAAGCCATACATAGCAATAAATACAGTGTTGTTCCATGGAACACATTCTTCTCCATCTACGGTTCTGTCAGTGTTCCCCTGATATCCATGAGCGTCTACCGAGTAACGAAACACAGATACTGGAAAATAAAAAGAATCAGGTAACAACAAATGAAATATATGATTTTTCCAATTTTTGTCTAAATTCAAAACCTTTTCATTCAGAATAAATATTTCAACTTTTTGCTAAGATACTAATCTCCAAAAATAAGAAATTTTTATTCTAATTATTGGCAAAATTATATGTATATGAAAATCAACTTTCAGATTTACATTGCTTGTAACAGGAAAAAATGATTCCTATAAACCCTACTAATGGTACCATATCTTGAAATTCTCTTTCTAATTATCATAAAGATATGGCACATCTCTACCAAAGCTAAGCAACTACGATTCTGAATGTACAACATGCTGACATTTTCTTATGGAATATCTTTTAATTTTTGGAGGGTGGGGGTGGAGATAATTGGCACATTTTTTATGAGTTTCATACACTGGAAGCATACTGCCTTTTACTTACAGAGCTGACATCCAGGGCCATAGCGGTTCTGTTTACAGCCCGAGGGACAGGCCCCGGTGACTGGGTCACAGCTGCCCTCAGCACAATAACAGGAAAACTTACAATGCCATCCAAATGTACCTGGCTCACAAACACGAACTGAAAAACAAAATAACTTTTTAACTGAAAAATATAAGTAAATCAGCCTCTGGAACAGGGAAAATAAACTTTATATAGATAGTTTTCAATAGACACGATTTTAGCAAGAGTTATTTCCCTTTGGTCGCCATATTGGAGATATACAAGCCTGAATTCCTTCATGATTCAACCAATTTAAACTTGTCATACTGAGCAGTTGAGAAAAGATAACACAATTTTTCTTATAAAATTATGTTAAGTCAAGCTTCCTTTAAAGCCATAATTTTAGTATTTCAAAGATTTTTGCCCTTATATTCCTGCCATACAAGTTTAAAATTGGTTGCTCAAAGAGGAAAATTTGCTAGTTGGACCTCCAAGTAGGAGTATATGTTGAAATATGTATATATATTCTATAGTTTTTTGAATTTTGTTTACCTCACATTTGTCACTTGTATATACATTAACAGTGTTAATTAGTTTTATGTTGTTAATGTTCATGACTGTATGCCAACATGATAATTGTAAAATAAATATAGGATCTCCCATGATTTGTAGTTGGATATGATTTTTATCCAACGAGTTGTGTGTTTTTTATCCCCGAGCCTTGGCGAGGGGATAAAAACACACAACAAGTTGGATAAAAGTCATATCCAACTACAAATCATGGGAGATTCTTTTTATCCCATGTTTAATACTTCACAACCAATGTTTTACACTGTTTTATATAGGACTCCACTTTATTTTACTTCATCACTCTAACGCATAAACCATTGTGATGTCACAACTGCACTTAACTGTGGGTTATGAATAAAATATCCAATGAGTCATATCCACGGGATAAAGGGGTAAACATGGGATAAATTGAATTATTTAATGGACAACACTGAAATGTTGATAGTTCTAATTTTGAATTTCAAGGCTGCACAAAACTTTCAGGAAATGTTCACACTTTGTCATGAACCCTCTAGAGCAATGTCAGTTTACTCAAGGTGGGGTGGTAAAGACCATCATGGAGAAGGACGATGGAAAGTGAGATGAAAGCCATGCACCAGACCTGGGGATCATTAACTAGGCTGGCCCAGGATAGGTAAGAATGGAGGAAGTTTGTTGCTGCCCTACTAGTGATGGGAATAGGTAAGAATTTCATAATTGATGATCGGGTTAAAGTAATTAACTAATTATCGATTATAATCAGACATTTACAAAGTCTATCAATTTACAGTAAAACTCGTTTAGTACGAAGACGGATATAGCGAATTTACGGATCTAACAAAGTTTTTTTGCAATCCCTGGCAAAATTCTAAACAATTCCTTGTAAAATTTTACAGATATAACGAACTCGGATATAGCGAATTTATGGTTATAACTAACTGATTTTGTGTCCCCTAGAAGTTAAAAATAATGAAATATACATCTTTTATAGCGAATTTTCAAAGATCTTAAATTTTTAAAATATTTAACTGACATTAGTGTTGTAAGTATTTGTATTTGAAACTCATTCATCAGAAAACTGTAGAACTCCAGCTAAACCTTTGTATTTTATACCTCCCTAAATGCATTTGGTAGTCATATGTGAATGAAAAAAATCTATGTTGCGAATTTGCTATGTATACTTTAGGAATTCATTATACCAAAATAATGAATTTCGGATATATAGTGAAGTAAATTGGCAGGTCCCCAGAACTTTGCGATAACCGAGTTTTACTGTAGTTAATTAAATGGTAAGAATGGGTAAGTGACTACTTTCTGTGTTGGTCCAGCTGGTTCTTCGTTCATTTTGTAGTATCCAAAGTACATCCATACCCAGGAATGTGCTTTGTTACCTGGGTATGGATTACAATGTCTGTTTGTCTGCGCCATTATGATACACAAATAAGTTTAAAGAAAAGTTGGGGCTGCAATATTCGGCTTAAAAACTATTACACTTGGGAAATAAAATATATTAATCGATAAATCAGAATAAAAATATTGTAATCGAGCACTCGGATTATGCCAGCCATCGACTGATTTTCGATTTTAATTGATGATTGGACTATGCCCTACACACCAAGGACAATGATGATGATGGGATGACAAAAGATTATTTACACACATATGTTGCTATAAACAGGCAAAATGAAATTTTTACTATATCCCCTCCAACTCTGTTGCAAGGAGATAATATTTCTTGGTTTTCCTGAGAATTTATAATAAAAACATTCCAACACAGTGGTAGCTGGTAAGTGTTATAAATTGTACCCCAGAGTACCTTTAATCTGTCACCATTAGCAGAAAACATGTTGTATTACTCTCCAAATTAAGTTTTATTGTTTGCAACACTTTGATATTATCTTAATCATAATTGTTAATCATAATTGTTTTTAGTTCTGTTAACAGTCTTACATAACACCACTTTATTAATATGTGTAGTATAAATCACTTGCTATTTGCAAACTTTATTTTTGCATTATTATGTGAGGACATCTGCTCATGAAATTTTTGTATATTTTTATCGGAATCAGTTATATATACAGCAATAACCAAGATTCGTAAAAAATCTGTCCCTCTTATTAGTACCAAGTATAAGTACTCACCTGTAATCATGATTGTATCAAGCCAAAATATTTGATGCAGAAAAATTTGATAACGTTGAATCAATATCGCTTCAAAAAGTTACTTTCCATTTTTGTTAAAGTACCGCCTTTTTTCCAATCTTGTTGAAAGCCCTGGGTGTGGTGCTAGGACTTTCAGAATCCCTGGTTTTCGGGAGAATCCCCATACAGAAACAAGAATCCCCGACAAAACGTAGAATCCCCATAAAAATTAATGAGTTGGGATACACCCTGGGTGTGATGTAAGCACGATAACTTTTTTTTTTTTTTGTAAATATTACTAAAAATTATGTTCAAGGTCTGGTCATGTGTAAGTGTAGCGATGGAAAAACAAATTTAAGAATATTTCAGATAGCAACGTCTTTTCAGCTGAATATGCTTTATACGTGACGGTGTTACAGTACTCGGGGATACCATCAGTGCAAAATCCATCTCGATCTTTACGAGAGCTTTAGGTCAATTCCTTGCCAATACCGACCCAGCCAAAATTCAGTTCAAATAAGCTATCAAAATCTGTTACTTACCAGAAGATAAAGTGGATATATGGGCCAAAAATATTAAGATATTAATATACCACTTCTTATTCATTATTACACCAAAGCCATTCTTAGTATCAATTTACAGGAAGTACAGTTGCGCCATCTGTTGAATTTAGATAAGTTGTACCAAGAAGTACTCGATTTTTTCCTATAATTTGTTCATTTTCTTCTTTTCTCTTTGAAGAACAAAATTAACTGATCTGAATAAAAAGAGAAGTAGAACAAATCTTAATAAGTTCAAGGTAGGCAATCAGAAAAAAAGGAAGAAAGAAACACACCCCCTTTTAGGACATGCATGTATATTTAGTCCATGCGCGGATCTAGAGGGGGGGTTGCGGGGTCAGGAACCCCCCCCCCTGGAATTTGCAGAGTTATAAAAAGTATATACTGAAGCAAATAAAAAATGACTTTGGACCCCCCCCCCCCCCCCAGAAAACCCCACTATCACCACCACGAAATAGGTGCTTTTCACGTTTGGAAAATGGATTTTTTTTTTTTTTTTTTGCCTGTCAAGAAATTTTCTGGGAATATTATGTTTGGGATGGGAATATAGGTTTTTTGTTTTTGTTTTTGTTTTTTTGTTTTTTTTTTTTTTTTTTTTTTTGCTTGTCAAGAATTTTTTGAGTTAGATTTTTTTTTTGACTGGGATGGACGCCCCTGGAAAAAAAATCCTTGATCCGCGCCTGTAGTTTATGTATATACATGTATCATGAGAACAGTCTGATTAAAATCAAACCTTCCACTAGCTCCTTTGTTGTGATGGTTTCACGAGTGACAAACAATTTACGAAGAGCGAGATGAAAGGTCTTATTTTAATTAGATTGTCATGAGAAGTGTTCGTTGAAAAAAAAGAAAATAAAACATTAGCATATCTCCTAGATAATTCAGTTTTGATGATTCATCCTTAGATCCTTCGATCTTTGTATTAATAAAAATTAGATAATATTGAGTGGTTAACATTTTTTAAGCCGGGAACTTCAGAGAATTTCAATTTTAAAACACTCAGACCTCACCGTAGATAAACAAATTACCTTTCTCATGACCCACTTTGTTTAATTTTGTATCTAAAGGTATGTCAATGGTGTTTAAAATGCAATGTAATCAAAACTTTTTAGTGAATTGATGAAAAAAAATTAAATGAATATTTTTAAATTATCTTTATTGAAAGTTTGGTTCTTTGGGTAATCGTAGGTCGTTCGGCGTTCCAGTTAATGTTAGCCTTTCCATATGGAGCACAGTTTGTGTCTTCTGTACCTTATTTTGATCTGAATAATAGTTCGCCCCAATTCAGTTCAAGTTGTTCCAATATGATTTCGCTAGATCACCTGCATATATGTATGGTGTTAATGTCTATTGCCTTATTCAATACTCAAGAGCATGCTCTAAGTACGATCAACATTTAAACCGAGGCAGGCTACTGACAGATAAGTTGATGTTACAGGAATTTTAACAACCCTGTTTAAAGTCAGCATTTCGTAAATTTTATGGACGATATAATGACCTTGTTAGCAAATATAACCACTGGGTCGTACTTTGTTTGAAATGTTTCATATCAATTCTTAGGCCTCGTTTCTTATACTAAATTTGACTACAGAATATTCCGTTTATATATGCTCAATACACAGGGCACACAGCGGATGTGTCCGGTCGACAGGGGATATTTACTCCTCCTAGACACCTGATCTCCAGTAGTTCTTGTTTTATGCCCTGTTGACAGACTTGTACAATTTGTATTTTTTTTTCCCTAAGATCAATCACTGCATGTTCATTTTTCACCTTGTTCATATGAAATATCATCCAAATAAAACATATATTTATAAAAGCGTTGGAAATTCATAATTTTTTAAATTTGAAATCTGTATAATATAGAATCTACCCCTCAAAGTTGCTGCTATTATTTGCCCTGCACTACTATTAGGTGTATATATCAGTCATTATAATTGAGAAAATAGCACTTTAATTGAGTTAACCCCAAATCTTGACGGACGAGATTTCTTGGTATAAACAAGTTTAAAAATTAAAACATACAAAACAGATTACATGTAATATCTTAAACCTTTATTGCTGTCTCTGTCTGTTTGTTTGTTTTCCCTTAATCTGGATAGGATTTCATTCTGAATAACATTTACTAAATAGTCACAAATATAAACTAAAAATCTTTGTTTTTACCTTATAAATATGTGTGGTCTATTTAATTTAAGTGAAATGACAAAAACCCGCGTCTGTGTGGTAGGGGCGGGGGTAGTTGGCCTGTCCAGCGCCGTGCGGATCCAGAACGAATTGCCGGACTGTGATGTCACAATAATTGCTGACCGGTTCAGTCCGGACACAACTTCAGATGGATCAGGTGGATTCTGGTTGCCACATCTGGTGGGAGGGGACAATCAGGAATTGGTCGCGTTAGAATCTTATTTATCCACTTTTAATATTTCAAATTCTTGCCTATCTTTACATGTATATAATTGTCTTCTTCGCTTATAAATGCCAACTTCAATATGTAAAAGATATTGTTTTTGTAACTTTTTATTGCTTTTCTGATTCCTACTGTATAGGAAATGCGGTTGTGATACTTGGGATTACCTGTTACATCTAGCAACATCGCCTCTGGCTAGTCGCCTCGGGGCACAGCTGGTCTCGGGTTACTCTTTCTTCGCAGAAACACAGGTAGACCAGAAAATCTCATTCATGTTATGAAACTTTATTATTGTCCAAAGAAAATATATATACACAATTAAAAGAACGTTTGTCTATTGTTTGCCATGTTGTTTTGTATTGAAATAGTGTCCAGGATGGCGGCGCCAGGTCTTAGGATATCATGAGTTGGACAACAAAGAGCTTAAACTTCTTTTCCCCAAGGCCAGGTAAAATCGCAAACTTTCCATGACAGTTTCTTGATTTCGAGCGTACAGTTTTATGTGCATTCAATTTTTTTATTGTCTATATGGCGTTACTTCCTGATTGGATACCAATCTGCTGTTTTCCTATGTCTACTTCTTAAGAGGGCTGGGTGGTCGTGGCCATTTTTAGACTATATTGATCTCCTTTAGAAGAAGAGCTCCATATAAAGATGTACTAAAAAGATCAAATTTTAAAACTAAAATGTATGAATTTTTTCTTTGCCAAATGATAGTTGACAGCTTAAGATATCATATCTAAACAAATAAGTTATATCTAATGGTTAATTTGTTGACCCCCCAGCCTCCTTAATTGTTTTCTGATTGGTCACATTTGCCGCCCTGGGATTGGTCAGATTTCTTGCTTACTTATAGGTTGTAGCTGTCTCTCTGTTGTAGGTTTGGCGTGTTTTACACCACGGTGATGATCAATGTCAAGGCCTATCTGTCTTGGCTGATGTCAAGGTCAGTATAATAAAACAGTATTAGTTACAAACAAGAAATAATCAGTTAAGTACAAAATATCTAGTTAATTTATTTAGTCAAGGTATTGTGAATGAGTCGTACTTTGTATAAGTCGATTTGATTATGCATTTGATCTATGCTTCATTTCCAGATTCAAAAATAGCAATGGCACGGCCATACATAGACGAGTGGACAGTTTGGATAAGGTAAGTACATGTATATACCAGTATAAGTATTTTTTTCTCGTTTTCTCGACTTTTATGTGTATTTTATTAATGCTCCAACGATCTTGAGTAGCTGCTGTCAGATTATGACGTGATAGTGAATGCTTCAGGGATTGGTTCAAGGACACTAGTCAAAGATGATGACGTCATTCCAATCCGTGGCCAAGTCACCAGGGTAATGACATAGTTTTGATTTCCTTCTCTGTTCTCATTCGTGGTAAAAATATATAAGGTAAATATTATGCATACCTTTTTATTTTTATTCTCAGATTAAAGCCCCGTGGGTGAAGCATTTTATGACGTACGAAGGAACGAATGCACATTGTGAAAAATACATTTTACCTGGGTAAACTTATACATAGTCATATACTTTTATGGTTCAGTATTTTGTTTGAAGCATAATGAAAACATTCCTGTAACATTTATTTGCAAATTTTACGAACCGGATTGGGTAGTGCTTTACTGAATATTAACTTGATATTCTTATAGTTTTGCCACCGACAATGCATTTGATTAATTAACCCAGACGCAGATTCAGGATTTTTTTCCTGGGGGAGCATCCCGTCCCCCTCCAAAAAAGTCCAACCCAGAAAATTGTTGACGAGCCAAAACAAAAATTCCTAAACTACTTTCCCACACGTAAAATTCCAGGGGGAGGGGTCTGGACTCCAATATCATGCTGAAAAAAGATAGGGATGGCAGAAACAATGACCAATGTCTAAAATATTGAAAATTACTTTCATTATAGCAAAAGGTTATATATGACAAATGCACGACATTTCATAAAAGATTTTCCAAAGCAATTGCGGAAAGTACATGTTTAAATAGGATTGAATTGAAATTGTCAACATACTCCATATTGAGTACTGTGAATTCTTTAGATGATACATATTAAAGTGGGAGTTGAGTTGAGTATAGTAGTCTGATTTTTACATTGGCATCGAATAAATTTTTACCCAGCGATGTTTTAACAGCCCCCCCCCCCCATCTCGATATACCGTGTCTTCGTTTACCCGCCATAATATTATCTGCATTGAAAATCTATATATCCTGTATGAAGCATAATACGTATACATCGACAGAATTGCTAAATACATGTATTTAGGCAATTGTTCCATTAGCGCCCATTTTATGGCGTGTTCGATTATCCATTGTTATGGTGTGTTCGATTATCCATTGTTTATGGTGTGCTCGATTATCCATTGTTTATGGTGTGCTCGATTATCCATTGTTTATGGTGTGTTCGATTATCCATTGTTTATAGTGTGTTCGATTATCCATTGTTATGGTGTTTTTGATTATCTATTGTTATGATGTGTTCGATTATCCATTGTTATGGTGTGTTCGATTATCCATTGTTTATGGTGTGTTTGATTATCCATTGTTATGGTTTCTCGATTATCTAGGGCCGATGCTGTCGTACTTGGCGGAACTGGTCAGACTGGAGACTGGAACACAAAAATTGATGACGTTGATCGCAAAGCAATTTGGGAGGGATGTCTGGAATTAGTACCTAGTCTGAAGGTATCAAAATAA